CTGTTGCTGCTGTAGGACGGTGAATGTCGTACAGTCATTGAGCCGACTTTAGATGCTGTTGCTTGTAGTAGTGCATTGAGTGTGTCTTCGTTGTCGCTTTGTAGTATGCCGTGTGTTCTTCCGCATTCAAAGATGAATGCTTGTAGGTTGTTGATCATGTAGTCCATCATCGATGGTTTGTCCGGAACCAATACCGCCATGCACAGTTGTGTAGTAACATCAACTGCCGTTAAGACTGGTATGGTCTTCGGATCTTGTTGTGATTTGATGTAGGCAAAATCCACTTGGATGATGGGTTGTCGTGATTGTTGTTTCTTGTAGTTGTCCTGGCGTCCTTTGCCTTGAATGCAAATTGGACACCAATTTCTGTATGGTAGGTGTGTCAAGTTGTGTTCCGCTATTTGTTGTGGAGTGGGCTGCTGAGGTTGTCGTAGTCCTATTGCTCTGTGTGCTTCATGATGCTCGTGTTGTTGTTCCTCATCGTGGTTCTCCTGGATGTACTCGTAGTCTTTCTTCACGGTGAACCTTGTTGTTCCTTTCCATTGAAATGGTAGTGCTGCGTTGCCCATGACTGTCCAGTCATCTTTGCGTTGTGAAACTTCTCCAAAGTTGTTGTGAGTGATTGTAGTTCTGTGAGGCTCAAGTGTGTTGATTGGTGGATGTCCTGGTCCATCTGTTGGAGTGAATAGGGTTGTTCTAAGTGTTGTGTGGTGTCTTATCCAGTGTTCACCTTGTCTTTCCCAGTAGTCTTGGTTGTCCTCCTGTGCTGTGAGTGGTCTGTGGATTGTCTCCTTCGGTTGTGTGGTGTCAAGATTGGTAGAAGGTGCTGCTTTAGGTCTCCATATCTTTTGTGGTGCTCGTAGTTGGATCTTTGATCTGGTTGGTGGTGTGTCCATTAGCCGTTGTGGTTGTGAGCTCTGCCTTGTTGGTGTTGTCTTTGATGTTGCTCTGCGTGTAGGTGTTATCTTTCTTCTGAATCTGGTTTCTCCAGTCCAGTTGTCACCTTCTAGTCTTCGTTGTAGTTCTTGCTTGGAAAGTTGTGTTGGGTTCTCTTGTAGTTGTTCTTGCTCTTGCCCTTGTCTGTTGATGATGGTTAGTCGCCAATCATCTAGTTCTCCTTCAGGTATTGGGCAACCGCTGTTGTGTGGTGTGAATAATGCTTTGCGTGGTCGTTTGTGTACTCTGATGGCGTAGTCACCATCAAGTTTCCAGTAGTCAGTGTTTCCACCAAGGATCTGTCGTAGTCCTTGGTCTGTGTGGGTGAGTGGTGCGATTTGTTCTTGTTGTTGTACTGCTTTCTCTGTAGGTTGAATCACAGCAATGGATTTTCCATTGTATGTAGTCATTGGGTAGATGTCGAATCCAGTAGGGATGTCGATCTTCTCTGCTCGTAGGTAGAAAAGTCCTGAGTGTCTTGTGAGGTGTGCTTGTTGTTGTCCATGTGTGATGGTGCAGTGTCGTGGAGTGAAGTCAAGTCCATATCATCTATCAAGTAGTCTTGATGCACTGAGGATTGGATACTTCACATCACAAACGTAGTAGGGTATCATGATCCTGAAGTTGTCCTGCTTGTAGGGAACGTACTTGATGCCGTAGACAGGAATCTTCTTGTTGGTAACCGTGTAGAGTTGTGGAACTGATTCTCCACAAGGTCGTAGCGGTAGGTCTGGTGCGTAGTCCTTCGGGCAAACATGTGTAGATGCTCCTGAGTCGATCAACAGGTGGTGGTATGACTTGAAGTTGGAATACATGATGTAGTGTGTGATAGTGTCCTCAATCTTCTTGTTCCTTTGTGGTTGTCTTGCTGCTGCTATGTCAAAGTGTGGCTGTGTGTTGTCTTCTTGTAGGAATTGTTGAAAGCTCTTGCTGTGGTCGTTCCATGATGTTGTGTGTGTTGTTCTCTTGCCCAGTAGTGATTTGGATTTGTGCTTGTGTAGTCGTGAGTTTGCTTGTCTGATGTGTCCAATGGTGAGGTGTGACTCGTTGATGCCTCCAATGTAGTTTGCTGTGTCCTCATAGCTGTTGTCATTCCAATCCCAGCTGTTGTCATAGTCGTAGTCGTTCCAGTTCTCCTCCATGTAGTTCACCTCGTGTTGTCCTTCTTCTCCTTCGTAGTACCAGTCGCAGGTGTCGTTCACATCCTGAGGTAGTTCTTCATTGTTGTCATGATCTGCTTGTTCATTTTCTATTGGGTGTAGTTCTTCTCCTTCTCCTATGTGCCATACTGGCACTCTGCAGTCTTGTCCCCAGTGGCCGGGCTTGCCACATCGATGGCATGTTGTGTAGTTGTTGTTTCCTTTCCCTTTTGATTTGCTGTAGTTTCCTTGGCCTTTGTAGCCTTCGCTTGATCCATATCCTTTGGATCCTGAGTAGCCTTTTCCTTTGCTCTTGTTGTATCCTCCTTTGTTGTAGTTTCCTTTGCTGCCTTTGTCGAATCCTTTGTAGTGGCCTTTGCTTCTGTACTTGCCTTTTCCTTTGTTTCCTTTGTAGTGTCCTTTGCCTCCATATTTACCTTTGCCTTTGTAGTTTCTTCCTTTTCTCCAAATGTTGTCCACGTCCATTGGTGCTGTTCCACCATTGTAGTTTGTGCCAACTGCTGAGCTCGCTCTTGAGAATGCAGATATGGTTTTGTAGTAGTCCCAGGATCACAACTCTGATCTCGTTGTAGTTCGTGATCTGTCCAGCGCGTAGTTGGAGATGTTGTTGAAGTGCTCCTTTAGTCTTGTTGAGTAGTATTGCAATCTTCACTCCATCTGGTAGTGCTGTGCCGTTGTCTTTCTCGTAGCGGTTGATGTCATACTCCCACTGTAGGAATTGTTCTACAAATTGTGCTTCATTGAATGTAGGTTCCAGTAGTTTGGTGAGGTAGCCAACACTGCGTGTTCCTACTGGTAGGCTGAACCTGCTGTGCAAAAGCCGTAGTGTTTCACATCCATTGGCATTGTAGCGGTTTTGTCTGACCACTGTGGCTGCTGCACCTTGGCAGATGTTGATGAGGATGTAGTGTAGATCTCGTGAGAGGTCTACTGCTTTTGCTGCCTGTGTAGGGTCGCGTATGTGGGCTCTGATGTCTGCATCTTCAATTTGTCTTGTAGCTGCTTGTGCTAGTTGTAGCACCATGTCGAAGTCTCGGTCGATGAGTCCGAGGTATGCTTGTAGTTTGAACAGCCACTCTTCGTGCTGTGAGTAGTCACCAGTGAAGAACGGTGGTGGCAGTTTGTATTTGTGTAGCCTTTGGACGTCTTCCTGCTCCTGTGTTGTTCCCGTAGTTGTGGCTCCTATTGTCTCCTCTGCTGTGGGCCCGTTGTCTGCTCCTGTAGTTGGTTGTGCTGATGCTGCTGCTGGTTCTCCTGACATGTCGTAGTAGTTGGGCATGTGGTTGCCTGTGCAGTTGTGGTACTTACTGCTGTTACTGGAGCTCCCCTATGTTTAGGATCTCAGCTCCGCTACCACGTTAAAATACGTTGGTACTTTACTGCAAGTGCAAGTGTTGTTTCTGTTGTCACAAACACAAATGTAGTTAGCCAGCATGCACTCTTTTCCTGGTAGACTCAAGGCCTGCAGTCGGGTAGTGTACATCATGCATGCACAAGTGACAAGTAGTGCAACATGATATTTGACACCTGTCCCTTTCTCTCTCTCTATCTCTCTGTCTCTGTCTCTCTTTATGTCTTGCTTTCTGTTTACGCATCGATATCTCTATCGAAGATATGCGGCTGCAAACTCGCAGTGCGTCAGCTCCTGTGAGCAGAGCCCCATTTTAGCGACTGCCCTCGGGAGCTGTCCTTATATATACGTCATATATATATATATATATATATTGTTGGGAGCATGTTCGCACCAAATTTTGCTAATATCCCCTTGAATACCCAGCTTCCGGCTCAGCGAGCTATACGCAAGAGCTATCCTTTCGCACGCGCTATCTGATCTTCTGAGGCTATCTATGTGCGCAAATTTCTACTTTGGCTCCACAACTTTGATGGTTTACTTTTCTTATTTTTTGGGCTAGTGGCTCCACAATTTGTATTCTTTGCGTTTTCACTTTTGCGCCTGGCTCCAACATAGCTGTTGTTTTGCATCGTGGATCCAAACTGCTTGACTCAAGATTGCCTGGAACAGTCTGGCCTAAAGCTTTCAGATTGTCTTTGGACACGCGCCTCTTTTTGCTGCTTTCCCCAAAGCCCCAAAAAAGGCAGAAAACACTGACATAGCATTGAATTCTGGAGGAAGGTAGATCCAGGGGGGGGGGTACCATCTATATATATATATAACGTATACACGCATGCCTAGAAAAGTTACAAGGGATGGAGATAGCCTTAAGATCACCGAAGGTCACTCGAGGCGGCTCACAGGCTCAAGCCACTTAAAGGCACTCAAAGGCCAGAGCCACTCAACGCCACTCAGCGCCACTCAGCGCCACTCAACGCCACTCAAAGGAGAGCCACTCAAGGCCAGTCACTCGAGGCCACTCAAAGCTCGAGCTACTCAACGCCGCTCCAAGCCACTCAAGGCCTCTCAACAAATGTTGGAGCGGCCTTGAGTGGCTCAATGCTTTTCAAGCACTTTAGTCGCGCCTAATGTCGACTCCGAATTCATCACCCTAATACATGCACAGGGATGCTCCCCTGTGAAAGTGAATCATTCCCTCTCAACTGGGACATTCCCCTACTATCGACCAGGGGTTTATTCATCCTGACATTGCGGCCTCACATCCTCGCACCCTGACGCACCTCACCCCCGCAGCTCGTGTTTCTAGGTGGCTGCCCCTGGCTGTGGCTCTGAATCAGCATACGAGTCTCTGCTAAAATTGGGATTTAGACCCACTTTCCTTGTGGTCTCCCTTTAAACCATGGTGAAAAAGGAACCCTCACAACCAACTCGAACAACCCCATATGACTTCTCTGGCTGCTGATTGCACACCTCCAGTTGCTCGTTTGCTCGTTGGTAAGTGGGAAACTGGTTATCCTTTCGTTTGCTGGTCCCTTAAACCCAGCCAGTGCCTGGCTGGTGTGCTCTTGCAACGGTAGGTTGGACAACTCCATGTGCTGAAACACCAGGGCCAAGTCCCTCACGTGCACCAAGCGATACCTCAGCCACTAGGAAATCCACCAACGCCATAAAGTACCCACCAAACAAAACCATTGGCTTTTTCGCCCCCCGGAAAAAAAGAAAAAGAACAAATAAAATATGTCCACTAGTGATAGATTACCTTTAAATCCAACAGGGAATAATTAAAAAAAGATCAGCAAATGGAAGCAAAGAACCGGTCCCTTTGAAGGAATGTGGCGAACCCCACCCCGAAACCTCAGGTTCAATGTTACACACTAAAGGCAAAAAATAATTCAGGACGAAACACACCAAAGGGGAACCCCGTAGGTTACGCCTGTGGGGCAATACAAACGAAGCCCTGTAGTAGTGCCCCGGGTACTACAAAGGCAATAGCTAAAATGGCCATTTGGGGCCAACTTAGATGATCTCTCTATATATATACATTTTGTTTGTATTCGGAGCACAGCGTTTATTCTTTAGCCCCTCATGCCCTCCTATGGAAGCTGTCTGACAAAACAAATTTCCTCCAGGGACCTTTCAGATTCCATGTTGGGCCCCATGGACCCCAAACATGGTTCTTCCTTTTAGGGTCCCGGACCATTTTGGGGGTTCCAGCTTCCCACTGCTATGTTTGTGAGAGACAGAAGCAGCGGGGAGAACTTTATGAATTCTTGCCAAGTCATCGAAGCTTCGTTGTAGCTTCTTTCCGCCCTTTCCTGCTCTCCTTTCACCCGCACATGGTGAGATATGTGTTTTTAGGTAGCCAACCGCCTCATCAACTTATCACTAGCTTCACGCCACCAGCAGGGACCACCCTTTCATGTTTCAATCCGCTCTTGGTTTCCCTTTAAAAGGGAAGGTCTCGTTGTTGAAACCAATCTCGGCTCATCCTGCCGAGCAGCATCTTTGCCGCATTCTGCCAGACACACGGCTGTACAGCGAACTTGGCACCTCGACTCATAGGTCCCCAAGACTCAGCAGGTGTTCCCAACTGGGATTTTAGGTGAGCAACCCCCAAACATTATCATTGTTTGGTGAGTACGCCCATTGTCATGCCCCACTATGCCAAATCCAACGGTGGATTCCGCAATTTCTGGCACTCCAGGAATGCTCTCCTTTAGCAGCTTCCAAGGGGAATCAACAACAGACCCTACGCAAACAATATCAGGGTTTGTCTGAAAATGGGAACCTAAAATGACTGGCTTCCTTTACAACCACCGAATCACCAATAAACAACAAAAAGCTACATCAACGTCTCGGATACAAGGTGACTTCATTCCAGTGGGTTTCTGCACCCCAAAGCGGAAGAGCGGTCGCATAAAGGGAACTCAAGAGCCCCGTGCCGATATTCTACCCTTTTGCTCTGAGCAACACTGGGATCCTTGGACCCACATCAGTTGATCTTTTCATGTCTAGGTCCCATGGTCTGCGTCATTGCCCTGCTTGCTGGCCATTGTTTTTGACTTTTCATGTTTTACCACTGGCTCACTCCTGAATTGTTTTCGCACCCTCTTCCCACAATGGATCCACCGAATGTAAGGTCGGAGGTTGACACATGGATTCAACATGCGGGTTGCGTCAACATTAAACCAGGTCGCCGCAGGTTTTAGTCTGTAGTTCCATTTACGAGGGTTCCATTTTGGGTACTTACATGTGCTCCTTCTGCCCATCGGTGAGCACAAGCAATAAAATACACAGATGAGTAACCTCCCACCCAAGTTGTCAAGGGATATTCACCTGGAAAGCAATCCAACCACTGAAGAAGGACCCCTCAATACCTGGTAGTCCGTAACGACAGCATCGCACAAAACAAATAACAAGGACCCCTCATAGCTGGAGGAGGGGGCATTATCTACCTCAGCTTTTGCCCCCAACACAAAAACATGACATTTATGGGTGCTCGTCAATTTAGGGACAAAGACGTGGGGGGTTATTCAGGCTTCTCCGAAACCTGCTTCACGCTAGGGATTTCTTCGGCCATCGGGGCATGCAGAATGTACACTGGCAGGCCGGGAAGGGAGGGGTGGGGAGGGAGACCTGGGTGTGCTTTTGACAGTGTTGAGCCAAACCTGAAATCTGTACATGTCTCTCTCTATCCCGTGAAAATTGTACACTCTTTCGTCTGGACGCCCCCGCACACCTCGGAAATGTACAGCCAAAAGTCGCGTACATTTACTTGCCTACGCCCCCCCCTTTGTGATAGGACCACTCACATTTTTTGCTCCGGGTCCCAGACCCATTTTGAGACCCATCTGAGCATTGCCCCCGAAGGTCGCTGACCCAGATCTGTGAAAATGCGGCGCAGCCACAGTGAGGGAAGAGTCGGAGAAAGTGCCGCGCCGAAAGAATCCACTTCCTGACGTGTCAACCATGGAATCAAGAAAACCAAAAACAGAACCAAAAAAGAACCATCGAATGAGCCACTCACCTCACCTCAAAGGCCCCCCAACTGCAACTAATATCTTTAGATGTTGGTGAATATTTAGTGAACCTGAAGACATACAGTATGGCCTCATGACTATAACCACCATTGATGCATCCAAAACAAATATTGCATTCATCGCGGGCGAGCTTGCTTTACCCCAAGAAGAGCTCGCATTTGTTGGTGCAGATTCTCGGTCGCCTGTAACTGACACATAAGTAGTTTGTCTGGTGCATGGAACCCTGCCAGCAAACGTTGTGTGGCAAAATCGATCACCCATGCTCATGTGCGATTCGAACAAAGCTTGTTGGCGTCAAATGGAATCGACAGGGATACCTGGAGCTCACGGTCACCACAGGAAACACATATGGGTGTGTGGTTGTTTGAGGGTACCCTTTTCCACCTTGGCTTAAAGGAAACCACACAGCGATTTTTGGATTGCGGGCCCCCTTCATTTTGACGCAAACCCATTCACGTGTTTGTTGCATGCTGTTGAACGGAACCTTGTTCAATCTGAAGAAACGCAGGGCGCCACTGGCAAAATAGGAATCAAAGCCTGTGCTTGTTTGAAGGTTGACTTAAATTGAAAACGATCCACACAAAGTGAAGGATCACGCTGTCACGCCAGGTATTGTGTTCTCATGTTCACTGCCAAATGGAAGAACAAACAAATACACACAACAAACAAGCCAAGAGGAGACAGAAGAGCTGTTCTTCTTGTTGCTTGATAAAGAAGAACTATCCACAACAACTCAGGTGGCAAACAAAGACCTGGACGAAACAACGCAATACCCATACCCTGTGGGTTTCCTTTCGGACAAAACAAAGAAAACACAAGGGGGATCATTTGCTGCCGAAAGAATGTGGAAATAACAGGTGAACCTTTGGGATCACAACATATAAAAGGTCTGCAGTGGATTCCCTTGCACCATCTCCGTTGGGGTCAGGGTCAAGGGAAACCTGCTTGTTGGTATGCAAATATCCAGACCTGTGCCCTTTGTCCAGTTAGAGTGCTTGAAGCAGGAGGTTTCAATCAAGGTGGGCCAGAATTGGGGCATGTACTAACTCATTGTTACTTTGACTTAGGAACGCACTCTCAAAAGGACAAATGTTTACCTCAGGTCTGGGTCCATTTGGTGAGTAGTAGCCTGCCAACAGTTTACCTGTTGGTAGTGGAGAGTCCCCATCGCTGTCTAAGTTGAGTTGATGGGAGGCCCGGCCAACGAGCAGACATGGCGACTCCTGGGCTCCAGGATTTGTAAGACCATGCGGCTATGAGTATTCATGTCCAGCTAGCTTGAGAGACCCTGGAGAGAAAAACATATTCCGTTCACTTGGCCAATGTTCGGTCCTACACCTGGGATTTGGATATATATGTATACACATACGTGTATATATATATATATATACATAGATATTCTCCATCATCATTTCAGTACCAATTGTTGACCGTGTTTTGAAGGACTCCTCCCTTTTTTGCCCTTTGCCCCTTGCCCCAGGTCACTGGGGGCAAGGACCAGCTTAAAGGGCATAAGTTTCCAATGAAAACTTCAATTAACCCTTTGCACGACATCGTTTAGGTGCGGGTTAATGTCCGCAAACCACTTTCGAGGTGGCTCAATAGTCAAAAAATCATAGCCATGTGGGTCTCTGCTTTGGCTTCCACCCATTGAGCACCTCAAAAAGGAACGGACCGTTTTGCTGGGCTTCTCGTAGGGCGCTGCACAGCTCACCGGGGAGCAGAACCAACCAGCCAGATCCAAATCGCAGGCACCTCCGGGAAAAAAGACTCAAAAAATGGTTCCTGTTAGACGACCCCCCGACATGGGTATCGCGCTCACCTTAAAACCAAAATTAGAGTAATTACCCAAGAGACACACACAAATAGGGGTCCCCTTCTTCATGGACATGTTCTTGGATGTTGTGAAAAGGGACCAACCTTAAGGTGTCCAGAATGTTGAGAAATACAAAAGTAGGGCATGGGGATATGAATCGTCGACATTCGAAATGACTCTTTTTGGAAGTAGGATAAGGAACCGAAGAAACCTTTCGAAGTAGAATGCTCGGACGACTTCCCAGCTAAACAGGGGTTCAGGAAAAAGTGAGAACTGAACCAACTCCTGTTTCTTTTTAGGCAAGTTGAGCATCAGAATACATTGTCTCGTTGAGGCCGGTTCACACATTACTGTTTTGGTTCCCGAGTGTCAAGTTTACGGACACCTGACGACCTGATATGAGTACCAGAAACTGATAGCTGCTGAAGCGGTACTCCACTGGTTCGCTCCTCAAACGGTCCAAGGGAACCCAGGGCGCAAAAGCCTGTGGACTAGGCCCTCGCACGAACGCAATGACAATGGTTTTTCTCTCAAGCTAGCGGCTACAGCCAGTCCGCACGGCTGGCCACGCATTCATGCGCCAGCCCCCTCCCCAGCTTTGGCTTTCTGTGGCTGTAGCTGCGGCTCTTGGAAAGCCCCCTTGCCCTTGCACTGCGGCTGTCACTGTCCTTTCAATGCCAAACGGATACTTTCACGCAGCTGATACTCGGCCACGCTTGGCCCTGGAGTAAGGACGGAGGTCAAAGGAAGCGCCTAAAACACATAGCCTCTGGGCGACTCCTGGCCAACTGGGCTTCGAGGCCAACATTCGGCAACGACTTGGCCACCCCAGTCTTTGTGGGGAAGCACTGTCCTATGAATCCACCAGGCCTGTGAATCCAGGATCGACATTGTGGACACATTAGCTTTGCTCATCTTCCTCGGAACCATCGGAAGTTCAAACTACTTATTGTTCACACGGATCGTCTTCCTGGCCTCATTATTTACCATCACCAAAGTCACCCATGAAGTGGTAGATAGGTACTGACTTTGATATCCCCCAGAAGTGAACATAATGACCCAGTTCAGTCCGATTGGGGAAGCGTCCCTCGGCTTCAAGTCCAAACCCTTCACTCTCGTAACTCGGTCCAGAATCCGCTGTATGGGAATCTCCCCATGACTTTATCGCTTTTTGGTCTTGGGGGTTTCTATTTGAGGACGCACCAGTACACTCCAGCACACCCCACCCGTTTGGGGTTGGCTTCAACAGTCACCCCACCCCCGGTTGTTTCTTGGAGTTGGTACGCCCTTCCTGTTGTGGTTTTCAAGGAAACCAAAAGGACAATCACATTTTCTTCGCGGGGGTGCCTAAAAAACAAGACACACTCATGCTTCCCTTGCTCAGAAAGTGGTCCAAAAACCCTCCGCCCATCCCGAGCGACCCCGCCCCGCAAAAGGGACCTGCTTTGGCGCCGAAAGTGATCTTGAAACCACGGGATAATTGGGAAACGTGTGAATTTAGGGTTACGCGCCGCATTCCCAAACACTCATTATTGAAATCGCTACGCGATCCGCCGACGCCAGTGGACAGTCCCCTATTAATAAACTGGGGCTGATCAATCTGGAGTCAGCACTGGAGAAGAACACTAGGGTCTACTCTTTAAACCACCCCCCGAAAAGGGTATAAAAGCAAGGCCCCAATTTTTTTTTGTAAGTGCAACAAGGCCAGGCCTTCTTGGCACTTTCCTGTTTTTCATGTCCCAGATGCTGAGGATGCTGGAAATGCAAGGGATGCAACCACACAACTTACAGGAACAGACCCGATCTTCGCACTCAATATTTTAAGACTTTTCAGACACGCAACATTGACCAAACACAGGAAATACCAGAGATGTGGGGAATGCTGGGAATGCAGCCGGCTAGCCACAAAAAAGTGCAACAAACAAACGGGTTTTTCAATATTTCCCAAAAGCAACCATCAAACTAGAGGACGATTGGCCCGAAAGCATTTTTCCCCAGGTGCTCATCGCTGCGGCAAGCGTGTCTGCGCGCGGCGATGCTCAATGTGTATGGTCACATGAGAGCTCCATCTCATCGTCCGACGAGAGGAAACATGGCAGTGCTCGATCCCACATATTTACATCCGTTAAAACAAGAAGAGTAAAGCTCGTAAAGCTCGAAACGAATTACAAGCAAAAGGAAAAGCAATCAATAGCACAGCTTACACGACGGCCACAGTTTCTGCAAAGCACGCTCGCGCAACTTAGCTCTGTGCAAGATGGCTCTGCGCAGCTTGGCTCTGCGAAAGTTGGCTCTACGCAAGCTACTTTTCGCGAGTGGCTCTGCGCAACTGGCTCTGTGCAAGTTGGCTCTGCACGAGTCTGCTCGGCGCAATGTGCTTTGCACGAACTGCGCCGCGCGATTTCTCACGAAAGTGGTCTGCGCAAGCTGCATTGTTCCAGGCTGCTGCGCGCAAGTTGCTCTCTCTGCAAGTTGCTCTGCGCAAGCGCTCTGAGCAAGTTGCTCTGCGCAAGTGCTCTGCGCCAGTTGCTCCGCGCAAGCGCTTTGCGCGTGAGCTCTGTGCAAGTTGGTCTGTGCAAGTTGCTCTGCGCAAGTGCTTTGTGCAAGTGCTCTGTGCAAGTTGCTCTGCGCAAGTTGCTCTGCGCAAGTGCTGCCGGAGCTGTGGGAATGTACTTCGCGTACTATGTTTTGTACTTAAAAGTTGCGATTTTCCAGCCGGAGCTGCGCGAGTGTTCTCCGCGTACTACTTTTGTACTTAAAAGTTGCGATTTTCCAGCCGGAGCTGCGGGAGCACGCTCCGCATACTACGTCTGTACTTAAAAGTTGCGATTTTCCAGCCGAAGCTGCAGGAGCACGCGCCGCGTACTACGTTTGTACTTAGAAGCTGCAATTTTCAAGCCGGAGCTGCCGCGGACCAGGGGGGAATCGAACACGCGACCGCGGGATTGCGAAAGCAGGCGCGCAAACCACGAGACAACTTCCAAAGGCCATTTCGCGAGCAGCAAAATCGCACGGCGCCACAGCGAGAGCGCTTCTTTTGAACCTCGCCCACGCGAATCTCCGCAGAGGGTCGCGCGCGGCTTGCAGAAATCGTAAAAAGTCCGTTTGTTGACCTCGACCACGCGAATCTCCGCAGAGGGTCGCGCGCGGCCTGCAGAAATCGTAAAAAGTCCTCAGTTTTTTTACCTCGACCACGCGAATCTCCGCAGAGGGTCGCAATCCCGAGCGATGATCAAACTCCCGCCCCGGCGCCTTAGAAACCTAAACTAACTTACATAGCTGCTTACGCCGAAGCTCTACGCAAGCTCTACCTAACCTTGGCTCTGTGCCACTTGGCTCTACTTGGCTCTATGTAACTTGGCTCTATGTAACTTGGCTCTATGTTGGCTCTATGTAACTTGGCTCTATGTAACTTGGCTCTATGTAACTTGGCTCTATGTAACTTGGCTCTATGTAACTTGGCTCTATGTAACTTGGCTCTATGTAACTTGGCTCTATGTAACTTGGCTCTATGTAACTTGGCTCTATGTAACTTGGCTCTATGTAACTTGGCTCTATGTAACTTGGCTCTATGTAACTTGGCTCTATGTAGCTTGGCTCTATGTAACTTGGCTCTATGTAACTTGGCTCTGTGCAACTTGGCTCTGTGTAACTTGTCCAAGGGCTCCGCACGGAAGAACCCTTCGCGAAGCTTTTGGGAAAACCGATACTACCTCAAATACCATAAAATTTTTGCAAATTTCAACAGTTCCTCAAAATATCACTGCACTTGGCCCCACCCAAACCCCTAACAGGCCACTTCCAACATCACTTCAAACAGCAAAACACCATCTGCAAAAAAAGAGACAAATTCATGGCAACAAGAGAATCCTGATGATGCTGGGGATGCAAATCCTGCGCGTCCGGGGGAACCCCCCTCCCCTAGAGACCTAGGCGAAACGCATATTTTTAGCACGAAAGACCCAAAAACACTGGACAAATACAGGGTCTTGGACACCTATCACAGCATGCCCAAAAAAAGCAGTCCCAAAAGACTTCGGCTTTGATAAGAGATTCCGAAGGAAGACCAAGTTGCGGACTGCCATCTACACGCTCGACTGGCGTCGGCGGATTAAGTTGGTTTAAAGTGGCCCACAAGCCCACTCTGGTGGTCTTCCTTCTTGTTGTTTCTTGAAACCCGCACGCAAGAGGCCAAAAAAGGTACACCCTGGGACCTTGACTAAAAGTAGACCAAACAAAAAATGTTCCACCACATTTGACCCCAGAACCCCCTCCCGCCCCCCATTGGTCGACGCGTTCGACGCGTCGCTTCGCCTCCAGCGCGGAGGTGCAAATCCATCTGCAGCAGCCGCCCCCTGCGGCTTCTGCAGGCCTCGAAGGCCGCGCCCAGCGCCTGGGAGCTGGGCGCGGACGCCGAAGCCTAAGCCGCCATTGGGGGGGGGGCTGCGGGGGAGGTGGAAACAAAGGGCAGGAGGCAGAAAACCGTAGGCTGAATCGGACAAACATAGCGACTAGCTTAGGAACTTCCCTGGAGATGGAGGGGAGAAACTTGGATTTGCTGTTTGAAGCACACCGGAAAATTGGAAAGGGGTGAACATGAAACACAGAGGACAATGGGGAGACTTCGAGAAAAACATGCATGCAGTGCCAAAAAAAACAACCAAATTTGACCATCAACAAAAGTAACATTAATTATGAACATCAGCAAATGTGACAAAAGCCAGCATGCGCAAACCGGGGGGGGGCTCCCTTCCGATTGGCCAGGAGAGTCTAAACTTCAGGTTTACCACTCAAATAAAGTCAAGAACTCAGGGAGTGAGTTAGAAAAAGAAGAGGTCCCTTCAAACGCCCCCGAAGGGTTGATTGGGGCCCTTGTCCAAGTAAATTGGTCTGACATCCCTGCAAGAAGGACCGATGGGGACGCCGAATCAGTCTTTTGACCTGTGAGTTCTTTTGTCCAATTGAATTCCGAGCCTAGAGGGAGGAGGGGTGGTTGGGCATTGGTGCGCAGGCCAGGTTCATTGATCTGGCCTTCCCACAAAGGATAAATGGGGTTGTCTCAAAATGGGGGAACCTCCCAATCCAGTGGTGTTCCTTTGGTGTCCTTTTCAAACCACTCCAAAAAGGGTACGGGTACGATTAAAATTCAGACATACTCAAACGGATCAAAAGGAGATCCCCGGGTGGAAGAATGCAGCCTTCCACAGGTTGCGCTAGCCAAACCAATAGAAAAAACACCAGGGCCCACTTTGAATGAAGTGCTCCAACGAATTCTTTCTGCTTTGCCAGACTTAGACCTCCTGCCAAAAGTGAAAGGGACAATGAAGGAAACCCAAAAGGGCATAGCCAGAAGAAAGGTAAGTTGACCCCGGTTGTGTCGCGGTTGCTTTGCTAGGGTCTGAGGAAAGAGGTAAAAGGAAAGGGACATGTGGACCAGCCGGCAGTAAAGAGGCTGGGTGCATCATTTCCTTATCCATCCACTCACCGGTGACTCCGGAAGGAAACGGTGAAAGGGAGGGATAAAGGGAAAGGAAATGATGGATGAAATGATGTCACCTAACCCTCTCTCACCGGTTAACCCGGGAAATAGAGAGGGTGATGAGGTGACCAATAGATGGATTGGGGATGTGTGTGAACGAAGAGATCCATCCCCTCCACCATCTCACACCTCTTCATCCCTTCCCACCTATCCACTTCCAAGCCTATCAATCATCAACAGTGGATAGGGAAGGGAGGAAGTGTGTGTCATCTCTCTAGCCAAAGGCCCAATGGATTGCCCATAGAGATGCCACTCGGAGCGCATGGCCAACATCACTTGTGCATGTTTTTACGTTTTGCTGGCAAGGGAAAATCACGAACAATCAAGATGGCAAACGTTGTAAAGGCAAGTTGAGTCTATGATCGGGGAGCTTTTACATCAGGTTTCCCCTACTAGTGAACTTATGAGCCTCTTTAGTTCTCCCCAGCGCCTTGAAAAGAACCAATGGCTCTCATCATAAGGCTATAAGGGAAACCTGCCTGGCGGGTTGCTCTTCCCCTCCTGAGCAAAAGTCTAACCTTCTGTAGGTTTAATGGAGCATCTTATTTGTTTCCAAAAGGTCTGAGGCACCAAAGACCAGCCATGCTTGGGTGCCACGAATCCATGACAGTCGTTTTTCATTGCATCCCCTGAGATGGGAACTTGGTAACCAGTTCCCCATGTCAGTTTGGTGAGTCCTTGTCCCCTTCAAAGCCGGGGGAGAGAAAAGCAAAATGCACGATTTGGACCCCCTACGGTCGTTTCAGAGTTCTCCAAACTCTTGAACAGTTTGGCTTTGAAAGTGTATGCTGATCTTTGCTCAGTGTGAAAAGACACAGTCAAGCAGCCAATGAAACCATATCTGTGAAATGCTCCAAATCTCGATCGCAAAGCGCAGGATTCAAAGAGGACTCGAAGCGATGACTTCCTGGCAATGTCAAACTCTGCAACTCTTCCCCCCTTGCCTGGGTTCGCGACATTGCAGGAGTGCAGGAACAAAAATGGCGGTTCTCCTTTTGCCTTCCCTTGATAGCATTTTGTTTAAGGGTACCCAGCCTGAGAAACAAATCGTGAGTGTCATCCTGAACTGCCCAAACCCAAGAAAACTTGGTATTTGTCAAAACAGGGGCTTCGATCCCCAAAACAGTGGATCGCTTTTCTGTTGGATTCTATTTTAACCAGGGTGACACGCTTTCCAAAAACAACACACCCAATGAAAGCTTCACGATAAGCCAAAGGGTCAGACCATTCGTGAATCGTCCCCTCCGGGGAAAATCCCCAAATGAACAACTGCAAATTCGGCTAGCTTGGTAAACTTATATTGGGAGTTTCAAACCTTAACCTTTTAAACAGGCCAAGCTCGACTGAAAGCCACAGGTCAAAAGGTCTCGAAGCGAGCGAATTGGACCCGCGGCCTTCCCCTATGACCTTCCCGAACTTCACCATGTTGTCCTGGAGGAGTGGGTTCCAATCCGTCTCGCCGACCTCCTGGGAGCAGGTGACACCTTGGGGATGCCTGGGATTTCTGGGCTTTTAAGGGATTAAGGATTCATCCAACAAGACTCATAAACTGTAAAGATTCTGAGAAGCTCCCGCCTCATTCCTGCTGGAACTCATTCTTGGATATCCTCTTACAAAAAAAGGAGATGCCTCTATGGGCATTTCACAGCTTGCTTATTTCAGGAGATTAACCCCAGTGATTGGGCACTCTACTGGCCAACAAAAGCAGCCGTGGTTTCATCTAGACTTCAAAGGGGATTCCCCCTTTCAACCAAAAAGAAAGGGGCACTGATGGCACCGCTCCCACTCCAAGTCTGGGTGTTGCCGCTTTGCCTTTGCTTGATTGCTGTTGACCCTCTGCAACAAGTTTCTCACTTTTTGTAGGTCCAATTGGGAAAATCCGGACTGCTCCCCACAGTGAAAGTCCAAAGGTGCGTCACCAACTAGCCATACACTTACCCCACCAGTAATACACATCAGAGGGTGTTTCTCGAAATTGGGGCCCAATTCCTCCAGGGTTTCCTTCTTTCGGCTCCTTCTGTCGGCCCCGCCTCTGGGGCGCAGCACTCAGGCCCTGCGAGGATCCCATCGCAGTCATTCGCCGAAGACACGACCAGCGCCAGCGAGCCCAGCAGCTTCGAAGCACCCGGCATGCGGAAGTTGATCCCTTGAGCCAAGGCAAACGGGCAAGTTGCTTTTCTCACACACACACACACACTGGCTTCGGGATTTCTGTTGGTTTCCCTTTAACACCAGTCAAAAAAGGGGTCCACAAAAGACACACCCATTTCAGTCGTATCAGCTACTAGCAGTCAAATTATTTGTGTGTGTCCCCAATTCCAATATGGGCAAATCAATGAGCACGTGGCTTGCGCGGGGAATTGCGCGAGTTCCCCATGTCCCTCCCAAATAGGCCATAGACCACTTGAAATTATTTGCGCGAGCCTCATATGTTGGCAGCTCGAATTTCATCACTCTCGTCATTCGCAGCGTTCCAACCAGTAGAATCACTTTTGCATCGTTCCACTTTAGTGATTCAAGCAACCTGGGGCTCCATGGTGTGCAATCCATTCGCTACATCGCTTTTTCTCTGCTTGACGCAGCAGCAAATCTTTGGCTGCTGCGAGCGCGCGCACAGCGCCGGTGCCTGCTTTATGGTTTGATTTCGGGGAAACTTATATAAGAAAGCCGTTCTTGAGAATGTTCTCCCATTTTGCCACTCTCATTTAAGTGTCCCTTGAACCCTACCCTTGCCATCCAAAGGAGAAGCTTGCATAGCACGGGCTGTTCTTTTCTATTCGGATGTGTACCCCTACACGTGTGATTTCCTTTTGGTTTTCCTGTACACCGACCCCAAAACAGGTACACAGCTGGATGTGCTGTTTCTGTTATTTTGTCGGTGTCACTGTCGCAGCTGCCGAAGGATCTCCTGGTTGCTGGCAAGCCTGGGCCAGGTACCAAAACCCTGGCCATCCTTGCACATGGTTGCCGTGGGATTCAGACCAACAAAACAATGGGCTTAGCCTAGCGTCACCATTGTTTACCTGAGGAGTTTCATCTAAACTTGGTCCTTGCCACAATCCTAGGGTTCTCATTATGTGATACCAAAGTGGGTTTCGCATCCCTGTGACATGTTTTGTCATGAGGATTCCCTTGGCACACCGAAACAAAACAAAACAGTAATCCACAAACACGGCCTTGTAAGGGGGTGGTGAATCATTACCATGTTGGGTTCTGAGCCGACGATAGATGGGTGAAAGATGCGATCGATTGAAACGTTGAAAGTGCAAGCGTTTGCATGTGTAGCATATAGGCAGTGCTACATGGCCCTTTCCTCCAACAAACCAACGATCGGATTCACGCGCTTGTTTGGTCGCAACAACATTCAAACCAGCAGAGTCGCTGAGTCTGCCGCGCTGCACGCAGCTCTGTGTTCTCCCGGGTTGCATGGAGCAACTGCTGCCTGCCATTGATCATGCGACCCCCCCCCCCGTTCCTCCAAGAAGACCCTAAGTCATGGTCTGTAACCCAATTTCAGCTGATTAAAATGAATCCAAGGGGGTTTGATCCTATAAAGTGAAGCTGGCTGCACCATTGCTTTTGAAATGCAGATGTCCACATCTGTGCACAAACACCACATTTTGCTGAGTGGGAAACACGCTTAAGCCGCTTAGATATGAAAGGCTCGACCGAGAAAACAAAACCGAAAAACAGAAAGCACCACCGAATGTCTATTACCCCTTGCTCAAAATTGCGTACACACACAGCAACTTGCTGGTGAATGGGAGAACAGACAACAAAACCAGGCAGCAACTTTGATGGTTTTTGATTGCGATGGACCTGACGTCCCCGCCTGACAGCTGAGATGGTGTCCCGCAGGCCGTGAAGCTGCGCCTGACATTTTTCTTTCGTCAGATGCTATGGTTTTCATTTTTTTTAGGGGAGCCCAACACGTGTTTTCGGTGTTCTGGTCGGTTTACAAACAACAGAGGTACCAGCCCCACAAAAAGACACGCCCAAGTATGTAGTGTAGCCACAAGCATACATGCTCCCATGTCATCGGATGGTGAGTGCCTTCCATTTCCTAGCAGACAATAGATGAGGGTTGTGTGGGATCCATCGAATCACAACAAAACTAAAAAGATTCCGTCAAATAACACTCGTACACAGACACACAAACACAGAGACACAGACACACACACACACACACACACAAACACACACAGGCGCACACGCACACACAGGCACGCACGCACACCTGCGTGCAGGCACGCACCCATGGAAGTGCATCAATTTCAAGGGGCTCTCCTCACTCCCCCCAATTCCGTCTTGGTCAGGGTTGTTTGTCTTTTCATGCCCACCTGCCACTTAGCTCCCGATGCCCATTGTCAAATCATAAACGGAGTCTGGGACTGAAAACAAGGCATCTTCCCCGACTTGTGACCCCTGTATTTGGTTGGAAGGCGGTTTTAGGGATAAAGAAAGCCCAACGAAAGTTTCTCAATTTCAGAATAAGCACGTCCTACTAACGGGCGCCCTTTGGTTTTCAAAGGGAAACCAACAGGAAACCAAACGCGCACAGAAATCCAACAGAAACCCCAGCCCTCCAACCTGCTGAGCTGCTTTGAGCTCCCGCTCCACCTGACACGAAGGTTCTGGTTTGAGTTCCCTAGCAAATTCACGGAAGGAGCCGAAAAAGGAGGCCCCGTAAAAGAAATGGGTGCTATGTTTATCTGACCATCGCGGCCTTTTTGCCTGAAGTATAAAATGCTCGCCGCCAACGCAGGTTCTGTGATGTCTTCCTCATCAGTGTGCATATGTCAAACTTGGCCGTCGGCGAATATTCTCAGTTGCTTCTTCTGATGCAAGAATCCTCCGCAGTCCGCCAGCGCTACCGCTGCAGCGTAAGGTGGGCAAAACGGATCCTGATAGTATCCCAAAAGGCCAGTTGTGACAGCGAGGAGGCGGCGCACTCTTTTATGGGGGTGCAAGCTGAGTAATGATGGTAAAAGTCACAGCGGGATGCACACCAGCTGCACAATCCACATGCAGATGATGCTATTACACATATATGGCTACCCTACAATATCGAAAGGGACTCATGTATGTGTAACACCGTATACCCCCCCAAAACAAGCAGCTCCCGCGACTTTGACCCCACGCAAAAACTTCCCTTTCTGGTAAGAGGAAATTCTGGTAAATGAAGGAAACTCAACAGGGCGAGCAAAATGGTTCGTTAATTCTGATAATGTGCTGTGGACAACACTCATTGGCACGGAAGACAAGTGGTCATTGGACAAAAGGGACACCTTGTTGCTGGTTAAGTTTACAAACAACTGAAGTGACAAGCGTGGCGGGAGAGCGGGGTCTCATATAGACCCCGAAAGGCCCATGTCGGTTTCCTTGTCCCTCATTTAAGACGAGGGTACCAACTCAAGAAACCCACCTCAAGGCGCTTCTGGGTTAGCTGCAGCTCCTGCGAGGCGTTTCGGCCACTTCGAGTGCTAATGGATGTGTTGGGGAACCCCCTTCAAGTGGGTGGACACAAATCCACAAATGCTGTCCAAGAAGTCACTAATGAAATTCACGCCCATGTCATTTCCTTGGATAATGCTGACTCAAATCTGGCTTCCGCCAGTTAAAGCGGCTCATTACCCTGGTTTGGCACCTGAAACATCTGACAGACTTGGATAGGACCTATCAGTTTTCGCTACCCGAACTTGCTGCCCAAGCAAGGGAAAAGTTCATTCGCCCACACCCCCCTTCTCCGAGTTTCGTCATGTTCCAATAGTTTGTGCCCCTCCGTACGTCCCCTGGAAAGGATGATTTCTCTAAAACCAAGAGGGGGGAATAAAACCATCTTCGCAAGAACATGGAAGACTTCGAGTAGGAACTTATGAGTGCTGAGTGCCTGCCCTGCTAAGTTGGCCCTTGACTGCAGCGAACAAACTTGCCAAGAAAAGCACACAACAAGTTTGCCAACTCATCAGGTAGGGTGCTCATTCCATTACTGAAGGTGTTCCAGTTCGAGCAACTTATGTTTTCGCGCAGGGCTGGTCACACATGTGGGTGTTGCCTAAAGAACACGAGAACCACACACGCAGCTGCACATATGGGAAGTCACTATTTTGCCAGTGGCTATCCCTGAATGACAGTTTAGTCGCATCTTGAAATGATGTCTCACGTGGTGTTGCTACAGGAATTGCCAAGATGTTGGGTGTCGTGTCAGTGGGAGGAAGGGCAAGTTGGTAGGGTGCTAGTAAACTTGACATGAGCAGTGCCCGAAACCTGTTGACCAAGATTGTTGCAAAGCTTCATAAAGGCCTTCCTATCACCCTTGTTCAGCCAGATGGGAACCGAAACACCTACGTACTAAAATTTATTTAGGAAGCTGCCATATTTGCCATTAACATTGCAAATTCCCTTAGGTCATGCTCAATTGTTTAATGTTGGAGAGTGATTAATAAAGGGCCCCCCCGCCCCCCCTCAAACGAATTGGGGGGGGCCAACAGCGAAAACCCCAAAAACAAAATGGGGGTCAGACTGGGGCCTGCCTGAGTAGTTTTTCAGTAAATATTTTTTAGAATTGGTTTGGTATTGGTTTCGTATTCCTTTGAGCTGGCTCACTACGGTTTAGAATTGGTTTAGTATTAGTTCAGTATTCTTTTCAGTTGACTCACTACAGTTTAGAATTGGTTTAGTATTGGTTCTTCTTCTTGGCAGGCTGCCCTGGCGATTCTTTTTTTCACAATTCCCTACCCTTCAACAAACTGCATTATTGCCTTCCTGGGGGTTCCGTGTGCCACCCCCTTGAAAATTTGTCAGGGTGCATCTTCTAGTAAAGGGACTGATAAGGAATTTGGTGGTTTGGGACAGGAAGCAATCCAGAGATTCTAGACATTTCTGGCTGGACTCAAACGTTTCAACCCTCAAAAATAGTCTTTTTTTGGAAGGGAACATATTTTCGGGATTTTGGGCAGATTTTGTTTCTGTGCTACCTACCCTTTTTGCTTTTCAGGAGAGTGAACAATTTTGAGATGTTTTTCTGTATTCACTCCCCTTTTATTAATCGCTATCTAACATTACCGGTCAGTTTAGGGAACACTAAAGCAACCTCCCAAAGCAGGCTTCTAGACTTTTCCAGGGTTCCTTCGAAAAGGTAACCCCAGAGCTGACCATGGAGGAAACTTCCTCAGAACTTAACTCATGCGCTTAAGTCATGCAGGATGTTTTCCCCGGCTCCTCCGCTGCTTTGCTTTGCCTAGCGCTTTGTCTGAGCCCAGTCCCTGACTCACGGCAAACTACTGGGCATCAAGTTGAGGGGTATCCCTTAGATGGTCTACAAAGCCGGTCAAGGATGCGGAATCATTCGCAGGGGTACTACAACTCAGGAGAATCAGCTTTCCGGGACGCCTGCAATCAGGGATACCTATCTAGGCGTGTTCAAGCCACAGTTCAAACATCCACGGTTTTCCTTTGAAGTGGTTCCTAGCAACTGGTGGTTCAAATCTCCAGCGAGGGCGGTCCCTTATGTGTTTCCTTTCCCGGCAATGGAAACCATGGGACATGGACCACCCCCCCCCCTCACCCGGAGACTGGGGTATGGGATTCAAACCATATGTGCCTGAGCGAGGCCTGCCTTGGGACTGATTGAATTTTGGCTCCAACGAGGCCTCTGAAACCCCGGACCATCCGCTAGCGGAGTGAGAAACAACAGGTAAACAAGCACCTCCCATGATTTCAGATCAAAGAACTATCTTTGGTTGGTTCCCACCGAAAAGAAACAACATATCAAACACTTAGTTCGGCAGGTAGCCAACAACAGGACGGAAGTACTCGGCCAACAGGTTAAGGGCATAAGCGGTCAACAATCAAGAGGTTCAAAAGGTCAACCAAAGACCAAAACAGTGTGAAAGTTCAATCAGTACTTGTTGTTTGTTCTGGGTACTCTTTTTAGGGTTGGTTTTGCAAGCACAACCAAAAGGTTTTATGCATCGGTACCCCGCAACTTACCTGGTATATGCACAAAGGAGGCGGACCCCATTCACATGTCCTTTTCAGGCAGAAAATGCCCCCTGGCGTCAACATCAAATGAATGCGGCTTTTTGCAGAGTACGGTCGTGTAGTGTGACAATATTTTTTTTTTATTTTTTTTCTGTAGAGAGTCTCAACAATTCCTAAAACATACATTTAATGTAGAAATCTAGGGTTTTGCCGAGACTCTGGTTTCTGGGGGTCTAAACTTTGTTTCTCTTATTATGGTCGAGCGCAGCAGCAAAGGCGGCCGCAGCAGCAGCAGCAGTGGACGCCCCAGAGATCTAAGGTGCCATGTCTTGGAATGTAGAGTACGGCTTGATCAGGCTGAGTCTGGCTGGATCTGACTGAATCTGGCTGGATCTGGCTGGCTCTGGCTGAATTCGGCTGGCTGAATATGGCTTGATCTGGCTGAGTCTGGCTGGATTGGCTGAATCTGGCTGGATCTGGCTGGCTCTGGCTGAATTCGGCTGGCTGAATATGGCTTGATCTGGCTGAGTCTGGCTGGATCTGGCTAGATCTGGCTGAATTTGGCTGGATCTGGCTGGATCTGGCTGTTTACGGCTTGATCTGGCTGAGTCTGGCTGGATCTTGAATCTGGCTGGATCTCTGGCTGGATCTGGCTGAATAATCTGGCTGGCTGAATACGGCTTGATTTGGCTGAGTCTGGCTGGATCTGGCTGGATCTGGCTGAATAATCTGGCTGGCTGAATACGGCTTGATTTGGCTGAGTCTGGCTGGATCTGGCTGGATCTGGCTGGCTGCATACGGCTTGGTCGGGCTGAGTCTGGCTGGATCTGGCTGAATCTGGCTGAATCTGGCTGGATCTGGCTGAATCTGGCTGACAGCTTGATCTGGCTGAGATCAAACTGTCCAAAATTCAAATGCCTAAAATTGCCATCATAAGAGGTCCCAGCGCTGAACATTACCATGCAAGCGCCCTCCTTTCCATGGCTCACTCAAATGATGAGCTCGAGCTTAGACTGGCCCAGAAGGCAATACATCCAAACAAGCGACAAACCAAGAAGTACGATTGAAAAGCAAAAGGACCATGAATGTCCTCTGCTCGAGTCCTGCAACGGTCGCCGCCTTTCCATAAAACGCGAGCCAAAATCGGATTTTTCCGGCTTCCGAGACTCTGGGAAATTTACTTGCCGGCCGAACGAGAGTCTCATTTCTTTTTTAATAAGATTTCTTAACACAAAGAACGACCGTAACTTTTTCGCGGGGTTGCTTAAAAGCAAATTCAAAGAGAAAACAACCACTAAACAACCCATGTAAGGCGTTCTCCTATTTAGATTCCCGTTTTGAGGGTACCCAGTTTTGGGTTTGCCCGCTTGTCGGCGTATGGTATTCAATCAAAATGGTGGATCCTCGGTTGGTTGGGAAAGGGATACGAAAGGAAACCAACCAGTTTAGAGCGCCCCTATGAGAACCCTTCGCACAGTGTTTGGTCGCCGGCCTCGCAGCCTCCTCTTGCCGCTTGCGGCCCGCTGTCTCCACCTAAGAACACCTTTTCCCCTTTTCTGTTTGCTTTTGTTTTTTTTTGGGGAGTGGGACCCCAAAACTTGTGCTCTATTTATCTTTCGATTTATGTTGGACTGGGTAGAAAGTTGGGCCCTACTAAAGGAGAACGTCGTACCCTCGTGGTCTGGTCATTTGGTTGTCTTTTGGGGGATTTCAGAAACCCCTCATTTCAAAGACAGACCCATTTGGGGTTCAGAGCAACGTCAGTACAAAAGGGCAAATTCAAAACTGGTTGAGCTCTCTAGGTTCATTTCGCCACGGCTAGCTGACATCATCCAACAAATCAGGCCCCTTGTCTCACTTGCCCAAAGGGCAACAGCTTACGTAACCGTTTTGGGATTTTGACTAAATACGGACCACAGTGGGAAAACCAAAAGGTCAATAGGCCGGAAAAGGCATGTTTTAGTCTGTATCGCACACGCGTCGACTCCTTTCATTCAGAGCTCCTCCTTCACCTGCGGTGCATTTCCCCAAGTTTGCGACAGAAACTGCACGAGAATCACGGGATGAAATGATGTGGGGTGTCTTAAAATAGGGGACCCCAGAAATGGCGGTTTCACCTTTGGTTTCCCCACTCAAACTAACCACCACCCGGAAAAGGGTGCCCTCAAAAATACCCATGTTGAAGGTTTGCAGCAACCCTGGCTCGCTCCGCTTTTCCCGAATCTCCCCTATCTCCTCCAGCATGTGTCCAGCGCTCCAAAACTAGGACGCTCCTAAAAAATGCTAGGATTCCTGAGCCACACACACACAGCAGAGGAAAAACTGAGGCTTTTCCACAAACCAAGAAGGGCTCTTAGAACCTCAGGGGTCTAGGGCTCTGAAAAACCAATCTGGTGGGTGCGACCCGAAAAGCTTAGCCCAACATCTCTGCAATCCAAGTGAGGGATCTCTGCGCCAGGTTCTGGCCAACTCCTTCGAAGAAGACAGTTTAAACAAGCTCCTTTGCTTTCCCAGGGGGGCCAAGGATTCAAACACAAGGATGGCTCGACCCCCCTCAGCAACACAAATGACTCTTTCTTTGGTTGGAAAAACTACATCAAAAAATCCAGAAAAACACACTGAACAAAACAAGTCAAAGTTTGAAAATCCAACCGCATGGCAGCCGCTGCAGTACCCTAAACGCTTCACACGCTCGGCCTCTTTCTGGCGTTGCCGCGCCAACCTCTGGGTGGATTGAGCCCGCAAGGCCAATCGCTGCACCTGTCGCGGCGAGTGGATGAGGGACATCTTCCGGCCCATGAAAAGCAACGGACAATGGTACTGGCATCCTGTGGTTGATTTGGAGAGGACACGGGGGGTCTGCCCAATATCACCCCTTTTCTCACAACAAATAGGGGGCCTACCCAACTGAACCAACTGTAAGTAAGCCCATACGGTATCATCCAAGTGGGGATTGCTACCCACCAACTTTTGAAGGGGGTCCCTATGAAAACTCATGGGTGCGTCTTGTTTTTGAGGGGCTTTCGTGGCTGGCCGTCTATAATGAGATAAACAAGGGGTCCATTCCAGCGGCGACGGTAACACGTTCCTGTTTGTTTAACTTTCACTCCCAAGGTTTCCCTTCACACTTAGACTTCCTTTCGCGACCTGACCCCTACTTGGATTCCTCTCAATGACAAGAACTGGGGTGCTCTTTCCCCCGAGCAACAAGTCTAACTTTTCGTGGGTTTAATGCAAAAAGCCGCTTGTTTCCACAAGGGGTAAGGGGCCAAGGTGACACAAAAGACCAGCCAAAACAAGGCCTGCTCCATCTGCAACCCATGTAATTTTTTGGCGACCGGCTCAACCTCCAACTCGTTCCAGAGGAAATGTCAAGCCTTTACCTTCGACTCACCTTTAAAGTGGACCCATATCATCCCCTGTTATGTCCTCCAAGTTTCCTGGAAATCCGCAACCGGACATGGACGTCGTTACGACGTCGTTTTGCGTTTTTGTTTGGGGGGGGGGGGGAGAAATGGGTTCCCATTTAGTGTTCCAAGCGCCTCCGATTGTCAGCTCAGCTTCCATGATGCTTGGAAAGACTCGTTTCCTAAGTGGAGTGGTCAGGCAAAATCTGGACTTGACGTTTACCTCCTTCTACGAGAACTGCCAAACAAGAAACATGGGGTCCCTAAGTAAAAGACATACATCTCGCGAATGCGGCCGAGCCGTGCAGCCGGCTGACTGGGCAGACGAGGGCTTTGCGCCCAAAGGAACTTCGAAGTGCCGGCCCCAGTAACGAACGTCTCAGTGTGACAAGACCTGGGGCCCTCGGGCCCCGCGCACGGAAGACGGGTGTTCTGGCACCCAGGAGTAAAAGAACCGAACCAGTCCCTAATCGCTAGGGAGTGGGCACGCAGAGTTGCCTGGAACTAGTACACAAAAGCAGAAAATACTCGAAGCAAGTGAAAGCGCAGCAGCGATGCTCTTTTAGGCATGGCCAAGACCAGCAGGATATCAGCACCTTGCAGGTGAGCAAAGGTGTCCGTCCACTAGCCGCTAAAGGACCGACATCGTGGTAAGGTCGTGCTAACAGCAGCTGACACGCCATAAAATAGGCAGGGCGAAAAAATGAGAGGGTAAACCTTTTGCTTGCAAGCAAGTCTCTCTTTGCTACCAGGCCTCCTGCGCCAGTTCTTTGGCATTTTGCCCATCCTCAGACGGGCGCTTTTTGCGGCTCAGCTGCTTGCCAAAACCCCAGATCTTGCTTTTCATCAAGCAGCCTGGATCTGAACCCAAGCTTTTGCATCAAAAGCAGCCTTACATCGAATCAGGCCATACCGACAAAGGCACATCTCAGTCCTAGCAATCCTTCAGTCGTAGCTTTGCAAACAAGACACTGGGCCACGTCCATGACAATATACGCATATGTATTTCCATGTACAAAAATACGGGCCAACATAAGGAGACGTTTGAGAAGCATAACAAGTCACCTTGGGCAATAAAAGCGACTGGGGGAGGTATGGCTTGGTTGGGGGGACCCTGTTTTTCCAACCCCACCGGTGTTTTTGCTGACACAAAGCAGGTCAAAAGCTTGGCCACTCTGGGTGCCCCTGCTTCTGCCGCAGCGCTTTTAAGTTGGCTGACCTCGGATTTCGGCCATAACCCAATGATTTCTTGGGAGTGCCCCATAGAAGTCCTTTCCCTAACTTGTTGTGAAGCCCGTGAACCCCCCCTCTAAAAAAAAGCCGTAGGTCCATCCAAGCCGGAATTCACAAAAACTGTCTTGGAAACTTCCATGCTTTGCTGAAGATGCTCCATGTCCTGCTTGGAAAACCGCGGTTTTGCCGGAAGTGGATGGCCTGCCACCAAAAACCGCTCGTCCCTTTGAAACGCCAGGCACCTCGCTCCGAGTTGCCCCTCCCCCCCGGGCGGCCTTGAGCCGCTGCTCCGTGAGGCTGGTGTCCAGCTCCCGCCGCTCCGCCTCTCGACACGCCAGTGGGACCCAAACCATGGGTGGCTTCCTCTGGGTTTCCCACAAACACCGGTCCAATTTTTGGGAGAGCCTCTGGTCATTCTGACTTTAGAAACCAGAAGCCGCCCATGCGTCAAAGGGCCCTCATAAAAATGATTTAGCTGGCCTCCAACCATGGTTTCCGGGACGCAACCGGGGTCCTGTTCATTTCTGTTTCTGCCAGGGTCAAACTGGGCCCAGTTTCAATTCTGGAAGGGGTTTCTTTTATTGGATTGCGAACAAACCAACAATCAACTCCCATACAGCTTAAACAGCGCCATTTTCATCGCATTTTCGCCTGCCCTTAAATCAAAAAGGGTGCCATGAGGGGTGAAATCGACTGTTTCCGTCGCCTGTTTTCGTGCAAGGCAACACTCCACATGTTTTAGAGAGGCCCAGGAGGAAAATCTGAGCCATGCCGCCCATTGCAAACTAGCTACATTTCGGAGGGTAGGAAAAACAAAGGCTGCCATGTTCAGTCCAGAAGTTGAACAAGCATACGGAGGGTTTGGCGGGATTCGACAGGACCCTTTCATCCGAACAAGTGGTAGACACTCACACACATTACAAGAAACCCGCCCAATTGTACTGAACAAGACCTCTGCTTTGTACGCTGATGACAACAATCGCTATCTTCAGCCGACTGACATGACAGAGGCACCAAAAACGACACTTACTATGGATCTGAATCTGTCCTTGCCATGGGCTCTGAGGGTTACCCCCCCGCCCCTCAGGGCGCGTTTTTGCTGGGACCCTTTGGACTTAAGGAAACAAAGTGCACCCTGTTCCTTGAAACCAAAATAAAGGCGAGTACCCTCAGCCAAACAACCCACAAATAGAGGTTAACCTTTGGGGCCATGATGGGGAGCTCGAAATCACAAACCCGGTTGGGCGTGTCTTTAGGATTTGGACCCCCGGATGGGATTCGGTTTTCCCCGCGCTTTCTTTCAAAGCCACCCCCAAAATCAGCTTCCTGCCAATTGGTGGTTTGCATTGGTGGCTTAGTAGTGTTCCAGGGCTGGCTTTCCTTTTACCTTCTACAAGAACCAGGGGTTCAAATCCAAAACACCGTCAAGGCTTTTCTGCAAACAGGGTGCCCTCAAAACACTCCTTCTTCGAAACTTCTCTTCGCGGCACCTCCCATTGCGCCGCTTCTTCTGCGCGGCGTGTGGCCGTGTCTTCCTGGCGAGGCGCTGTATGCGTCTGCCCCACGCAGAGAAAAAAACGGACAAACGAGGACCTGGCTACGGGCTACGGGCAAGCACAGGAGCTCAATTTGCGTGTGTTTGTTCCCCAAACATTGTGGCCACTGAGGGGTTCCTACAGTAAGAGTAAAGGCCCAGTGCTAGATCAAGGTGTGCGGCCTGGCCGCGAGCATTTTGCGCGGTATTTACCGCAAAATCATGATGTTGTAGCGTTTCGACTGCGCAGGCTCGCAGAAAATGAGGCCCGCGAGTCTGGCCGCGAGCATTTTGCGTGGTAGTTACCGCAGTTTGCTGAGGGACATAGGTACAGAAACTTGTAATTACAGTGACGCTACTAATTCCCCAACCACGCGCTTGTGTTGCGACTTGTTGTTGCGACTTGCTCTGGTAAATCTAGGGCTGTTGGCAGCGCGTCGCGTGCCTCAGTCGGCTTGTTGCGCGGCATTGAAACCTCGAATTCCATGTTTCACGCATGAAGATGCTGGAAAACACCCACTCCATGCCGTTGTCGGTATACAAGCGCCCGCAGGATGCCCATGTCTTTCCAGCCCGTGGCCGCCGGGTCAGCTTGATTGTTTACGCCCGTCACTGTTTGGGGTCTCTTGCCGGGATATTTTTTGAGGGTACAGTACCCTTTTTGGGTGGGTTTTAAAGGGAAACCAAGTCAAAGATTTTGCCAATAAAGATGTTAAGAATAAGGTTCTAAACAAGAACAAACAACTTCAATGGGGAAGCTTCATCCAGTGTCCATCATGAAAACATTGTAGCCAAGGCCAATGGCGGTCAACTCCGCGGATGTGATTCTGAACAAAATGCGTCCTATGGAGCCTTACGTCCACCAACCATCTTGGAGAGGGCATTCCGACTCTTGAAATTCACAGCCATGTGAGTGTGCCGTGTTTAGGGGACCCCCAAAAGTGGCGGGCTTTGCTTTTGGTTCCTCGTCAAAACCGCCAAAAAGGGTACCAACTCCAAGAAAGACACAGCCATGTTGTTCTCAAGAATGCACAAACAACTGAGGCATGGCGGGATGACTTAGGGAAGTTCCCCCGACACATCGGCCAAAGGCTGGCACCTCAGGGATCTCCCCGTGAAAGCTGGGGATTTCACCACCTACCAACTGGTCTATGATTCTGTCCATCCACCGCAATCCAGCCAAAAACGGCCAAGACTTCTGGCTTTGACGGCCATCCCCTTTCTAGCGATCGGGGGGGCTCTCAAGTCTACCTCAGCTTCCACCCAGCCAAGAATATGTTTGACTCTGGTCCGATTGAGTGATGATTCAAAGGACCCTTTCGTGAACATCATTTAGGTCAGGTTCATGTCCACCACTCGCTTTTGGGGTGGCTCCCTACTATTCATAGCAAAAAAAGGTCTGAACCCTGTGGAATAAAAGTCTCAACAGATCCCCCTTGGAGGTCAAAAGTAGGGTTCATGGAACCCCGGATTCATAAACACCTCTTGGATGTGCAACTAATCCCATGCCGCTGCCATTACTCTCACCATGATCCAAGTCACCCCCGTTCAGTGGTAGGTTGCACCCAACCATTTTCGGACTTTGATAATCCCCGGAACCGACAGAATACTGACCTCAGCGGGTCATCTGTGGGATTCCCCTCGGATTCGGATTGCAAACTCGCAGGGGGCTGCTGACTCGCGGGGCGACCAGCCTGGCGGTTTTTGCCGACCATACTTTGAACAAATCCCCAGGGTACGAATGCAAAGACAAAACCAACAAACAGATCGCACCAAAAAGCAACAAATCGACCAGAGACCCCAGTGGCTGGCAAATGACACCAAAGGCATTGGGTCACTAAGCAGACCATGTGCCAGCCATTGGGGCCTGGCAGTTGCCCCCATGCTTTAGCTTTGCTCCCGACCAAGAACGACATCCTTTGAAGTTTACCAAGGGAGCAACTTCCAGGGACCAACAAGAAATGTCCAACAAGTCCCCAGAAGTCAGCCACCAACCTTAATCACGCTAACTAACAGAGGAGAGTGGGGGGGATCGAATCCCCCCAAGCATCCGGGCACGGGAATGGCTGCCACAAATGGAAATCCAATCGATTGAAATTCACATGTTAAAGGTGCGGCCGGCCCAAAACTACGCCACCCCCTGTTTCAAGATCTTTAAGCACCAAGTGTTTGAACAACAATCTATTTCCCGTTAGGGATAACATATTTTGGCAGCCGATTCTTACCACCCACGTGTGAAACAACTGGAAATGAATTGGACCCAAGGGGTCGGGTTTGTGGCCTTCGGATGCCAAAAAGACATGATGCAAGCCGGATCGTATTTAGAACCCGTTTCCAAAGGATTGCTAAAACTGCAGGCAAGGCGGTCAACAGGAAAAGTACCCTTGACACTTGGGAGGGTTTTGCAGGACCTTGCCATTCCCCTTCCAACAACACACCTATGGGACAAAAGGATCATCAAAACGTATGGGTTTGTCGTTTTTTAGGATTTGGACCCCCAAAATGGGTTTCGGTGTTCCTTTGGGTTTCCCTTTAAACCACCAAAGGAGGGGGCACCGTCAAAAAACACGAGGTAAACCCATATTTGCACCGTCGTGGACTTTGAGCGTGTGGGGTGTTCCATTTTCGGAGCCCGGCTCGTCCATCTTGGCAACCAAGGGGACCGTTTGAAACCTCACTTGAACATTGGTCACCTTTTCGAAATATATAGATGGCCCTGGTTGGAAGAGAACCAATCTAGACCAGTGGAACCCATCTATGTCTAACCAAACTGACCGATCAAAAGAAGGCCGATGCACTTGAAAACATGTTTTGTTCACGTACTCTGGGACACACAGGCCTCCTTTTTCCCAGAGTGCCCACGGCTTCCAAAACTAGACTCACTTCCGTTTCAGATTGGCCAAAAAAAAGAACCAACCCGTTGATTTTCCGCTAAGATGGTTTTCTCAAAAAGTGACTAAAGTCCAGGCACTCGAAAAGTGATAGAGCAGACTTCTTGTTTTCGGTGGATTTAAAGTACACCGACTCCGAAAAAGAAACAAAAGGCACCACTGGAGGTCTTGCAGAAGGCAACTTGGCCACTTTCGGCTCGATTGTTAAGCATCTTATCGGCCTACCCCAATGAACACTGGCACTACAACATGCAACCCGTATAAACCTCCAATGAATCTGCACCCAAATAAAACCAGGCAACTGGTACAAAATGAAACCTACCCCTATGAAACAAGGGATGACTGTGGCCGTGGTCAAAAATGGCCACCCAAAGTGGCTTGCCCTGGCAAATGAAAAGGATTGAAACTTGCGGTCCAGTTGCTGGCAACATCTTGGCCCATGTGAAATGGTTCTCGGGGAATGAGACATGGAATGACCCCTAAGCATTTTCTATGGTTCCCTTTCGCGAATCCCCTTCCGCCGGTGGATTCAGCCATCCCGGACTCCGTCATTCCCGATCGCGATCGCAAGCTTTGGGCGCCTGCGCCCTGGGCATCGCGCCAGACTCGGAGCTCTGCCGTGAGCCTCTGAACCTAGAGCCGGTGCGTGCCAGCTTCTCTCTTATTGGTGGTTTGGTGGTTTGGTGGTGGGGTGGCTAAGCGTTGGCTTCCTATGTAATTACCATGTACCGAACTGAAGCCAGGGCCATCTATGGCTACTAAACTGGCCGAAAAATTGCTTGTGCGACCCAAAGCAAAACTTAGATCTTCGTACTGGTGTTCTTGTTTGCCTGGGCACGCACAGTGCAGCCCACTGCGTTCCAAACAATCCTTGAGTCCCTTAGAATCCTAGAGGAACCCTAAAGGGACTGAAGAGAACGAAAAGGATGAGACATGGGAGTCTTTTGGCATTCTCTCTATATATACATATATATAGATACATCATGTGAATTTCCTGCATCATCTCGCTGAAAAGCAGGCGGTACAAGGGACCGCCTGGAGGAGGTAATTGCCTTCTATCAGCACCACCTGAATGTCGCCTCTCAGAAGTGCCAACCGACGAAGGAACTGCACAAGCAAACACAAAAACACACCGAACGGGTCATCCTTTTGGGTCACCGTTGGGCAAAAGGAAAACCTATTCACAGCCGCGACGGTTTGACGAACAAAGACCATGGCATGGCAACCCTCAGTTCCATGCTTGGAAAACTGACCGACTGGTTCAAACTATGTGGCCCAAACTGCAGGCTTAAAGTTGTATGCTTGAAATGGCGAAGACAGGGGGTCGGGCTGCAAAAAAGCAGGAAAACAGGGGTGCGCAGAAGAAACAACACACACACACACATTCTTTGACATCCTCTTTCACAAAAAATATTATTCTTAAAACAGAAAAAAACCTAAAGTATACCATATTCCGTTGGAGGAGACCCCAGATTGGAGCTGTCCCCGCGACACTATCGCTGCGCGTTGTTTGCTTCGTTTGTTTGCGTGCCTCTGCCTGCTCCGTCTCCAACTCGAGGCCCAGGCCTCGCATCTGAACGGCTGAAACATATGTCGCATGGCTCATGCAAAGGACCTCCGGTTGCGGTCGTGTTGCGTACGCAAAAACATGTATGAGGTTGAGGTCGGATGCAGTAAGGTTGAGATCGTATCTCTACCAGCTCACTTGAGGTCATTTGTGCAGTTCAGGCCACGCGCGGCGCACTTTTCCATCGCACGCTGCGCCCTGGATCGGGGGTCCACCGGTGCATCACCTTGCAGGGGCCATGACAAGTGTTTCAACACGAGCAAAGCGAAAGGGCTGTTCTGAGCAGGGTGCATGCAATTCAACCCCTGCTTAAAGCATGTTAAGTTCGTGGTTGAACCAACTCCTTTTGGCCCTGGGACCAAGGTCTGGCTGTTCACCATGTTTTTGCGCAACCCTATTTTGCGCAAACCATGTCAAAGTCATTCGCAGATTCGAGCAAATGCCCGCCTGGAGATCAGCAGGCACGCTCAGCCTTCACCTTCTCGCCCACTGACAGCGCCTAGGCCAGGCTGGCCAAGACACGCCGAGGACCCCCCCGCCTCCCCCCAAAAAAGCAATGTGCAATTTCATGGGCCCAGCAATGTAAGTTGCCCGGTCACGCGCTCAACGTCGCCAAAGTGAGTTCTTACGCGATGCTACTCTGCGCCGGGTTTTTTTGTCAGCCTCCGCAGCACAAGGCGGGGTTCACCCGAATAATAAGCGAATACATGAACAAGCTCTGGCCAATTGATATCCGACCGGAAGAAACATCCAGGCGCTGGAAGCACTTCCAGCATCCAGGCGCGCCTGTTGGCCTGATGCTTCCGTTCGGCATGGGCTGCAAGTGTGTGTGGAAACCTCAACCTGGAATTCACAAGCGCAACTCAACATGTATGCGCATGCGTGTGCGTGTGGTTTTGCATCCTCGGTTTTTGGAAAACAGATGTAGGAGCAGACAGGATATAAGCCTGCACGCTGCTGCCACAACCATGAACTTGCAAATCAGCGAGGGGGCTTTCCGCAGCTGTCAAAGTGAGAGTTGGTCTGCTTGTACGGACATCTTTCTGCGGCACTTTCTGGGAACTGGAACCATGTTTCGCCCAAAGATTCATGCACTTCTTGTGCATAGGGCTGGCATGTGATGACGCTGCTTGGCCGCGCCATGCTAAAGCCACACTATTTCATGGAGATGTCACAGCTGCGCAGCTGCTGGGACAATACGCTGGCAACGGACTTGCCCCGACGCAGCCACAGGTTACAGGGCACTGCCCAGCCAGAGGCCGAAACAACTTTGGGTGGCCTTCACACCAGCGTGTGCGTGTCAGAATTTCATAGTCAAAGTTTGAGTTGTTCAGTGCAGCACAGCCCGCAGACTTCATGGCGTTGGATAGGCCTAGCAGAGAGTGATAGATCGGCGACGTGCTAACATCAATGCTGTAGAAGGCAGACATGACATCTGGATAGATGTTCCAAGTGAGTTCCCACTCCTCTTGTACGATTCGATCTTCGCAAGTTGATGCCGCCAACTGAGCAGTGGCAGACTGCAGGCAGTCTGGGATACACCCCTGCGCTGGCACCTTATGCCAAGCCGAGGCATAAGGATCATTGCATCCACAGGTAGCACCACAAACCATTCGCAGCAGCCGCGCATCCGGGAGAGAACAAAGATGCTGTAAGTCAGCACAGCCAGGGGCATCAACATTCATTACACCCAGGCTGACAGCTGCATTTCGAAACATCAGTTCCACCATTGGCTGAATGAGAGGATCTCCATAGACAGGGCCACCAGGCTGCAAAGCCTCTGTTTCGATGCAGCGACCCCATTGCGTCACTTCTGTAGTCATGTCCCATTTGAGGTTCTGATCAAAGGCGCGAGCGTTGGGAGCGAAGTCGAGAAGGTATGGGTATGGCTCTTCAGATCCTGTGTTGAACGTGTGCCTGTCAACCGCCAGTTCGGTGATGGTGCGGTTCGAAGCGTCGACGCGGCTTTTGGTAGCAAGCGCAATAGCTTGCTGGGTCTCTGAATTGAGTCCTACCACGAAGTTTTGATTGCCACCACAGAGTTCCGTTTTCACAGAAATCATCGATTCAGCTAGCGGTTGCAATAAGAGAAAGTAGGGTATGAGCAGCGTGCCGATCAGCAGAATCAGCAAGCCAAAACTCTCACGCTGGCTTCGCAGTCGGTCGTACTTAATCTTGACAGGGTTCAAGTTCTGCACCGCGACTTGAACCAAGATTGGAGTGAAGCCGGCAAACAAAAACCTTAGATTCATTGAGATTCCCCAATAAAACGAGTAATCACTATATCCATGTGATGTTCCTTTGGCAAAATCACAACAATGAAAATAATAAACAACTTTCCGCAGATCCATGAAACTCATCTATGTCCAGGATTGCACTCAGTGCCACACAATTGAGCATCAAATCAGTGATGGATGTGGTACCAGCAAGCCACCGAATTCCTGCGCCAAGAAGTAGCGTGGCTATGGTGGCGCGTGCCAAATATGTGAGTAGCAGTGCCTTGAAGCGAACTTTGCAGATGCTGCGCAAGGTACTGTCGCGGAAGATCGACTCTTCAGAGTGGGGAATCTGCCACACCACCTCCAAACCCAGCCAAATGTTGCGGTACTCCTTGTAGACACAAAGGCTCCAAAAGAGGATACCTGGATCCGGTTCCAAAGTTTTAACCAATCTACAAAGTATGAGCTACACATGCGCTAAGTCAGATCAATTTAACTTGAAATGGGGGTTGAAGAAAATGTGAACAACACTACCGAGATACACAGCATGCAGAGCAATAATCCAGGCTGGAAAAATGGGACCTCAAAGTCACCCTCCTGCAATCCCAAGAAGCTGTTGATCTGCTCCACCAGGCTGGCTTGGGTAGTGGATAGAATCAACGCCCCATCCATCGCGCAAACGCGCGACACCAAGCTCCTCCCAGCCAGGTCCATATATTGATAGTCGTGGGCCATACTGACGCGCCATCGCTTCGCATAGTTGATTTGATGCCAAAAGGGAACGCCCATGAAGGCATCCGTCAAAATGATGACTGTGAATGCTGCCTGCAAACCCAAATTCAATAGCAACAGCAGAATCGAGAAGGTCACATCCCACAGACCGGCGGGAACCAAGCCAATGACAAAAGGCATAGTCCATACGCTCGCTCCAAAATGAAACTGGCCTTCCTGCTCTGACAGGTGATCAAATTGCTGCATGGTCTTTTTGGAAATGACATCTTTGGCTTCCAGCTCTACACCTCGGAGATCTAGTTGCAACTTCTCCTCCATCTTCATCTCCACCCTCTCATCGCCATTGTCATCCTTGCCAGGCGAATGCATCGCTACGTCATTTGTGTGTCTCTTTCTGATGGTACCCTTTTTGGGGCGGTTTTACAGGGGAACAAAGGGGTGCCAAGGGCAAGGTCCGCAAGGGCAAGTCTATGAAGCAGAACTCCTGGGGGAAGAACCCCAACTATGAGAGCAACAAAGGGGGGAAGGCCTCTTGGCAGAAATTCGCTTGGCAGAAAGGGAGGGGGGGGGTGTCTCCCCACCACCTGTGGGGGAAGCTTTTTGCCCTGGCAGGAGCGGTCCGAGGGGGCCACGAAGTCGTCACCGCACATGGACTGGGCAGAGATCTCATCCTCCGGCACGCAATTCTAAAAAATCGGACCATGCTTTCGACAAGTGTCTGGGGAGTTGCTCGAGATGCCAATTGTTTCTGATCGTACCCTTTTTTGGGGGCAGTTGTACAGCAGAGCGAAGGACAAACACCAATGTTCAGGGTCCTATCTTTGAGACAAACCCATTTGCCTCCAGCCCGCGGGTCTCGAGTCTGCGGAGACGAGCTTCCAGCCTCCGAAGGTTCAACTGCAGCTCTTCCCGCAGTGCGAGGATGTCTCTTTGGAGATCCAACGGTTCCACCAAAGGGCTCGGCATGGCTCCGGCTTCTCCGTCCCAGCTCCAGCCAAGGAAACCAATTAAACCAACAAAAACAAGGCTGATTACCAAGAAACCAAGGGAAGAGAGATTCTGCATTCTACGGGCCCCATCAGAAATTCAATGGAACATGGCTGGTTGCGATCTATGATTGTAACTGGGATGTGGCAGCTGTGGGTCAGGAAACCCTGCGGTACGCTGGTGACCAACCCAACAAGTCTATGTGAGATCGGTCAACAGGAATTTTGATGTATGCATGTTCGCATGTGTATAATATATATATATATATATATATATATTGTATATTCTATATGTGGTATCCCCCCGTTTATGTCGAGTGGTGTGTATGTACCACATCCTACACTAAAAAGCAGAACCGTCCAACGTTAGCCCACAAGTGATTAACTAGCTGGACTACTGCGGGGGTCTTTTAGTTCCCGCAAACGTGCTCCGGATACCGTCAGCGACCCCCCCGTACAATCAACCAGAGATGTAGCAACTCAACGACCTGAAACAACAACAAGGTCACACAAAGGGCACCAACACATAATGGGATGATAAAGTCGCACACCAAGTCCAAGACTGCCGAAAAACAGCACCCGAAGCAAAACGATAAATTCCTAACGTTTAAAAACAACAACCCACCTTCCCAATGTTCCAGAGGTCCAGGAAGATTGAAATGTTGGAAACGGGGACTAATTAAATAGATTACTCCACTTCTAAATGGAGAGAAGCGGCCGTTGACCGTTAGACCCTTCGGCGTGCCTGTCAAGAGAGTGCCGGCAGGCAGGCACAGAATCCGGCAGCATGGCATGGTAGCAGTCTACGGGGCCATTTTCCAAGCGCCCCGCCCAGAAGGGTTGAAACTACTTTCTGTCAGACTGGACCAGGGTTACACCAGGGTGAAAGTGATGGCAAAATTCCAACTGGAGGTGGGAAAGGGGATGACGAAACCGAAATGGGAAAATTGGGCCATCTACGTTCACCCAACTGCATGTGAGCAACGGTCTGGGTTACCATGAAACAAAGTCTCCTGAACCTTGCACGGGTCCATGACCTCCCTACCAGCCCTAAGTAAAGGGGTGTCGCCACGACTATTTGCAGGTCAGAAAACTCGTCTTTGGTTGGTTCCCACTTGCCACAAACAGGCGCAAACATCAACCAACAACAAGAAACAACTGGTTGATTGGTCAATGTTGGTCTCTTCAGGCTGGTATCTTCTCCTTGATTTCTCCTGGTTGGTCGGTGAAGACAAATTGTCTTGGCACCTCCGAAACTGCAAGAAAATGTGAATTCACAAGCGGGAATCCATGCATAATGCGTACAGTAATACACTGTGGTGCACTCGGTTGCCCAAAGGACCCATAAATAAAAGGTTAACCGTTTAGGGGCATGATTAGCAATGGACCACAAAGGGGAAACCAAAAGGTCGAAAGGTCGGCTTTGGACAAGTGAGTGTCTAATTGTGCGTGTACATTATTTTCATATCCCGCCCAGGTTACACACCTTCAGGCCGGCAACCATCTCGACATATGGATTGTAGACCCGCTCTGCATTTCCATCAAGCTATCCTGGGACCTGTTCATGGCTACTGAGCCTTGAAGTTGCAGCATTGCGGCGACAAGGGACTTGGACATTTGAGGTCAACAACAAAGGCAGGGATTCCGCTGAATCATCAATTGTTTGAAACCATGGAGAAAGGACCACAAGACAAGAACACTAGAAACCTCACATGCAACCTTCGAACTGCAATATGTGGTCTTGAGGGAAACCAAAGGGATGCAACCGATGGGGTTCTCTTTTCAGAGACTAACCCCTGTAACTGCAAACCGCAACATGTGTCATAAATCAAGGTCTGCCTGACGCTTGGGTCCTTCGGTTTTTCGGCTCAACTACGAAAACCGCCTCGCACTGAAAGCTTTGCCTTCAGATCTGGCGCAGTCCATCGAATGCAGAGCCGATTTGGCCCATTTCAATCAATTGGCCAATGCCTGTGCTTCGAGGCCGGGCTGTGGCCAGCAAATGCCTGATCTTTCCCAAAACAGGGAACGAAACCACCTGGCCGGTTTCTTTGGGGATTCCGATTTCTTGAACACCCCTGAGGGGGTGAACCCTGAGGGGGTTGGTCCCGTGCCGTCTCAAATGAACAAGAGGTCCTCCATATCCTCCAGGGTTGGGCCAACTTCAAGCAGAACACCAGCCTGTTTAAGTCTCCTTCGGTTTCCCTAGCTTAAAGGTGCAGGGTGCTTAGCAAGTGGTTAGTAAGCCTGGCTAAAACCCACTTACCATGGTTATAAGTCTCTTAAGTTGGGTTATCACCAGGCTTACTAGCCACTTGCTTAAGTACCCTGCCCCTTTGAGTAAGGGAAGCCGAGAGCTTTGTTGAAACACAGTTTGGCAATCCTGTCCTCCATATCCTCAATCTCACCGTCCTCACACGAATTCTCCCTCGAATCGCCTTCAGCGCAGCTTGGTCTGGGACAGGAGGCTGCGTCTTTTTTTGAGGGTACCTTGGGGTTCTTTTTCGGGAAACAAGGAATTCAATCTTTGGGGCTCCCCAATAAGACAGACCTCACTAGTAAACTGTGGTCTTCCTGGTCGTATCTATGCTTCCCAGGGATGCTTCTCGGAAAAGTTGGAACATGGATGATTGGAGAAGGGAAAGCAAAAGGAAAGACGTCCATGTTTCGGATTCCCCTGATTTGATACATACCCGTTTCAAACCGAGAGGACCGTCACCCCCAAGCGGAACCTCTCCAAACTACTTGGCAAAGGTGATGCGAAGAAGCACACTTGACACCATCCTTCCAACATGTAGGCAGTCCAGCCAAGAAGCTTGCTCGTCTTTTAGGATCAGCCACTATAGGTGACCAAATCCAGGTTGTTAGTTTTCAATCGGAGGGTTCCAAATCCCTTGCCACAGGGAAATGGAACTGGGTTCAGCTCACCTGTCGGGCCATCCCTTGAATCACATGCTTCGGGTATTTGCGGCAATATGGCATCTTCCTCGAGGGGACTCCCCAGAACGGTCAAAAAAGACAAACCCATATGGACGTTTCTGAAATGGCAAACCCCTTCTTGGTTGCTGCTGAGGGACACCAAAACGAAACATGCAACTTTTTGGGGGTCCGAGTCCTTTATTGAACTTAGGCTCAGACTTCCCCAAAAAGATGCACATCCCACAACTCTAAATCAGCTGGCACATGTGACTTTCAACATAGCCAAAGTTATACTAGAAGGGCCTAAATATCTAGCTGATGGACAACTTCGTGGACCAGTGATGGATGACATCCTGTGAAAACTGGGACAAATCACCTGGATGTTTTTTGCATCCACATGATCCTTTAGACAAAATCTGGCTGCTTCTTTGGATCTTGAGTGGGTCTGCGGTCTTTCGTGTCTTAACTGACCCAATGCAAAACCAAATGCCGCCCCCCATCCACCTCCCTCAATGGAACCCCCTAGTTGCCATTCAGTGGTTGAGGAGTCCTTTTCGGCCAAAAACGGGCTGCCCGTGTTGCGGCGAACAACTTGACTCGAGGCTGGAGAACAACAATATGATTCTTACTCGTCAGTGCCACTGCCAAAACTACCCAAATCAAATGAATTTACTGGTTCCAACTTGCTCGTTCCACCAGAAAGGAGGTGCCACAAAAGGTTTCCCAAATCAAGTGAATTCACAGTTCCAACTTACTCGTTGCACCAGTAAGGAGGTGCCACAAAAAGCTTCCCCAAATGAAGTGAATTCACAGTTCCAACTTGCTCGTTCCACCAGCAAGCAGGTGCACCGATAAAAAAATCCCCCAGGTTTTCAACGCAACAGTAAACATGCAACTAATACCAGTATGGCAAGTACGAATCAAATAGCATACCCAACCAAGAGGTGCAATTAGCATAGTCTTGAGGATTCAACCAGGAAAAGGGTGGGTCATGTGTAGTGGGTGCATGTGCTAGCTGTTTGTTACTCACCATTCAAACGTTTGACCATGGTATCATTCACTCTTGCAGCCAGCAGGCCTGCCAGGGAAGCTACGAACCTGTCTTCCTGGCCCAAGTGCGTGGGTTCGTCTCCGGGGGAATCCCCACCTGAATGGCCTCCTGTTGCTTTCGCTTCACAAACAACCCACGGGGCATCCGAACAAAACCCCACCCCCCCAAAAAAAAGCAGCCACTTTGCTTCTCTAGATTTAGAGAGTTACCGAAAGGTGAACTCTGGTTCACACCGCGTGGCCAACAGATCAACGGTGACGGCAAAAACCGAACTGTAGAGGGCGTAGTTACGGAAAATCTGCCCTCCTTTCTGTGAATTGCGCCTTCACCATAACCACATTTGTCACATCAAGGGGGGGTTCGTTTGGCGTCACGGAAAGTGCCTAAAAGCTCGAATTCCCACAACCATGGTCAATCAGGTTACCCTTAATCGGTGGTTTGGATTGGTTTGAACCCTGGTTCTGTTAATTAGAGGGTCATTGTGAAACCACCAATTTGGGGGCAGCTGAGTCAAGCATGCAAGACTCCTGCCTCGATGCGTGGCGAAGGGGAGCCGCGAGCGCCTGAACAGCGCTTTAAGCTGAGGCAACAGTCTGCCAGAGCATATGTGTCTTTTGCGGGTCCTTTGTTTTGTGTTTAAAATGGAAACCCAAAGAAAACCAACATTTTTGGGGGGCCCTGTTTTAAGACATACCCATGCTCCATGAAAACAACCACATTATCCTGCTAACCTACGGAGGCTGCTTGAATGACGTGTTTAAAACAGTATCACATTTTGACCGAATGACCGTGCATATTGGACCACCACAGGACAACAAGAAAGGCATCTCACTTTCCATGTGTTTGTTCAACGCCAAACAATCCAATTACTTACAGTAAACAGAAAGTGCAGTTCAGAGTAATCAATGCGGGTAGTTCTCCTGTCAGCAGGAAAGTAATCCATTGCGGGAATCTCTCTGATGAGAACTGGTTTGCGCCCAAAACAACTTTGGGGAACATGGCAGCCATTATTGAGTTTGACACGCCAGATCACAGCGGTAATAGCGCAAATTTGACTGGACCTCTTTCTTGGATCGTGTTTACAGGAAAGCCAATGGAGAATCTGAATCAACCGCGGGCTAAGCAAAGGTAAGGCAAACCATATCGCGCCTAACTCCAGGTATCGCCGCTCCTGGCACGTCAATCGCACGCGCGAGCGCGCGGACGTGAGCCACGCGGAAGTGAGTTGCGGACAAAAATGCGACGTCGATCTGCTACCTTCGACATGTATAACAGAAGAAATTCCACAACCCCAAAGCAAAGGATTCTGTTTTGGGGGGTCGAACACGAGTTCGAGTTATTTGTTTTAGGGGCTCAATCGGAAGAAATGAGATGAACAGCGCCATCAACTGTTGTTGTGTCTCGAGTCCGAGGATTTGGCGTGCCAAGTTTCGTCTGCCAAAACGCGAGTCCAGCGAGTCTGTTTCCCAGGTAAGCAAGATCACCCTAAACCAAAAGGATAATTTTGGGTTACCCAGCACAGTGGCGGCAAGCCTGGGATCTGGAAAACAACCTAATCTCAGGGACCCTCGGCATCGCTTGGGCCACATGGCAGGGACTCAAATTGGTGGGCCCACCCTTTTCGCTCTTAGTAGTTGAAGGGATTCCAAATCGGGACCCCCCAACAGCTGTCACATGTTGTGCGAAGTGAACGTATTTTGCCCATGGGGCCGTTTGCCAGCCATGGGGGGGTCACCTGGCGAAACAAAGAGGCAAGGTTAATATGCAACCCTGACATGTAGCAAAAGGAAGACCCCTGTTTACCTCAAGACAAAGGACAAGAACTCACCCTGTGAAGTCAGACCTCGTATGAGTCCTTATGAGCATGTTGTTGTCTAGGTCTGCAGGAAGTATAGGCTCAATCTGGGAGAAATGAAATGAGAAAGTCCATTGAATGACGTCATCTGGGTAGACTCAAGATTCCGTGTCCTGCAAACTCCCTCAACAAAACTAAGGGACAAACACAGCTTCTAAGCTCAAAATCCAAAGACGAAAGATCAGCAAGGCTTGGATCCAAGGCAGGAAGCGGACTGCGGCAGCATCCTTGCCTCGACTGGCGAAGCGGAGCGCTGACCTGATCAGCATGGAAAGTACCGAGACCACATGCGCAAGACTGTTTGACGGCAAGCTGCGGTCACTGTCACTGTCAAAAGGTAACATGATTGGATCATAAAATACTCAATCGACACTTGTATAAACTTCCGGACGTCCATACTCTAAATCAAGCCCCGCATGGGGTCTGCAAAAATATCCATGCATCGTGGGAGGTCGGCAAACTAGACACCATGACATCCATCTGGTATTAAGAGTCGCCTTCCACAATACAGGGGGGCCAACTTTCCTTCCAAAGAGCAAAGGCAAGACCAAATTTGCGAGGAATGGTTGGACTTGGATCACAAGAAAACCAAAAAAAACAGAACCAATCACGTGCCACCCAATGGTCCCATTTCCCTGGACAGCTGAACCAAGACAACCACACTTACGCAACCAAAAAGCAACGGTTACCTACCATGCTGTGGGTGGACAACATCCTGTACAAGGCTTCACTCATCCCAACTGGTGCAAAGTGAATTCTGTCCATCCACAGCGGTAACTGGGATCCACTATGGAAACCAAAGAGTCAAAAGGCACACCCTGGCGATCGCGCGCCATCCCGAGCCTTGCGAGGATCGCCCCTGGCGAAACTGCGGCTGTGTCGACAAAAATGCGACGTCGATCCGCTGGACATTGAACGAAGGCATGTTCAAAAGAAACCCAAAAATAACATGTCTCCTAATTCGAGGGGGTTCGGACATGGCTGACTGAGATGAATTGCGCCATCAAACTGACAGCTGACTAGCCACGAGTCCTTTTCAGATTCCATGTTCTTCAAAATCCCTCAGCTAAACTAAGGAAGGGTTGGACTGTGAGCGCACGGCCGGAAGAGCGGGCGAAGCATCCTCGCCTCCTTCCAGTTTCCCGAGTCGAAGCGCGAAATGCGCGAAATGGGCGAAATGGGCGAACTGCCTGAGCAGGACGGAATCCCAGGAAATCGCAAAACATGGCACCAAGACCAATCACGCTACAAGCAGCTGCCTCGACTGATTTACTCACATTGCTGGACTGCATACAACTCTGAATAGATACACGATCCAGAAACTTACGGATGTCCCTTCTCTGGCACCGCCTCCCAATCAAGCCCCACATCGGGTGTGAGGAAACTCTATGCATCGCTGGTCAGCAAATCAGGAAGGCATCTTCCAGGTGTGTTCACAGAAAACCTGGCCTTGCAAATTCGACGCACCTCGCAGTATTTGCTGATGTGCCAACAAGCCCCCTGCGCTGCCAGTTGTTCAGATTTGCGGGAGATGTGCGAAAATGTGCCGGAGATGTGCGGTCCAAATGGGTACGCTTCCGAAGTACCGAGCAACTTCGGACCGCCTCTGCATGTTTGGACAAGTGTACGGCTGCCTGAAGTCGTCGAGCCTTCAAGCATGTTTGTCTTCAGGAATTTTAGGGGTTTCAGGTTTTTGCGGCAGAACATGCTAATGTTCAGTCGAGCGCATCTACGCGCAGTTTTCAGGAGGGCAAAGGTCCAGTTTGGTTTTTCGGAGGCCTCTAAGGGGATCAAGAGGCCATCTGTTGGTGACACTTCACTCGCTGAAGGCTTGTTTGGAAATAATATTCGCAAGGTTCCCAGGGATTGGTCTGAACTCTGCATCGTTGTGGGAGCTACAAATGTCGGAATTCGTATCTGTGTTTGCCCAAGTTGCATAACTAAACCAATAAAAATCGTAAAATCGCAGGGTCTCCTAAACCCCCAAAGCATTTCCCGGAGTGGTCCGGGAAAAGAGTCTCATCAAACATGTCCAAGCAACAATTGAGCAGTGCTTTTTTGGTGGTTCGGGGCCTATACACTACTTGCATGCCTTCGTGGAAGCCTCCGCGAGCCTACACCGCTGCAAAGGGTGCCTACGCGAGCTGAAGTCAGTTTCCAGGCGCTTACGCGGACGCCTACGCGGGCAAATGTGCAGCTCAAGTGTTGAAGTGCATTTTGGCAGCTCCAGCTGGAAATCGCAACTTTTCAGTACAAGTGCAGTTTTGGCAGCTCCGGCTCTATGATCACCCCGTTGGCAGTGCAAGTGAGGACCCTACTTCGGTCCAAGGATCTGGATGCTAGAAAAGGCCTGCGTACTCAAAATGCCTTGAAAGCCTACGCGAATGCCTACGCGAATGCCTACGCGGATGCCTACACGAATGCCTACGCGGGGCCTACGGGGAGCCGAAGCGCAGACTGCAGAACAAACAGAAGGAAGGCAAAAGAAGCAAATTCCTTTATACTTGGCAAACAGCATTGAGCCATGATTTGCTCAGCAAGCGCTTACGCGAAAAGTCCACGCGAGGGGTAACATGCAGTTCCCTTTTTGTATAAACCCATTCATTGATTAAAACCGCTGCTCAATTGGCCTCATTATCTTACAGTCACCCCGCCGTGTGGTAGTTAAAGGGAAACACCCCCGCACTTCTAGGGGTACCTTCCCCATTCTTTTCGAGAAGAGCGATGGTTGAACAGAATGAAAGAATCAACCCCTAGAGCAGTGTCTGACTACCTCCAGAAAGCGGAAGGCCTCGCGAAGAGCGCCTCGCTTCTTCCTGTCGTGACTCGTAGCCGAAACGAGCCCGGTGGCCATCGGATGAGACGGGGGGGCTTGTGTTGGGTGGCTCGTCTTTTCTGAGAAAACACATATATTTTTGGGCAGGGTTCTAGAGGGAAACAAAAAACTGCCGATTTGTGGGGTCTAATCTACCCTCAGGGGCCTTCTGGTGGCCATGGGTGAGCAAAAAGGAGTCGCCTTTTGTTTTGACGCAAATCTTCAAACAGCAGGCTCCATCCTGAAGAAATGAGATAAGCATCGCCATCAAGCTGAAACTACCCACAGCCCCTGAGGGTTGCCGTCACCCCCAAATCGCCCTTGTCCTGCCCAGGGTTTTGGTTCAGGGTTTAGGTTTAGGTTTAGGGCTTAGGTTTTGGGTTCACAGTTTAAGTTCGGGGTAGGGTTCAGGTTTAGGGTGTAGGCTAGGGATTGGGTTTAGGGTTCAGGTGTAGGGTGTAGGTTTAGGTTTAGGGTGTAGGTTTAGGGCTTAAGTTTGGGGTTTAGGTTTAGTTCAGGTTTAGGGTTCAGGTTTAGGTTTAGGGTTAGGTTTAGGGTGTAGGTTAAGGGTTTAGGTTTAGGGTTTTGGTTTTCTAGGTTAGGTGCCCCTCTGCAGGCAAGCTGCTAGTGCATGTCTTAAAAACTCTCAAGAAGTATCGGCTAGCTTTGTCCGAACAGCACATTCAGCAGCCGCCGTCTCTGCTCTGCCTAGCGCTTGGCCATGACTAATTCAAGCACGTGGTAGCGAAGACAGAAACTGCTTCAGGCGGATTAGGTCTCTAAGAAGTCTAGGTTCGGGCGTTGGGGCGTTGCTTTGGGGCGCAGGCAACCCTCAGGGGCTGGCCGTAAAACTAGACTAAACAAATCAATTGGTGTGCAAAAGCTAGACTCCGTTTGGTGCCTTTGAGCTGTTTTTTCCCAATTCTTTACTAACGCCCGATGCCCAAGCAAGCGCTGGACTGTCACCTCCTGCTGGTCCAGTGGATCCCAGCTACCACGTAGATTAGCAGCCATGTTCTTGGGGCCTTTTTGAGCCTGGTTCCCTTGGTTTTAGACACAGGTAAATGGAATCACTGGGTCCTTCGAGGGGCCAGCTTGAAAAAAACATGTGCGGCAAGCTGTAGACCTCAATAACTCGCTTTCAGTCAACATCGGTGTAAATCGTACCGTTGACGGCAATGGCAACTAACTGGAACCAAACTGAAACCAATGCTATCACTGTGCTCCACCAAACTAATTCAAAAGGACATCTGTGCCAGCATCTTTCCCAAGGTGAAAAGCCTCTGCAATACACATATCGGGCCCTCACGACCCAAATCTCGAAACCAATTAGGGAGTGATGTATTCTACGCTTTATGCATTATTTGCCAGTGAACGGCTCCAAGGTTCTAGTGACCAAGCAACAAAATTCGAACCCAGGAGCCCAGCTGGGAATCCCCTTCTGAACCTGTGAGAAATCACCGCTTTTGCTGCCAAAGTGGGCCACTCTGACAAGTTTGCAGCACTTGAAACGGAGGGTTCATGCCATACTTACATTTGCTTAAGCCCGCAGTGGAAAAACAAAATCCCGTAGTGATAGATTCCCTTGAAACCAGCAGGGAAAACACACATTCCAGCAAATGGAAACGTACACAAACTGCTTGGCCCAGGGGGTGGGTGGCACCCGCAAGCCCGCCCGTGTTGCACATGAATTGGTCGGCAGGTGCACATATTCATATGAGTCACAATCAAAACCCAGAACCATGTAAGAAATTAGCGAGGCGGCCGCACCCATTTATGGCTGGGATTCTCCCTTACCCTCCAATTCCGTGGGTTTCTATTGTGACTTATATTCCCAATAAACCAAACAAACTGCCATGGAACCCCCTCGGTTTCCTTGGGCATCTGGTCGTATATTGTTTTCTTCAAGGTGGCCTCTGCTTTGTACATGACCCAGTTTCCCTTGGTCCGTACAAGGAACTCTCTCTCGGCCTCTTCATGCTGCTGTTTGTCTCGCCGCAATGCTTGTGGGGATCCTCCGCCTGAAAAAAGCAAGGCACCAGCTTGGGCGGGTTCGCTTTTTATGGGTACTTTGGTGGGGTGTTGAAGGGAACTAGTGACATGCCCACTTGAGAGGGCAATATACAAACATGATGTCCTGTCATTGTTTTGTTTGCAATCTACCCACTGGACTGCCACTCACCTTGAGATGCTAGAAGACCAATATTATGACATTGCAAAGCAATCCAGTCATCCGCGTGCGTGTCACGCGTTAGTAGGAACTGTTTTCTTGCATTTTTTGCAAGGTTGCTACAAGCATGGTGCAACCGCTCTAAACTGGTGGCCTGAATCCCTTGTGCCGACTGGATACCTGTCATCTAAAAAGTACTTGATAGACATAGATCCCCAAATGATGCCCAACGGGTCCCATGAACTCCAAGAAAAAGTCAAACCCGTCGCCAATGACATATCGTGAGTAAGCATTCATACACGCAAAGGGGGGCTAGCACGTTCCTTGGTGCATCGTAAGGCTTGTCCCTGCGGCAAGTGACAATGTGTCGCCACTTGAGCACTCGGGGGCAAACTCATTCGGAAATTCCCCACGGAGCAAAGCTCAAAAACCAGGCCACTTCCAAGCAATGAGCGACCCGAGAAATCCTCCTAGCTTTGACGCCAGCAACAATCTTGGGAGTTGAGCCTTTTGGGGCCTAATGGACATGTCCGGACTGTTTCACCCTCAAAAAGGACACCTAAACGGACAGCTCGCTAGGGCTGACTTCCAATGCTCTTCGCCCGTGGTTGTCTTTCGACTCTTCGGAAACCACCATTTTCCCAGGGGGTTAGTCCATGTTCGGAAGAGATTCGGATCCCTGGACTACGTGCTCTAGTTGGATAGGCCTTAGCTGGAGGTACCTTCGGAGAGAACCTCCAAATGGGTTGTTCCTCTCAGTTGAGTGGATTGGTCAAACAAAAGAAATGACCTTCTTGTTTGCCACCAAAATGGTCTTTCCGAAACAGACGACTTTTAGCTTACCGCAAAAATATTCCAGAAAAGTACAAAGTCCATCAAAGTCCTGTGCCAGGCCCGGAGCGCATGATTTGGGAATCCATTCCCATCACCTGAACCCCGACCTTTGGCAATCCTCCGCACCCAACTGCGCCAGTCCTTTGCGCTTTGCGCTTACGAAACCGAGCCTTGAACAAGGCGTTCACTGCTCCTCACTGAACTCTGAAGGTAGTGCATCTCTTGCAGGATCTGCTCCTGGCAGGAAAGCCAAGAGAGCTTCCCGGCCGGAATGCCAGCCCATACCTGAAGCGCCCTTCAGTGAAGGGAAGTCCAAACGATTTCTGCTGCAACTCATCCCTGCCTTCCACCAAATAAAAGGGGGGACCAGTGAGTCAGCTCATGAACTACGATCGGGCACAAAAATCCGTGTGCGACTGTCCAGTCGCACTTTCTCTTTAAGAAGGGGTGCCTGAGAAGGGTCATCATGGGAACCCCAGATTAATCAACCCCTTTCTATAAATATGGATAATATGGAGGTGTCCCCCTCCAAAAGTGACGCACACCCCACAAAACCCAGGGACACCCACCTAATGAAAAATATTCTGTGGCAGATTAATCTGGGTTCGCATTGCCTGGGTAAGTGTCATATAACCTTCCACTCTTCCAAGTCCCATTTCCTTGAGGTAGTTTCTGACAAGCCTCCCCACCACCATCTGGTTTTGGTATAAAGTTCAAAGAGAACCCCCCTTCAAAAGAACGCAGGGTACCACTTGAGAGCCTTATGGGGGAGGGGCTGTCAAAATGGGTCCTTTTGGAACCCGGCATGTGGCCTTCTATAAAGCACAAGGCCCGTAATTTTGACAACGCTGGGACTTGTGGTTTTGGGATTTGACAACCAATAGAGAACCAATCCAGCACAAAAAAAAAACATATCCCATGGCCTCTTGCATCTTGGACCTGTGCAGCTTCTCGTCAGACTCATCCTTAGGGCTAACCCCAGGACCAAGAGGAATCGCCTGAGAGGGAAGCCCTTAACCTAGATTTAATGCTCATTCAGAAACTATTGGACCTGTAAGTCTGGCGAGCCATGAACAAATAAGCTTTCTCCCATGGCCCTTTCTTTCACAATCCACTGACTTCGCAGGCTCTGATTCACTATTCATAGCACTATTCCCGCGACCTCCACGCCCCCAGGGTTCTCCTTTTGTTTCCCTTTCAAACTCAGGGAAAGGGTACCCTCAAAAAATACACATTATGCATGTAGTTGGTAATTATGTGGCCAGAATCTGATCTTCCGGTTTGGATAGGTCGGTGTATACCCATAAAACCCATCGCTTCAGCTTACCAAACATGACATGCTGGCAAACAATTGGTTTGTCTCAAAACAGGGAACACCCAAAATGGTGGTTTTCCTTTTGGGTTTCCCTTTGAAACTGCAACAAAAAGGGGTACCCTCAAAATTGACACTCCCCCCTTGTGTCTTGCTGGGGCTTAACATGTGTCTTTGATGTAGTTTGAGGGGTCCAGGCGAAAAGCCCGTGATCCAAAAGACCGCCCCCCTTTAAAGGCTCCTTGTAAACACCAATTGTCTCCCCAGAGGTTTGGAGGTTCAACGCAACCCTGAGGGTGGCCTTGAACACGCCACAAGCAGAAGCCGAAATAACAAGACCGCGCCATGACAAAAGCGGGGTGTGTTGCTCAAAAAAAAGAAACACTGGCACCGACACCAAAAACTCGGGGGTTGGGCGGGGGGCTCTGAATCACCGGTGAATTCCGAAAAAGAAAAAAGACACAATTCCCGGCAGGGCTACCAGCTGGCTCGGGCAGGTCAAAAACGGGGTTTCCGAAGGGTAGATTTCCTTGGACCTCGACCGTGGGAAAAAGTGCCATCGAAAATCCACACTTGCTCAACAATCCTGAAACCTTTCCATGTCCTGAGCACTTACTTCGGATGCAATTCTTTTCATATCACATCTTGGTCTCCTTCGGAAACCATAAAAACCCACACAATCGAATGGCGCAACACTTCTAGCACGGCCATTCTTCCAGCCACTTTGCAAGCAACCATCTCTATGTCCCGGTAAAAACTGGCTTGGACCCGGTGCCGGCACTAGACCGGCACCAGACCCAGCCGCATGCCGAGGCGCCATGAGCCGCTGCAGCTCTCGGTGCAGATCCCCCAGCTGACGTCGCAGCTGCAGCTCTTTGGCCTCGTCCTCCTGGCGGTGCCTGGCCACCTGAGCCGCTCGAAGGCTCCAAGGCGAAGGCTGGGGTTGTGCGGGGGGGGTCCGTTCTAGCGGGTTTGTGGGTTGGGGGGGGTCCTGCAAAATGGGCGTTCGTTTGCAGCGGGGTGCTTGCGAATGTAGTTCTAACTACAAGTATGGCATACAACTCAAGTGGTTGCTTGCAAGCTTGGTTCAAACAAATCATGACCCCCTTGAGGAATCCTAGATGACAATGTTTCAACAATGGTTCAATCGCGCTTCAACTCCAACCCCAATGGGCATAGACAGCAACGCAACAATACCCTGGTAGGGCCAAACCTGCAGTCAAACCATGTTCAGTTGTTCAAAAAGGTTGATTGTTCAATTTTGTAATCCACGAACTCATTTGAGAAACTACCGTGACCAAACAAATTGTCCAACCCAAGCTGAGTGTTGCTGCCTTCTCGGAAGCCGCTTCGACGCTTCCAACAAACTGGCCCGAGTGGCTGTGGCAAAACCAGGAGCACTTCTGACGCCTCTGAAACTACCCCCTTCCCCGCCAATGGAAGCTGACGAGAGGGTGTTCCACGCTTTTGGTGAACCTTTCTTTGTCCACGTCCATGCAACAGTAAACAGGAATTCAAGCAAATCAAGCATTTGGAAGGGGTCCCTGCATTCTCATCTTGCACACGGGAAATCCCGCCATCGCCTCGAGGTAGAAGTCCTTCATCTCTGCCTGCGAGATGAGGTTCAGAAATGTTGCCCCCCCTGCAACACTGCTGGTTGGGAACAAGGAGAAATCTGCAACTTACCATCAACACTCCTTTGCTGTTGCAAAGCCATTAGAGTCATTGCAGCCGAATGATGACTATATCAGGAACATTGAGGGTCATAAGCCTCCCACGGCTCTCCGAATCAGATTTGGGTACCTTGTGGCCGATTGAACCCCTGTGAAGGGAAATAAAGCACCAACCTTCAGGAGCACTGCCAGCGAACCAAGCAAACACAACTAACCAGCCCAACTCAACCCAACCTAACCCAACCTAATCCAACCTAATCCAACCCAACACACCGAGCAAGAAGAGGGCCAACAAAGCAACAAGCAACAAGGGGCAACGGGCATCTTCAAAACCATATTGGAAAAAAAGAAACTCAACACAGGCACGAACTCCAAAAACAAAGCATATCTCTTTGGCTTCCTCCCCGCGGGTCGGTTCCAAGTCAAAGTGTCCATTCAGGTGAAGTATGTATGTATGTAGGGTCTGTCAACACTCCATTGGCATCTCAATTTGCTCCCATGTCCTTTCATGCTCTAAACGTGTTCTGCTACGTACTTTTGTGACTTCAAAAGCGCGTTCCAACATGACATGCTGTAGCATTTGCAACAAGCAAACACGGTACTGCAGTTGCACTCCTATCCATCGCCAGTCATAGACAGTCGCATTTGTTTCTCATTGTTTCAACACACAATAAACTCCTCATGTGGCAAACAATTGCACATGTTTTTGATTTGTCTTAGTTCAAAGTAAGCCTCCCAACAAACCATGGAACGGCACACACTCCCTCTCCAGCAGGTTAGTTGTCCAAAAGTCGAAGCACCAAGCCATGTTTGTTTGGGGGTTACGATTGCTTTGTTCAATCAGTCTCCCAGTTTGCCTTCAACGACTTGGAGATGGGTATGAAGACAAATAGCCCCAACATGGTGGCCGTGCCTGTTGTTTCCCTTCAAACCCACCACAGCAGACATACCGAGCCTCAATAAAACAAACCGCACTCTTGAGTGGAGAAACTTGTTTGGGCTAGCACCATATGGCTATGATTTTCAATGGGCAAAGGGCTAATCAACATTCTCGCGAATTTGCTTCTCCCAAATCTTCTTTGATCATTTGGGCAAAGGGATGAACTGGAACTGTCCAAACTTCGCTTTACGCGAGGGTAACAAAACCGGAAAACGCCACCTTTTCCCATGTCTCTCTTTGCGACTTTTTGGCTTTGAGACCCACGGACCCAGGGCCAAACTGGCATTTCTTTGCGCCAAAAGACAACGGCAAAGGTCTAGCTCGGTTGCCAAAGGACCCAGCAATACAAGGTCATCACCTTTTGGGGTGATGAACAATGGAACCCAAAATGGGAAAACAAAACGGTCAAAAGGCTGATTCGCTTTGGACACCTGATGCTAATGTGTTGCGTTTCCAGGTGGTTTCGATTAGCAGATGGTTTCGAAACCACCCCTTGGCTACCAGTTGATGGGAAACCACCCCCAGAACACCACCAAACCACCAGTCCAAACCACCAGTTAGAGGAAAGCTGAGGTACCCCAATTTGGTTGGTTTTCAAGGGAACCAACAGAACAACCAGAATCGTTATGTTGCGACATACCTTTGGACCCCCCCGAAACAAAGAAGTTGTTGTTACCAACCACAAAGGGGTTCCTTCAAGAAAGCACAGTACGCTGATGTGGGTGTCTTTTTCTGGGAAACCACCAAAATGGTTGGTTTCTCGTTGGGTGTCAGTTTCGAACCATCCAAAACGGTCTCCAACAAAAGACAGCCCCATTCTGTGGATGGACAAAATCCTGCACCACTTTGAAACCGTGGGAACCATTGTTTGTCAAATTTGTTGGCATTTCACAGCGAAATCATTCCAGGGTTTCTTAGACGGTGCAGAATTTTGTCCACGCTATGCCTAGAAACGAACGAACAGTTGAGTCTCACTGTTGGTTCGCTGGGAACATCTTCTCATTCTCCCCGAAAAGTTGAAGTCTAAAGATCCACCCGAATAGCCATCAAATAAAACAGCAACAAACTGGGCAGTGAACAACTGGGAATAAATCGGAGCAATAGAAACTGGATGTTGAAACAAAACAGGAGGAACAAAGTGGGCAGCCCTGTTCCTGTGTTTTGGGAATCAGAGCCTCCGACTTTTTGGAAAGCCACGAGTGGCTTCGCGAGACTTGGCCTCCTTCAAGGCGCTCAGGTGCCGCCGCAGGCTGTCCGCACCCTCGCTGCCCCGCAGCGCGTCCAGCTGGCGCCTGAAAGCTGTTGGAATCGAGAAAATGGACATGGACCTGTATGTGTGTGTGTGAATATGATTGCTTGTGTTTTTGCTGTTGTTTGCTCAAATGATTGTTTGTGTGTTTGTGATTGTTCGTGTGTGTGTGTGTATTATCGTGTGTGTTTCAAGTTTGCTTGCTTGCTTGCTTGCTTGATTCATTGCTTGTTTGATTGTTTATTGATTGAGCGATGGATCGATCGACCGACTGATTCATCGATTGATTCATTGATTCATTCATTGATGGATGGATGGATGGATGGATGGATGGATGAATGGATTGATTAATGCATGGATGGATGGATGGATGGATGGATGGATGGATGGATGGATGGATGGATGGATGGATGGATGGATGGATGGATGGATGGATCGATGGATGGATTGATTGATTGATTTGGTTGGTTGATTTATTGATTGGTTGGTTGGTTGGTTGATTGATGTGACTTGCTTTGCTTTGCTTTGCTTTGCTTTGCTTTGATTTGATTGATTGATTGATTGATTGATTGACTGTTTGATTGATTCGTTGATTGTTTGATTGTTTCATTGTTTGATTGTTTGTTTGATTGTTTCATTGTTTGATTGTTTGTTTGATTGATTGATTGATTGACTGATTGATTGATTGATTGATTGATTGATTGATTGATTGATTGACTGATTGATTGATTGTATGATTGACTTATTGAATGAATGAATGATTGATTGATTGATGGATGAATGAACGATTGATTGATTGATGGATGGATGGATGGATGGACGGATTGAAGGATTGATGGATTGATGGATTGATGGATTGATGGATTGATGGATTGATGGATTGATTGATTGATTGATTGATTGATTGATTGATTGATTGATTGATTGATTGATTGATTGCTTGCTTGATTGCTTGCTTGCTTGCTTGATTGATTGATTGATTGATTGATTGATTGATTGATTGATTGATTGATTCAATGACTGCTTCCTTGCTTGCTTGCTTGCTTGCTTGCTTGCTTGCTTGCTTGATTGACTACGAGGCTCCTCGTGAATAATCATGAAATTCCAGGCAGGTTCTGCATATGTTGCGTTTCATTTTCAGGCCCTTTGCCTGCATAGTGAAGACCACGATGACAGATCGTATCTTAAACGAGGACAAAAGCCCGATCAAAATCAACCAGGATTGATTTATCAACTGAATTCCATGTGTCTGCAATGCTTTACCACACGTCCAAATCCAGAAATGGCTATGTCAACAATTGGGTAACTCCGAAATGGCTTCCCTGGTACATCGAACCAAGGACTAAAACCTGTGGTCCAATTCCTGCTTTAACTTTGACCCACACACCAACAGGGATTGGACACCCCCAAGTAGAGGCCCTACATCCTCCGCTCGTGAATTAAAACAAAACAACACAAAAAACAAAAAACATGGATCGGTGGAATCGCTCGCCTCAGGAGCTGCTGCTTCCCGAGGCTCTCTTGAATCTGTTTGCATTCCTGCAGCCAGCGGTCGAAAAACTAGGTGCTCCTTGCTGCCCCAAGAGGACATGTGACAAGTGTGCTGAGTCCCCGGATTTTCGTGGGAAACTCAGTGAGTCTTTCATGTCTTCCCAAATGAACAAATGAACCATAGACTACTGGACATTTTGACCTGGATGCAGTTAACTCAGTTATCGTAACCGAAGCAGACGGGGTCTGGGAGAAAACAAAGGACAAATGAGTCACGTCCTCGTATTTTTTTGCCTGTACCAGTTGGAGGTGGTTTGGTGCAGGACTTTTGTTGCCTATCCACACTATCCACAGTATCATTGTGGTTTCCTCGAATGAGCCCCCCGACAATATTATTTATTTGTTCCCCGAAATGACAAGGGAAGCTTGGGGGGGCCTCTGGCTTTTCTGGAAAATTTGGTGGGCGCCCGTTCTCCTCCCCAAATCAAGCTTCGACATGCCCCCTGGTACATGGCTAAAACCAACATACCGACGCACCAACTACTTAGAAACTAATTTCAAAACGGCAAATTGGCAACCTAAAGTGCCTTCGCTCGGGAGAGCCTCATATTACAATGTCTGAACTCCAATCAACCCAGCGATCCAGCGAAAGTTCCTTTGTTTAAGCCGCCTGAAAAAAAAAAAACAGTAGTGTTAGATACCCTGACTCCCTTTAAAACCAACAAGGACAACTAAAAACACAATTTCTGCAAATGGACGTATTCCATGTAACCGCCAATGGTCTTCTCTGGCACACGGGCTTGTTTTGACACAAGCACGGCGCCCAAAATGCGGGTAAAAAACGGCGCCAGTACCGCGAGCTTTCTTTCGCGGGCCCTTTCGCGGTGCTTTCGCGACCACATGTTTTTTTTGCGCCCTCCGTTTCCTTTAGAATGTCTTTTGCGGCCTTTCGCAGCGGGACGCGAAACATACTCTTCGAAATGTATCCTTCGCGGCACCTTCTTGAGGCACTTTCGCAATAAGCCTTCGCAAGCCTTCGTGGCCTGTGTTTTGGCTTTCGTGGGGGCTCTATAGGGAACCCCCCCTTGCTACTTTTCATTACCAGGATTCGTGGCGTTTTTTACATGGGATTTCCCTTTTGGTTGCCTTTTAGTCTTTGATTCTGGTAGATCTTGTTTTCCAGACGGGGACCCCAGGTTGCAACCAGTACCCCCGAATTCGAATTGAAGCTGCACTACGTATCAGGCTTTTCAGCCCCCCGCCCCCCCTCCTCCCAAAAGCCCCCAAGTTGCAACACATTTTAGTATAGGGCCCGGTCCATACCCAATTTTAGCCTATCTTTAATATAAAACCCCTTACATGAACAAATTCACTGATTTGTTTTTCCGTCCTCCTCCTCGTCTTCTGCCAACGTCACCAGCCTCAAGCTCAGCCTCAACTCGAGATGTGACCCTCTCAGTTTCTCAAAGGATTGGTCGGGGAAAAATCGGACTTGTGGTTTAGCACTGAATTAGTCTCCCCCCAAAAGTTAGCCCAACTTGGGAAAGGCCCGTTCACTTCAAACACCCCGAAGCAACGAGTACGGGCTCCTTGAAAGAACCCACTTTTGCTTTCTTTGATCTAGGAAGAATGAAGCAATGCTTCCGGAAGGAAATCAGTAGGATTCCGTGTTCGTCCTTTTGCTGAAGGGCATACCGCCAAAAGGGAGCGAATGGCACTAGAGGGCGCACACACATATATATATATACATATACATTATATATGTCGCTTTATGTTTCAGACGCAGCCCTAGTCTCGGGTGAGACCCATCGCGGGGGCCCCGGCTGCTCTTCCTTCGCAATCACCGAGTCCTTGCGCTGCAAAATCTCGTGCTGCAGCTCACCGAGGTCGAGGGCCTGCCATCTCGCGGGCTTGAGTCCCAACGCCCCATGCAGGAAAACACGAATGCCACTGAGCCATGATAACATGAGAGGGGTGTGTAGTTGCTGCCCTTTTTGGCTGGTTGGTTTGAAGGAATCCTAACAACACACACACAGACATTTTGGGTGGGCCAACTTCCTATTCTGATTTACGCACACCCAACTTTTCTCCTGGTTCATTACTAGGGTGTCCCGCCTAAGAGATCTGTCATACGGGTTCATTGACCTGTGCATGTTCAGTTCAGGTCTGAAAGGGGTCCTATGTACATAAAGACCATGTTCCTCGCAAAAAGACCTCTGGCAGTTCCATTTGGCAGGGTGCACTCTTTCCAACAAAGAAAGCAAACCCCAGGTGCACTCTGCCCAATCATGCACATGTCTAGGTCCTTACCCCAAAGGGACATACCCAAAATCAGTGCAATTTCTGGGTACGTCGGGGTGGTACCCAGTATATACCGGCTAGACGGCCTGTCGTGATGAGTAATCCGTGTCCGGCCGAAGCGGTCAATCGACTTCATTTGCTGAGAAACTTGCGTATGAGACATGGTTCAGTACTCTCCCCAACATCGCACCAATGCACTTTTTAAGAGCAACGCACATCTCAGAATTTGTGACCCTTGCCAACAGAAATGGAAGCCCTGACAAAGCCACGTTGTTGTGCCACCGGAGAACTGGGAAAAGGGCAGAGCCAGGAAAGTGAGATCCCCGGAACAACTGAAAAAAGGGTCAGTGAAAAGGGCTTCAACCAATGGCCAAGGGAATCCTTATCATATATGAAATCACTGCGCAGGATACTTCACTTGCTGGTGCTCGGTAGGGAATGAGGGAATGAACCCAGGGGTCCCCTTAAAGACAAGGCAGAGTTCGTGCATCTTGCTTTCCATCTGACCTGTGTGACGCTGAGCAACCGCGCATAATTGACATATTTGGAACTGGCGGTCTCAGCAGTTCTCAAATGCAAACACCGCACGCGTGCAGGAAACTGGGGGGCCTGGAAAGGTCTGATTTTTGTTGGGGAAACTCATCAGGGGTCATCTAGGTACACGAGGGGTCTCAATAACTAATTTGGGACTGGATGAGTGCCAATTGCTTTTGTTGGGCTCGTGATCTTTCCTGTCATACATAATTTACCAGACCCCCTGAGCGTGTGTAATTTCGGAATTCATCTGCAAACACGGTGGTCCCACACCTCATGCAATTTCACGAGGGAAACCCAGGAATAGCCAAAGAAACCCAAGCGAGGGAAGTTCATCGGAGGGGCTGCGTCCCTGTACAGGTGCATCAGTTGTATGACTTCTGGAAGTAAATCTCACGTGTACGTAGCACATCAAAAGGCATGGAAGCTGATCTCGTTTGCTTTCCTTTGGCTCTCTTTGGCTTTTCTTTAATATCACCCGAGTCTTCCCCCGCCGATTGATCGATCCTGCAGGGAGCTGATGTACTTGGATAGCGCCTCTTCACGTTGCTGCTCTTTCTCCGTTCCTCAGCAAGCGAGCGATCTGCCAAAAAATGAACAAGTCACCTGTCTCCTTTCTATTCTGGCCCAAAGTGTCCCTTGACCAAGGAGATACTCAGCCCCGTTTTTAGCCCTGAAAAACATCTCTATAAGGTATTTGGACGCTCTAGGTGAAAGACAAGTCTGGTTTTGATTTTTCACACACAGGCTTGCCTCAACAAGCTTCAAAGGCTGCAGTTGGAGGCATTAGACAGGGACTACGTGGACTTTGACCGGCCAATGCCCACACATGGGCATTTGGTCCCGTTTAAGTTCGACAACTCGCTGCGGATTATTGTTGCGCCGGAAAAAAAAAAAGGCGGGCAAAGTGTTGCCCATTCTACCAGTTAAAGAGAGTTGTCGACCCCAAAGGAATCTACTTAGAGGATTGTTGGAGCCCGGAAAGTGCAGGTTTGCCTCTAAAATGGGGCACCCCTATTTAGTCAAGGACACGCCATTGGGGTTTCAGGTGCGTGGGAACGGATGTAACCGCTGACAAGTGTTCCTCTCGACTTTGTTTCTGTGTTGCTCTTGCAACGATTCAATCCCAGGCAGTCACTGCTTTAACCAGTTTTAACAGGGGGCCTGGTTTTTCAGCCAGGATTAAAAACCCCCCCTCCCCACCCCAGGCGTGAATCCAAACAAAAAAACAAAACACCAGAGCCCTTCCTTTGCAGTGTCAAAACAAGCGATATCTTGCTGTATCTACGCTTTCTGCAAGCATGCAACAGCAGATGCTCGAAGGCATGGTGTTTTTTAGGTGTGAATCAACAAAGAAACGAGCCCTGCTTCCGGGCCGCGAGAATCCCCAAACACCAAGCCCTCGAGCGAGCCCTGTTTCTCGCCCAGGGGGTAAATTCAAAGCAATCAGTAGAGCCTCGAGAATGTAAGTTCAGAATATGTTAAATCAGAAAACAGTGCCGGACGGAACCGGGCTCATTGTCCAGAATCAATGCTCACTCACTTGCGTGGTCGAAAGTCTCAAACAAGAACATAACAAAATTCAAGCATACTTAAAGGGACAGGGTACTTAGTAAGTGTCCAGTAAGCCGTTATAAGTTATAACCCACTTAGGAGACTTGCAACAACGGTAAGTGAGTAATAACCAGGCTTGCTAATCAAATTAAACATGGTTCCCAAAGAACTGCCATGTTCTTTTCACCATCGCACAGGGTGTTACTTGCCCAATCTTACCCAGCAACATCTGCAAGTTGTGAGCTTCATCATGCAAATATGTGTCAATTGCATCTGCACATGCTACCTTCATGACACAACCTGAAATAAGGGACCCCGAAGTAAAGGACCAACATGTGGACATGGGGTTTCAAGGGAGCAGCAAAAGAAGTCGACAGCCGGTTTGGGCGGCTTGCTATGATAAACATGCGATGCCACCTCTTCTCCGGGGCAGACTGGGACCTGCGGGAAGGTGTGGTTTCGCTTGAAAGGAAACATGAAGAAAAACCCACGTCTGGCACTATTCGCGTCCTGAATCTTAACAAAAGACCCTTTGGCGGACATCATTTAGATTGGAATTCATGTGCAACAACCGCTTTGGCCGGGTTGTTCCCGTTTATAGTTCACAGCCACTGTTTCTCAGAGCGTCGTTCCACAATGCTGCGGCGTCGGACCATCAGCGCCTTTTCCAATTCCTCGACCTTGTGCAGCAGCCTGGGCGGGTTTACCGTCCATTTGTTTGGGGGGGTTAAATTATCTCAAGTATTCAGGTCTTCTGTCTTCCTCGGGTCTCGTATTGAAAACAAAGACCCGAAATGGGTGCCCTAGATACGGAGGGCTCGGATTTGGGTGTCTTTCTTGGAGTTGGTACCGTTTGCTGTCGCTTCAAAGTGAAACCAAAAAACACCATCTGTTTTCGAGGTTCTTCCATTTGAAGGCCATCCAGTTGAACGAAGGCCCTACAGGGCATGGAATTGGGTAAACTGTCACAACTCACCAACCTGAAACAAGGCACTACATGTAACCCAAGAAGGAACCCTTCTCTATGGGAAAGAGCGCAATGCCCCTGCCGTCAGGCATTCCAGACGCGAATCTATTCCTCCTCAAGTGGGCAATCTTCGCCCTGCATGGATTTCAAGGGCAGTTTCTGGTGGGTTGTTTGGAGTATATACCACTCACTCATATAGGGATATATGAGGGGTATATACTGCCTTCTACAAGCGGCGATTACATCACCTCTACACCTCCAAACAACCAACCTGTAAATGCCATTGACCAATGGGCTTATCCTATGGGTAGACTTGCAGAAGGAGCACCTGCAAATGGCCTCTCGCGGAGCCCAAAAGGTGAAAAGGTCGATTTGCTTTGTACCACTGAGTGCAGGGGTCACTGGATGTCCCCTTCAAAAGTTGATCAATTTCCTGGTGGCTTCCATTCAAACTGCCACTTTTGGAGTTTCCAAAAAGGGAAATGGAGGACACCCTGTGGTGGGTGAGTCTTACCCCAAAAACCGATGGTTTCCTTTTGTCTCCCTGTACAAGCCCATTTCTGGGGGTACCCTTCGCCTCAAAGAGTTGAACACGCCCAAATGACCAAAAGGAGCAAACCGGGGCCAAATCGATTCACTTGCGAGGTGCGCATGCTCCACCTCCATCTCCACCTGTCTGTCGCGATCCATCTGCTCCTTGGGAGCTAACTCCCCCAGGCTATCCCGAGGTCTGACCGAATGCACCGCACACCCGGGGAAGCCAAAGGCCTGCAAAGCCACCGCCCAAGAAAAGCTCTTAGAATTCTTCCGGTGAGGGGGGAAACGAGTGAAGCAAAGGGCCAACCAAGGCTCCAACCACCATTCCCGACTCTAAATCTTGGGGGGGCCTTAAGGTCCAAACCCAACGGCGATCGCTTTACCCCTATATAAGGCCCTTTCCGATGCTTAGGGTACTGCAATTCCTCCAACCCGAAAAAAGGAAACCCCAAATTGGGTAGCTTCGAAGGTAAACACGTTTTACCCAGGGCTCCCTGTTCATTTGCCAATGCCGAATGCCCTCTGTGCCAACCACGGAAATCCTTGCCTCTCTTGCTCAGAAGAAAGGTGATCTCCTTCCAGCCCAGTGACCCTGCAAAACCAGCTAGTTATATAAGGGGGCATGAGCCCTAGCAGTCACAAAAACTTGCTGGTACTCAGCAGGGAATGAGGGAATAAACGTGGGGATTCCCTTAAACTTAAAGGAAGCCATAGGGGTCCTTCTCTCATTCCCTGCTGAGCACCAGCAAGAAAAAGGAGTGTTCTACGCATTCTACACACCTGTCACTTATGGGGGGTCCCTTGAGAGAACACTATCCCTGAAGAATATTTGCGCGGGGGGTATCTTCCGTCATGTGATGTGGCACAAACTCTGGGAGTATTGCAAAAAGCGAACCTGAACCCCCCCGAATGCAACACCAGCTTCATGGGCGTCGAAAACACCCGGTTGCTCACAAAGGATAGCCAGGTTTATGGTGAACAACCCACAACTCAAGAGGTACCGAGCAAGTGGGAAGGCTCCATTTTCCCCCGCTGATATCACCCGGGTTTGGCTCAAAAGTTGGGGAACCCAATTTGATAAGATTTGGCTCGGTTCCATTTAATTGGGCCTGCCGAGTCCGGCCTCAAATGATGAGGATGCCCAAATTCAAAGCTTGCCAGCGCTGGTGGGCTAACAAAATGGGATTCGGACCCCTTTTGGGATGGTATCTAGCGGCACACCCATTGGAAACCACCAATTTTAGGGGAGTGTTTTCAGAAACATGGTAAGGCCGGTGAAGTCAAAGCTGGGAACCCTCCAGGGTTTCCCCTGTGGGTTGTCCCCAAACTCTGCCATTGTTCTCCCTTTCAAAGTGACCCAATTTTGCTCAGAAAAAAAACCAAGCGGATCCCTTTTAAAGTGACCGTTTCGGACACCCAGCTCCACAAAAAAACAGACTCGGTATTCCGAGGTGCTCGGACTTCGCGGATCCGCTCTTCCAGGTGATGCATATCCTGCGCCTAAGGAAACCGGGGCATTTAGGTAGTCTCTTTTGGTTTACCTTTGTCTCAAAATAGTGGGACCAGGGGGACCCACAAAATTGTGTTTGCCTTTCCGGTTTCCCTTGAACTAACACCACAAAAGACACCCTCAAAAAGACAGACACATATAACAAACAAAACCACCAAAACCAATACACGCGTGGGTAACAAATTAATTGCCCCTTTGAATGTTTATGCCCCCTTTTCATCAAACATCCTGTCTGATGTGGTGAGTACGTAACTTTGATGGGTTTTGTGGCTGGCAAAGGGAGAGGACCCTGAACAAACGCCTTGGGGACAGTAGTCCAAATGGACCTGGTGCCTTTTTCGGGCTACGCTGCTCGTGCTTTTAAAGGCCAAGCAAGTAGGTCTCGGCCCAAATCCTACCAGATGGTGGACCTGTGTCAGCTGATGTTTGGGAGCTCCTTTGACTTACGCCATGGAAATCGCCATGTTTCGTTTCCCTCCTCTCGCTGGATGGTGCTGCATTGGGATCGTCATTGCTCACGGATGGTGCTTTTTCCTTGGGTTCCTCGTGTCTATACAGCTCTCTGTCCTGGTCAGAGACTTCGTCTCCAAGGTCCAGTTGAACAGTGATTCGCTGCAGCTCTGGTGGATTTTCGCTGCATCGGCGCGGAAGCACTCGTCTTCTCACTTGCGTGTGGAACTCCTTGACGAAGCTGGGAGCATCAGGTCGTGGAGCCCTACTCATTGCTGGCGACATCGTGGCAACAAGGGGGTGGCGCTTCACACAGACTCTGCGCAACTCGATTGTGGCTACGGCAGCACTTTCGCTGCCGGCAACTTCAACTACAAGGCACAACCATGGAACGCAAGCGCAAGCTTGCCGCACTTAGGCATGAGGCCACCACGGCTTCCGACCGATAGGTTCTGTTCTAGTTCTGCCCTTGGCTCCTTCCTGGACCGTACAATTGGCAGCATCCTCGCGGCCTACACCAGACCTTGAGCCCCCGGGTGCACCTCCGTGCTTTTCCCACTTTTTACATTTCAGGGTAGCAAAGCGCTTGGTCCCTGCCTACGCACAGCTTGGCAGGACTTGGAATGACTTGTTTTTGAGCAACATGCTCTGTGTGCATCTGTCTACAACTATGACTGATGTCGTTTATGTTGGTGCAGCGATATGCTGCAATTCTGTCTGTCGCAGACATGTAACTTAGTTTGGACATCTCGGGCCCAGGCCTGTGGAATGCTTCCGAAGGCGGATGGGTCTACACCCATCCCCCCTCGTTGCTGCACAACGCAGCTGGACTCGAACAGTGCTGCGCCGCACCGCTCACGCTGTGTGCGCACCACTCAGAAGCCGTCCGCGCAAGTGAAAAACCGGGTGCCCCAGTTCGACATGAAAAACAACCGGAATCCACCAACTCCTCCAGGTCTCCTTTTGTAATTCCCACGAGCCTTCTAGACTTTTGCCAGAAGCTCGGGCTCCTTCAACAATTTGTCAAAATCACGGGCCACTTTCTAGGCCCCACCATTTAAAGGCGCAGAAAATGCACCAAGGTCCTTACCACCAATGCCCTTGTTTTTCTTGGCGCCCGATTTGATGTGTGACGTTCTTACAAGTTCCGCGAACCCTTCCGCGAAACTGGCTTCCGGGCACATTCCGCAAGCATCGTCTGCTTCAACATGCTGCAGAAGCTCGTGCACACGCGTTGTCCGCAAATGTTTGGCCACAGCGGCATCCAATGGCTCAGCAACCAAAATCTCTCAGAGCGGGAGGCAGCTTTGACGCGGCGAAGCTGCGCAGCTGCGAATCTAAGCTTCAGTAGCTTTAACTCGGCAGCCTTTGCACAACTTCGAGAGTTGTTTTCTTCTTGGTGAGCAGGGCGTGTCCTGAAAAACCTTGTGCGGGCGTCTATGCGCGGGCGGGTTGGACTTTTGCGCGGTATGTCGGCCAAGTATGGCCACGATTGAGAACGCTATGGCCCGAACAAGAACACATCCCGAAACAGAAAGGGATGATGTAAGAGTTCAAGTTGAAACGAGCCAATCTGATAGGTCATGGAGAAGACACATTCCCAATTGACCAATGACATTGCTAGAAAAAGGACGCCTTTTTGTTGGGCCCATTTTAAAGTGGGGAAGCCACTAAAGAAAACACGGAAAATAGTGCATGAATGTGATGTCATGCAAATGCACTGTATTGCGTTGTATTTGATTGGTATTGAATTGAATGGTATGGTGTGGTATTGCACTTGTACCTGTTTTATATATATATATATATATATGTCAGGTTTGGTCCAAATTGGGGACTCCAAATCTGCAAAATAACAAGATCAGGACTTCTTTAACTTCAAGCCCCGAACAGGGAGGTGCCTTTGGCGCAAGAAACTTGCGGGTGTATACCCCGGCTAAACACGCGGTTTCTGTTGCAAAGTTCCCCCCCAAATAAAAAGCAAGAGAAACCTTGAGAAGACACTGCCTCCTTCCCAAAAGCCCTGTGGCTTTCAAAGTCACCGCACGCTTTGGCATGCAGGGTGTAGGTGCCCTTTGTGGGCTGCAGTCAAAAGGACCCCAAAGAGAAAACCAATGTGGGGGTCCCCTATGTTGAGACCCTTTTTCTGGTCCCATGTCAAAGCGAGGAAACCCCAGTGGCGTCGCTGTTCGCCCAGACAAATCCAAGGTCTTGCCATTTCATCCATCCCAAAACGCGGCACCGTGCCTCCTTCTGCTCCACCTGCCAAGCAAGCACCGTGCGCACGCCGACCGATTCATGGAAATTTGTCGATCACATGTCTGCATGGATCCCTGTGCAAAGAGTGTCATTGTAACTCTTTGCAGTTTAGTGGGGGAACAAATCGCTAATTCCCCCATAAACAGTTACGAGCTAAAGATCCATTCAAGCCAAGATGTGTGCGAGTAGTCTAGTCTCCGCCTTGTTCTAAGCAGGCACGACTATGTCCGGCAGATGTCGAAACGATAAGAGGCCATGGGAATAAACGGCACCCTTGTTGTTGGCACTTCAGGTCTTCTTAAACAGCCTTCCCCTTCATTTCCAACCAACCATCCCGATGCAACGGGAACTCACCCCTTTGAAGGGCAAAAAGTGCTGCCAACCATGGGGAGGTCGGGGATGTTCGAAGCGACAAACAGCTGGGGTCACAGGGGTTGCTTGTCTGTTAGAATACCCTTGGGGTGTATGAGGGAAGCTAAGGAAGATCCACCATTTTCCGGAGCAACTTTCTTGGAGACAAACCCTATGAGCTAACGCTGGCACTGCTACCCTGCCTCTGCATCCGCCCACGGACCCGACGGTCCTGGCACTGGCGGTGCGCTGTGTATCAGCAGCAATATTCAGCACGCAAGTCTCTCGCCTGTATGGTTGCACAAGCGCAATGAGCGCATAACCAGAGAGAGCCTTTATCTGAAAACCACAGCGCCATTGACGCAGAAACAAAGCTGATCTCCCAGCAGGTTTCTGCAAGAGAATAACTCGTGTCACTCAAGTCATCATTGGGGGGCTGTTGGTGGCGGTCCATCTTTTACGCTTCGAGGTGAACCAACCAAAATACCGTGGATGGACGAAATCCTGCACCACCGTTCAGAAACCCTGGAATGATTCGGTTCCCCCGTAAATAGCGTAACAAACAATGGTTCAGCCATGGTTTCATCTTGTGGTGCGATTTCTGGATTTTGCAACCATCCACATGGGGTATTTAGCGAGCCAATTGCACCTCCTGCAGGTGCTGGAGGCGGAGCCGCTCCACGTCGAGGGGGTGTCCGGCCGGTGTCTTGCCCTGGGTGGGTGAGAAAGGCGCCCCCAATTCAACTGACCAAGTCTTCCCCGGTGATTTGCCGAGCAGCTCTACTAGGGGAAAAACGCTGTTGGGGGCCTTTTTGGGTCAAAGCTCACTTCACCCCGGGGTGCCGCTGTGATTAACATAGCACAAGCTGTTGTTCTTTGGTGCCGCCCTAGCCTGTCCCTGTTGGGGGCCACGCTTTCCAGGCTGGGGGCCTCCTTCAAGCGGAGTCCCAGAATTAACTCGAAATGTGTTGTTTTTGGATTCCTCAAGTCCTGCAAAAACATGTTTGGCAGCAGAAAGATAGACAATGGACATAGACAGCAAAAACGTCCCACCAAATTTCTATCGTGGCATGGAAACTTTCAGGTCTCCCCTGATGTCGAAGCCCAAGAACTTGCATTTGGTTTGCAACAGCTGAACGCTTTTGGGGCGGGCGAAATTCCCAAATGAGCTCTGTAATTTAGGTATGGGTCAAACTTATCCACCAAAAAACCACAGGTGTGAGTCCATCTGGAGCTGTCCATGGGCATGGATGCGGAGGCAAACTGCCGCTTGGCAAGGCACCGTCCAGCTTCCGGCCTAGGCGTCTGTCTGTCGCCTGAAATTTCATTCCTTTGGCCTGTTGAATCCCCCCTGTTGAAACTGGGAATCCTCTACGCAGCCAATCATTCGATCCCACATTCCCTTAGAAGCTATTTGGGAAGCAATGCTGAGATTCCTGGCACCAAACAAAAGTCGGGTGGAAGCCAGGAAAAAGCAATCCAAAACAAAAAAACACAAGCTGAGGTCCCAGCGCTGCTCCACCTGCCGCCCTGGAGGCGGCCCAGGGCCGCGCGAAGCGGAGCCGCGGGAAGCGGAGCCGCGCGTCACGCGCTCGGCGCCGCGCTCGGTCTCGCGCTCCTGGCGCCCCTTCTTTTTCCTGGCGTGCTTGTCCTTGGCCTTGGAGGACGCCAACTCTTCGATCATCTCCTGGTGCAGTTGCATCCAAAATGTCTTGACCCAAATTTAGGCTGCAAATGGGTTCCTTTTGCATACGATCCGTACAGGATTGGTAGAAATGAATCCCGCAGCACCACCATTGGAAGGAGGCCCAGGGTACACCGAGGTTTGAGGTTTCAGATTCTACTGGAATCTCCTGAGACATGTGGGGTTGCCCTGATTCCATTCCCAGAAAAGCCAGCCTTTGCTTTCTTGGCACAACAAATGGGCGCGGGCCTTGTTTTGGGGAACCTCTTCTGGCTGGTTGTACGGGAAGCCAAGAAGGAAACCAAGTAATGCCGGCGTCCAAATTTTGAAGCACCCGCTCTTTTGCGAGCAAACCAACAGAACTCAAACATCTTCCTCAAAACAGGAAGCAATCATCTATATAAGTTAAAGACTTCCAACCACAGTGCGAAGCCAATCACCCGTGAACCGAAAAACGGCCTCCTCAACCATGGGGAACAAAAATCACGGTCCAGCATTTCGTGTCCTTCGGCTTCCCTCTCAAACAGCAAGGGCACAGTGCCCTCAAAACAGCCAACGATTCTCAGAGCAGTGGTAAACGGAATGTTGGTCAATCGACCAGAACCTGTACGCATCATGAAACCTAAGAGAAATCTATCTTTAAGGGAAACTCCCAAATTGCCTTTCACCAGCCATCATATGCCGCATGCACTTGCAATCGCTTGGGGTCCCATCCCAAACCTGGGAAGATACCTCTTGGACAAAACTGGACTACAAAGTCAAGGTCGACGCGCACATCCTTGCAATATTTGGGGCATCCCCCGGAGTGAGATCTTGCGAGCCTTCAAGCCAACTTCTTGGTGTGCCGCCGTTTCTATGAGATGAGTGTAACCTTCCCAGTGGGCAACCAGCCATGGAATATTCTGGGTTTTGGAGGGTGGTTGCCTTGGCTACCTCCTATACAGGGAAATGGAATCACCGATCTTATTCTGCGGATTCACATAAAGGACCCCCGGAACACGCGGGTACTCCTGCAAATGGGGTGTCAAACATGAGACCCTGTCAACAGGCGCTGCTTTCTTGCGCGGGTCCAAATCTGTTTTAATATCCTCAACAGGAAACACACACACACACACACCGGCGAGTCCCACGTGTTGCGATGTCTCAGTTCTGGGATGGTGAGAAAAGGGCCCCTCGTTTTGATCGCTTTTCCAGTCGAGGAAAAAAGGGGGAACCAAAACAGAGTTGGCAAACAGGGGGCGAAACTACCGAGCAACGGGGATATGTTAGGCCAAGTCCTGGATGTGCTTCTCGTTGCCTGCGATGTAGGCGCGAATTCGCGTCTCGTCGTTGGCCTTGGGCTGAGAAAGGCCGCACATGCTGACTTGGGAGGGGGCGGGTTGGGGAACAGACCCTTTAGAACCTTTTGGTTGGGTTTGCAGGAAAGCGCAAAATTGAGCAAGTTGGGGGTCAAACCACAATGACAAGAATGGACTACCATTGTTTACCTCAGGAGTTTCATCTAAATTGGGTCAACATTATTCTAATGGGTGTTGAACCGGGCCAAAGGAGCATAACCATCTTGGGTCTTGGGGGTGCTGGTTCAAAAGGTGTCTCGATACTCTCCAGAAAAAAATGTCCTTTGCCCAAAACTGAGGGCTCATGATCCCATGTTTAAGGGTCTGGATTGCAGGCGATCCCCTCATTTTAAGACAAAACTGCTTGGCTTCCTGCTGCCGGCAATCAAGCAGCCCATATCGTTGGTCAGCATATGTATATATATATATATATGTGTGTTGGCTTCAACAACTGCAAGTTACGACGTATAAAACGACATGTTTCTTTGATAATCTGGAAGCTGTGTGCAAAAGCTTAAACAGAAAATATAATCGACTCCCTTCCGGGTTCCTTTAAGGTAACATTAACCGCACCCTCCAACCACGGCTTCTTGGATGGTTCTTGGGATTTTGGACAAGGGAAAAAGCAGCTGTGGGGGGGGCTGCTAGAATTGTCCAGCAATGATTTCGGTCAGTTTTCTGACATGTGAGATTCAAATGGTCTCAATCACATGAGATTCAAATGGTCTTAATCACAACCTGGCACTCAAATGGTCTACCCAGAACCATGTAAAGAATTAAGAAGGTGGCTGCACCTATTTATGGTTGGGAGTGTCCCTTACTAGCCTTCACCTGCCCGGATTTTCATGGTGGCTCAAATGATTTGACAACCCCTGCTCCAAATGCCTTGTTTTTCAGGGTACCATTCGATGAACCAGGTTTTCCGTTGTAAACAGCACATTTTAGTCAGGGCTTGCCATACCCTATCATACCTTGCAACAAACTATGTCTGTAATTCCTTAGGCACTATCATGACACCGAACAGGCACAAACAGATACTCATTTAGTGGGAGACTGGTAAACTCAATAATGGGGCACAGATTAGAGAGTCTCGAAGTGAGTTAGAACTGGGACAACGCTTCCAACTTGGACTTCATGTGAGGTCTGTTTCAAAAACCAACCATGGGCAGTAAAGGTCGCAAAGGACAGCTTTAAGGGTGAATAGTAAGCACGTGACCCCCCTCCCCCAAACTAGCGTTTGTTCCTTTGGTGTCTTTTTTTAACTAACCCCCAAAACAGGGTACCCTCAACAAAAAGACACGCCCGGAAGGTTTTGCGGGGTAAGCCATCCCCAATCAACCTGTACATTCCGGGTATTTTTCAGATGCCAAACAAACACTAACATGGGTGGCTCGGCTTCTTCTTTTTTCCGGGTACCCATTCTGGAATGCGTTTAAAGGGAGAGCAAGAGGAAACTAGCATTTTTGGGGTACCCAATTTTAAGACACAGCTGCATGTTCGACTCTGGTCAATAGTGAGCCTTAAAAAATGCCACGGAATGTCACAAGAGATCACAGTGCTTGATTTCCCGTAATAAACCTTGAAATGGGAGTTTTGTTGTATCCGAGTGTTTTGTGTTTTGGGATTGAGTTAAAATGACCCCCCCAGGGGTTGTCTATTCTTGATGGTACGCTGTAGCTGATTTTAAAGGGAAACAAAAGAAACCGACTGCTTTTTGGAAACCCAATTTGGGGCCCCGTCTGGTCTCCAGCTTGTGGTTTCCCAGGTTTCTTCAAAGTCCTTCATTTTGAGAATCCAAATGAAAAAACGCGGAACACATCAAGAGATCCCAGGTGTCCAGTGGCGTCAGAGCAGGTGGCCCCGTGGATCATCGCGGCAATGGGGGCCCCCTGTGTCGCCTCATCCCGTGGCCCGGATCCCAGGCCAGACGGCGGCCAGACGTAGACTGGAAAACAGGTTCAGGTGGCGTTGTCTTCAAGGGAATCCCCCAAAACAAGTGGAAAACCGTTTGATCTCCCCTGAAAACCCCCAACAGGGGACTTACCCTCAAACATTTGCACACCCAGGTAGTTGGACAGGCACGTGAAGGCAAAAGGATGCACAAGGCTTTGTTCAGTCCAATGCACCCCGCGTACCATATTTATATATATATATATGATATGTCTTCTTCATAATGGGACAGCCCCCATCAATCAACTGGGCGTCTATTAATCCTGGGTCATGAGCTGCCCAAGACATAGCAAACCTAGTATATAAAAAAAGTGGGATAGTCCCCGTTCTGAATCCCGTAAAAGCCTAACTTCCAGGGGTTAAATGGAAACTCCACTAAACTCTCTCAAAACCCGACAACCCAAAAACCCAAGAACCTAACAAATCTGAAAACAACTGAAAACCTAAGGAACATGATACCTGGGCACCGTCCACGAACATTGCGACGACTCTGGCTTCCAGCCCACCTTGTGCCCGGTCTTCAGCGTGTCCTGCGGTGCCAGAAACTCCCGGCGGCCACGGACGCCGTTTTGGGAACGGTCTCACTTCCGGAGTGGCCGACAAGAAGTATTTCCATCTGCTTCAGCCCCCTGGAAAACATATTTCCCCTGATGAATTACCTTTAAAACCAGCAAAGCAAAAACAGCAAACATATTAAGCAAATGGAAGAGTAACCAAACTTGATGTTTGCCACTAAAGCGGCCGGCCTTCCCAAAAATGACTCAAGTCCGGCAACTTGGAGAGTCGTGATGCAGGGACACCCTTCCACCAAAAAAACAAATACCGGTGACATGTGCTGCCGGACAACTGCGAGTGTCTGTATGTCTCTTTATGCCTGGCTGCCTTGCAGGGAAGCTGAAGAGGCTCCAATAATCGCGAAGAGTTTTTAGGGCTATCTAGTTGCTTCTCAAAGCAGAACTGAGTTTGTCTCTGGTGGAACCCCTAAAGTTGCAGTTTCGCTCTGGACTCCCCTCGAAAACAAGCCCAAAACCGGGAAGCAGTTCCAATAAAAAGAACCACGCCGAACGTTCCTCAAACCTACTCCAATTCCGTTTTTTGCAAAAGGACCCCCCCCCCCCCCCCCGGGTCCCAGGTTGATTCATGCGGGGTTGGCACGATAATTTGATGGGTCTGGAATCTGAAAGTCCGGCCTCTTCACCCTGAGCACCAATTCCCATGAACATGTCTCACGTGATTGAGGTGCCGCAGATTCAAAACTCAACTTCCAGTCATCGCCACCAAATTTCCACAGGCTGTAAACGGGGACAAACAAGCCGACGTCAACCACATGGACCTTGAATTAGTCGGCGGCAAAATTGGGGGGACCAGCATCAAATGGCTGGATTCCTTATGGCACTTCAAAGATCGATCCGCCGTCCTGTTCGTTGTTCTTTCCCAACACCATGCCAATTCACATGTTTCACCTCACAGTCCTCAGTCTGCAATCTTCTCAGAAAGTACCGCAAACAGTCCGCCAGCTTCTAGACTAGCCCATGTGCTTTCTGACAATAGGTTTTTCTGGACCACCGTGGTGTGCGCGCTTTTTTCCGGGGGTAGGGGGGTGAAAGAAGGAAATTGAAGGGAAACCAACAGGTTTGGAGTTGTTTGGGTTTTGCCTTCTCAACATGCTTGTGACGCAATCAATCAAAGGCCACTTCCACTCTGCAGGCCCCTGCTGCCACTGTCAAAAAACCCCAACCCGCAAAGCAAAGTTTCCGCCAATGTCTATGTGTTCTCTAAAAAGTGATGAGAGCTTACTTGTCAAACACCGGCTACTCCCAAGAATGTTTTTGATTTTGGTATATTCCGGAGCTGTTCTGGAAAGGATCTTTAGATTCAGACTCGACGTTGCTACCTGGAGACCCCGAACCTTTGGAAACCCAAATTCCCGATATGTTGGGGGCTCATAGGTCGAGAGACAGGCTTTCTTTGGATTTACCTTCACTTGGAGTCTCCATGACTTACATTTTGGGTCATGCTCCCCTTTCTAAATAATGCCCCTGGAGAACCCATGGTCCTGGGTGGCTCGTCTTTTTAGGAATAACAAATCGTGGATGGTGTAACCTAAAATAAGACAAAGCTTGGGAGAATTGACTTTCACCCAACTTCAAGTTGCCAACGTGCGCCTTTCGTTTGACGTAACATGTTGCTTCACCAAAGCCTCCAGACGATACAGTGGATGGACGAAATCCTGCAAAACTTTGAAACCATGGGAAAGCAGCACATGGGAAGCCATTGTTTGTTGGTATTTACATGGGCGAGGAATCATTCCAGGGCTCCATTAGGTGGCGCGAAATGGATTTCGCAACCAGGTTTCTCTCCTTGGCCACGCAGATCATGGAATCCCCCCGAAGCTTCTGCACTTCCATGGCCTGGCAGGCGAGAGCATGTCCAGCCACGGGCTTCGTCGCAATTTTTCGGGAGCCCCGCAAAACTCGGTATTTCGGCGCTTGGCGTTTGGCTCTTTGACGCCAATCACAAGCTGGGCTGCTGAAAATGGAGGGTTGGCCAATCCGATTTTCCATAATCTCTGTGGGGAAGCCACTAAAAAGGGGACCCCTTGCGTAACCCAGGGTAAGGAGTAAGGATTACGATTGAACAGCCTAAAAAGAGGTTCTCTTGCAACCAGCCTAAGCAGAAAGGCTGCTCCCTCCCCTAGTGGAGAGGGAAGGGATCTGAACAAAACCTTGTCCAGGCCCCAATGGCTGGCAATGGTCTTTAAAGCGACCCTGTGGCTGATTTGGCGCCATCCATTGGGGGGTGCTGAACATGTTTTTCCTTTCGGTTTCCTTGTTAAGCCTCAACTTGCTGGTTCTCAGGGAATGAGGGAATGACCGCTATAAACAATCCCCTATGGTTTCCTTTAAGAGAATCCCCAGGTTCATTCCCCCCTGGGTCATTCCCTACCTATCGCAACAGCAAGTCAAAGCAGGTAACGTCTACCTCTGAGGCCTTCCATAGCTCCGCGATGCACCACAAGCGGCAGTAAAGGCTCTCGGTAACCTGAGTTGAGAAACCCGCTGGGTTTCGCTTCCCAACATGTTGCTTTCCCCAGCTCTTTGTTTTCAATCCCCCTTTTTGGTTGTTCCTGAATCTGTTTCCCTTTTGGCATCCCTTTTCCCTTCCCCCTTTTTGGGGGCTTCCACCCTTTGACCCCATAAGTATCTGAAAGCAATCTGTTCGACCTCAGGCCTCTCAAGCCCGTTGCATCAAACGCATCTTGCAGGAGCTCACGCCCTTGATGCTTGCGACTCTCGGGACACGTTTTGGCCCACCCTTCAAAGGGGGGTTCAGAGAACCCGGAGAACCCCAGAGCTACGAACCTCTGAACGAAAAGGTCAGAGGTTTCCTTAGTGAATCCTAGGAGACATCCCAGACAGCCGGGAGGTGCCATGGCCTTGGGTTCCCAGGCTTCGGGCGACTTGGCCTGGGATTTAGAGCTGCTCTTTTGCTCTCGTGTTTGGTGTCAGATTTGGTCACCACCCACGCGGATTTGTCTGCCTCCGCTCGAAAAAAGTTCAGACCTCGACCAGCTTAAGGGTTCCTTTCGTACTTGTGGCGAAATGATTTTCAAGAGTAGCCTGAAAAGTGTGACAGTCCCCGCTGGCCCCCCATGTCCTCCCTAAACCAGCAATGTCGAGCCCTAGTATATGACCCCTCCCCCGCTTATGATTGTGCCAATGTGTGCCCCTCTTGAGTGGGGATCCTTTTCCAGAGGATGCCTCCTGATTCATAACTGGGGGGAGTCATTTGATCAGGGGTCAATAGTACCCCCCAAGTCGTGCACACTTGAGCTAAGCAGCGTTGGGAACCACGACGAAGGCCCGCATCGAGCGCGCAGACAAAGCCTGGCACTGCTCTGCTTTAATTTGGTGTTGCAAGATTCCAACAATTAGCGTCTTCCAAACTTTTGGTGAATCGAGACCCTCTTGGTTGGTCATTAGTGCGAGTTCAAAAAGCACACCACCTGTTCTGGGGATCCCTATACCCCCAAATGTATTTACACTGCCTTTGTTCCAGCCATGGAAGTGGACAACCGTCTTCAACCAAATGCCGCCATCTGCTAATTGAACACCACACGCCAAACACGAAACATCAAAGTGCGTCTTCCACAAGCTGATCTGCTGGCCACCCCAAACGTTGCGCTTGTGATGTGTAGTCGCATAGACGGTTGGCACCAAAGCAAGTTGAAGGTGTTTGTTGTTTGATTAAACAAAAAAAACACTCACAAACAAACCAATCATTAACAATCCTGTTGCAGATTCAAAGCTCTGTGTATGTTTGTTTGTCTGTGCGTTCCAGTTTGGAGTGTGAAATAGCAGAACACCCATTTGTTTGCTGACGTATCGAATCTTTCAAACAGCTTGAAAGTTCTTGCTTTCTCATAGTTTCCAACATAAAAGATCGGATTGGCAGAACTTGGACTTGCAATTGACGTGTGTCCCACGTCCTAGCGCCTGTCACCGAGCACCCTTAGACCCCCCCCAAAAGTGGAATGAAATACAGCGACCCCCCCCCACCATCCCCCCCTCCACACTACCCCAACCACCCACCCGCGTATGCCAATCCTTTCTTGGGCAACTGATGTCCCCGTCAAACGTCGCAAAGCGCCCTCACCGACTCGCCTGCATGAAAGGGGAGTCGGCCAAATCGAAGCGCTGGCCAAGGAGCTCGTTCAATTGCTGGCGTTCGCTTCGCGACGACTCGTGAGACTTCGGTGTGCCTTGTGGTTCGTCAAACTGAACCCGCGAGCATAGCTATGTGTCATTTGTTGTTTTTGCGTTTAATTTGGACTGGGTCCAGTGTGCTGGATCAGTTTCCAGACCTAGTCAGAAACTCTCCCCTTCAGGCTACCACTTGCATGACAAGTTGACGGTAGAAGAGTGGGTTCAGCCAAGAAACCGACTGGGCACCTTCAACTGGAGTCCGGTGAATATACAACCAGCCACAAAGAGGGTGCCTTTCGCCTCAAAGGACAAACTTGGGGGTGTGACAAAATAGAAAATGGCAAGTTTTCCTTTCTTCGAACTCAAACCAAGCCAAGATGCTTCTCGTCAGGAGTGAACATGCATCCATGTGAACCACGGTTTTCCAAGAAGCTGGTCAATATAAGGGCACATCAGCCAAGATCACCTATGTAAGAAATAGAAACTCGCACACAAAAATACTCAAACGTAAAAACGATAAAATAAACAAATAAACAATCAACCAGGCAAGCAAGCAAGAAAGCAAGCAAACAAGAAAGCAAGCAAGCACACAAGACACCCCCCCAACCAGCCAACCAGCCAGCCAACCAACCAAACAAACACACAAACAAACAAACAAACAAACAAACAAACAAACAAACAAACAAACAAGCAAGCAAGCAAGCAAGCAAGCAAGCAAACAAACAAACAAACAAACAAACACAAACAAACAAACAAACAAACAAACAAACAAACAAACAAACAAGGAAACCAGCAAGCAAGCAAGCAAGCAAGCAAGCAAGCCAGCCAGCCAGCCAGCCAGCCAGCCAGCCAGCCAGCCAGCCAGCCAGCCAGCCAGCCAGCCAGCCAGCCAGCGAGCAAGCAAGCAAGCAAGCAAGCAAGCAAGCAAGGCAAGCAAGAGAGCGAGCACAAAAGCAAGCAAACTGGCAATACACTTATTCAATACACAATCAAACACGCAAACAAACAGACAAAGAAACAAACACACAATCAATCAAACAAACAAGCAAGCAAATAAACAACAAACAAAACAAGCAAGCAAACAAACACGCACAACCCGTTGGGAATGGGTAGTGGAACACCAAAATAGTGTTAACCCATCCCCATCACTCCTTTGACCCTTTGAAGGGATTCTTCTCAAACTGGGATTCGGACCCCTTTTCGCTGGCAAAGGGGAGCCAAAAGGAACCCCAGCATTTCAGGACACAATTTGAGAACGCCAATTTCCCAAAACAGGGTCATTGGATGTCCCTTCAAAAGTTGAAATGCACTGCTGGGGTTTCCATTGACACTGCCACTTGTTGAGGTTCCAAGCAGGGAGTGGAGGAACCCAAAACCCTGTCCTTGTTTCCACATCCGAGGGAATTTCCATATTCAGCTTCAGTCTAGTCCCCGGGCACCGAGATCAACCCGCATTCGGACCCACTTTTGCGATTCTTTGTAGGGAGCTTCACGCTGAGACCCAGTTCTTCACCGACCCTGGTAGAAAAAGGCTTGGAACCCTTTATGTGTTGACTATGTTTAGAGAAGCCATCAAACAAACAGGGAATGATAATTGGGTGTGTCTTAAAGTATATAGGGGTGATTTTATTTTGGCCTTCCTTTACAATAAGCCCAACAAGTGTACCCTCAAAAAAAAAAGAGCCACCCATGCCGCTGGACAACTTGGTTGCCCCAGGGACCAACCCGGTCTCCGCCTCGCGCTGCCAGGTTTGAGGGTTCGCCAGGAAGCAGCACCACATGCTGCGACGCGGCTCGTGCTGCCAATAGTTCAGCACCTGCAAGGCTTCTCACCGAGATCTGCATGTGTTTTGCAAGTCGAAATTCCTGAAGCCAGACTTCCCAAAATAAGAATCCGATTTTCCCAGGGACTGAATTCATGGGCCTTCGCTTTTACCCCCGGATCGGTGGAGCTCGCCTTAAAATTGGAAGGCTCGATGCAAAGGCTGAAGGGCACACATTGTAACATGTCATGTACCCGTCAACGGGTGTATCAACTTGAAGTCAAGATGCCCTAATCTTGCGGGCATCCATACCTCTCTTGTTCGCAACTACTAGCCAATATGTATAGCCTGAATAGGCATCATGATTCAATTGCGAACTTGTTGGTCTACACATTTTGACCCCCCAAAACGTTTACCCTCTCCGCGCTCGCTCCTGGCCACCAAGAACCACCTCTCATAGATGTGACTTGCTGTTACAGCCACGCTCAACACCAGGACACGTGCTGTTACCGCGCCGCTCTGTCTACATGTATAGAAGATGTGCATGTGCATGTCTATCTACCCACATGGATAAGCATGCATAGACGAATCAGGTAGTATATGTATTTGATACGTTTTATGCAGAACAGTATGTTCCTATGCGTCATATAGATATGTTGACAATGAACCCACCTTAAAACAATTCTCTGCATGCAAATTGCACCAATCAAATGACCATCCCAACCCCAACAAGGCCTAAGAGCTCCCAGTAGGGCCCAATAAGGCCATGAGGTCCATTAAAGCCCCATTTGGGGGTTTCCACTATTGGGGGGCCCTAGGCAAAGGCAAAAATGGGAAAGCTCGTGCGCCAGTCCCGAAGAAACATCTTGCACCAACAAAAGCAGCGTTCTCGCAAAGCCAAAACTGCAGACACAAGGGATGATCTACCCTCTGACTGTAGCCCTCACATTCATTGTCCCCTTTTGTCGGGTACAAATTCCCTGAAACATCAGCCCAAAAAAGAAACTCACTTCAAAAATGGCAGCCAAGTGGTTCAACATGTGGGTGTGTGTTTTGAAAGGGGGGACCCTTTGGTGGACGTCATTCAGGTGGGTTCCCCTTCAATATTCATAGCAATGTGATGTTTTGAACAACAAAGCGCGTTTCTTGGGATCTCCTATGCAGCCACCCTGCGTTACATGCCGCCAGAAAATCGACTCGCGCCTTGCGACCGAATTCATAGACGCCCTCCTTCCAGCTGTGCGTGACCTGAGTTGATGCCCTACTTGGGTGGGGTGTTTAAGGAGACCCCCAAAACGTTGTGGTTCCATTTGGTTCCCTTCAAAGCAACGCCCAAAAGAGGAGCCCGCATGTTGAAAGTAGGGGACGCTGGGTCTCAACATGGCTCACCATGGTTCTGGCAACCTCATAAAGGTTGCTCTTATAGGCGGCCCTTTCAGGTTGGTGAGTGCTCATGCACCCAAACGACTTGCCGCGCCTCTAATCTATTTCAATTCACCAGCCGAAAACAGCAGCGTGCAGGTTGGTGACGTGTTGCAATTCACGCAGAATCAAGGTATGACAATGTCTTCTTTCAGCGGTACCTCTACTTGGAATGGTTGCAATAGGATTCATGCGAATCAACAATATCCTGGCAAGCTCCTATTGGTGCCCAGACATCCATTGCCAAAATTCCACTTCGAGGGTGCAGGGTATGTGTCAAAATAGATGAACCCTCACAATGGTCCGTTGCCTTCAAAACCGCCCAATGGTACAGAGTATCAAAACCGCGCAACACCCAGGTGTCATTTTCCTCCATTTCCTTAGGTCCACCCTAAAAAAACAGTCCAGTAGTGACAACTCCCCTTAGAAACCAACAGCAGCGGAAAATAAGGCAATGACCCTCAAACTAGGACCACCCGCCCAAACCTGCACTCTTCCTATTTCATTCTTAACCCACCCAAAAAAAAAGGGAATTACCAAGCCTCAAAAACTCCGACACACCCGGGCGAAAATCCCCTCGAGCTGACCGCTAAGGAAGCGACGAAGAAGAACTCCCCGTAAAGGCCATCGGGGTGGAGCATCAGTGCCCATGACATGCCGCCCGCGCTTTCAGTCCTGCCGGCCAAGAAGCTTCATTTGGGCGTGCCTTGTCTTGAGGCTCGCTACTACATGTTTTGTGGTCAAGGGAAATCAACCCGAAAACCGCCTATTTGGGTATATCAAGCAAGGGATTTGGCCCAGCAAAGTGGTTTTCCCTTTTGCTTTGTTTATTCTGAAAAACACCTATCCCAAGCCTCGAGAAAACACACGCCCGCTCCCCTTTATGAGTGATACCACATGTGAGTATACTTGAGTCCACCAGGGAAACACGGTTCAACTAAGTGTATCTACGTGAAGTAAATACTGTACATACAGGACAAGCAACCAAGGGAACCACCTTTGAACATTGTCAAACAAAAATGGCGACGGGTTTCCCTCTTTAGCAATGGCAAAACGTCCAGGATCCATGTCAGCCATCCTGGCTTAAGTAGACACTTCCCGTATCAAGAAACACATAAACCAGTTTGCGGGTTGAGTCTGAAGGGACCGGAGAAAAACAGGTGTGCCACCTTGCAAGTGGGACATGCGAATCTTGAATCTTTGCCCCAAGCATCTTTGGGTTTGGCTTGCCCCGAGCACCTTCGGGATCATTGAATCGGGGCTATCTTGATCCCGCTGTTCAGCGGGCAACAATTGGCTCAAGGAGTGCGCGAGGGCGCTCCTTTCGGAGGCGTACCCAGCAAATCAAGCAGTTGAGGAAAGCAAATGGACCACTGGCAGAAGTACTCCGTCACTCCACATGATGTATGTTCTTTGGAGACCATCCCTTGATCCATGCAGCTACATGCAGCTAGTGCAAGCAAATGGGTCGGGTCCCCAAAATCAGAACCGTGAGGAAACAAACTGTATGTCCTCTCTGACATTTAGTGGCGATGCCGTCTTCAGTCTTCATATCGGCTACCGGTAAACCGTCGTGCATTGAGAGGATCGGTTCTCAATGAGTCACAGCACATGGGGTCCAAACATCCGTTGCCCAAGATCTAACATTACACAAGTGTGTGTGTGTGTGTGTCTTTGCCGGAATTATTGGAGAGGGTGTTCCAGCCGCCACGAACAAACTGGAATAAGCCTCCGTCAAGCTTGAAAGTTTGGGTTTACACAAGTCTGTTTCAAGGAGGTGCCACCTCTCAAGGCTGGGGTCTAGTAGCGCTTCTCACTTAAGTATAAGTGGATTGGCCAGAAAAGGTCTGCCAACTTTTTGTTTATCACCAAAATGGTCTTAAACACATTGAAGTGAAACTCGAGTGAGGCTTGGAGCTTAACAAACACCTGGGAGGTCCATGGCTATCGACAGAATTCGGCAAACAATTCCCCAGTCAAACATGGGTTTGTGTCCTTTTTGGAAGACATGTTTCCTTTTGGACACAATGGTGCACCACGTCAGTGTGATTGACCGTAAACCAGGCCCTCCTGGGACGTATCACTGCATTGTTCACCGCGTGCATGTTCGGTCCAATGTACTCATCATCGTGGAAAGGGTTGGGCTTACCACTGCGGTCCGGGCGATTCTCGATCCTGCGCGCCAGCTTGCGTCTGATTGGGATAGAGAAACCGGTAACGGTGTTTTCTTTTGTTGCTAGGGCTGGTTTTTTCCTAGGGCTGGTTTTCCATGGCTGGCAACTTCCCTAGCATCACCTGTCTCACTTGGCCCTGGGGTTGCCTATTGGCTCTGATTTCATGGCAGTTGGGAGTTGCTGGGTGGGGGGTCTTGGGGTGGTTTGGAGTTGATTTAGGAGAAGCGAAGGGCTGACATCCAGGCTGCTGTTGGGCGGGTTTAGGGTTGACTTTGAGTGGGCTTGGGTTGGACTGCCATGAAATCAGAGCCAACAGGCAACCGCAGTGGCAAGTGAGGCAAGTGATGCCGGGGATGCGGCCAGCCAACCAACCAACCAACCAACCAACCAACCAAGCAAGCAAGCAACCAACCAAGCAAGCAACCTACCAACCAACCAACCAACCAAACCAACCAGGGGACCAGCCCTAGTAAAAAAAACAGCCCAAAGAAAATAACACACCGGATTCTAGGGAAACCTACATACCGAAACCAAAAACAAACAAAACAAAAAACGGGTCCCTTGCTTTTGACATTGATTCACTTGCAAGGCCGTATAAACTCATGGAGTTGAACGAAAATGCAACGTAGCTTCCAAACTCAAATAGGCCTACTAACCAAGTGCGTTCTTTGACCACAGCACAGATGGCATGTGATTTAAACAAACAAACACTTTAATAGGAATACCTAAAGACCCACACAAGATTTATGGGATGGAACCATTCCCCGATGACATTGAGCAGTCAATTCGTGCCTTTTGACGAGGGCTCTTCCCCAGTTTCACAAGGCTGCTCCAAAAACCGCACAGGGCAAGAAAACACCGGTTTCCACCCTTATGATCTGGGTTTGCGTTGAAATGGGACTCCAAAATGGTCGATTTCCTCTTGTGTTCCTTTGAATACCACCAACAACAAAACAAGTAACTTCAAAACAGACGCATCTTTCGTTGAGAGGCTCGGAGAAATCTTGTTGCTTGCTGACATGCTTTCTCGAAGCGCAAATCAAACAGAGTTTACTAGAATCCAAGGCCCACATCCATCGTACCAATCATATCCGTGTATGTTTGCAAACTGAATATCAGTTGACCCTTCACGTTGGCCAAACAAGGTTATCGCCTGCAAAAAGGCTTTTAGCCCAACAAGCCTTGTTTGGCTAAGGTGGTCACAGGGCAGAGCTTTGCCTTCCCAACTCAACCCACAGAGCTTTGTTCAAACTGTGACATTACAATTAGCTGAAGTGGACCGAGGGTTCAATCGGGGTTCTCGAAACAATAACACAATCCTCCATCTATTGGCTTCCTTTCGGGGAAACAAGCTACGCCAATCCATGGGTCATTCTTCGCATACAAATAATGTTGACAAGGTCTGCAGTTGGGATGGATGAAGTTCTCGGACAAGCCACCAAGTCCCAATGTCGCGCCTTCCGGCTCGATGCTTTGAGGCGACCTCTTCGAGGAAGCCAACAAAGTCGTTCCGGGTCACAACCCACCGGTCTGCTGGCACAGAATAGTGGCGGCCTCAACGACTTCTCAGCAAGGGGGAGACAAAAAAGACATATGCCCTGTTGGTTCCCTTTTGGGCGAATTGACTGTGATGCCTTGTTTAGTACCCAGTACTTGTACTCAGGGTGGTCCTCCCCCCTTGACCCCACTCCCGCTCTCTTGCTCCGGCTTGAGCAGATGGCCGCCATTCGGCGCGCCGATGTCCTTGGCCGCAGGGCCCGCCCCGCCTGGGCTCCTCCTGCGCCCCCCGCCCCTCCCCCCCCACCCGAGCCCGGTGGTGGTGGCCTGCCTCCCCCCGCCCCTCCCCCCCCGCCCGAGCCCGGTGGTGGTGGCCTTCCTCCCCCCGCCCCTCCCCCCCCGCCCGCGCCCGCGCTCGGTGGTGGTGGCCTGCCCCCCCCCCGCCTGCCGCTGCCGCTTAGCGGCCCCCCGCCCGTGCCTCTGGGCCTGTGTCAGCCCGTGGTACTTTCCCCTCCCCCAGTACTTGTACTCACTTTCTAAGTTGATTGGCCAATGCCAAACTCTTCATTTGCCAGATTGCAACATAAGGAAAGTTGCCTTGCCTGACCAAATCCCCTACGCCCACTTACTAGTTGAGACCATGCTTGCACCCTTGTGGTGAAGCAGGTGCTTGGAACGTGGTATCATATATATATATATATGTGTTATTATATTATGTGAGAATCTGTCAAAAGGATAGAGGCATCTCGGCGACCCTGAACCAAGGATTCCGAAAACAAAGGGAGCTTTAGTTGGTCAATTCTGTGTTTTGGTTTTCATGGGTCAACGCACAACTTTCAGCACATCCGGTTTCGGGCTGCCTGCAACTTCTGCAGGAAGCTGCCGGAAACCCAAATCTTCGGCTTTCCCTGTCAAGGGTTCTCTGAGTCACATGTCGCCTGATTTATTTCTGCATAAACACGTGTGGCGTCGTAGAGAAGGCAACGTCTAGCATGCGCGTAATCAAACACCTTCACCATATTGCGAGCCCTTTTGCGAGCACACCGGCCTCAAGAGATGACACGAGCCTTCGAAACCTTACAGCAGGATCGTCGAACCCTGCGCGCTTCGCAAATGCCCCAGCTTATGCGTGTGCTGGCTCAGGGGAGGGCTTCTCTGAACAGAAAGGTCCCTAGAGTTTGTGAAAGTGACACAAAAGCCGTCGCACTCTGCTCTATCATTGTGAATTCACACAGTTGCAGAACATGCATGTAGAACTGCCAAGCTAGGGCTGCAAGGGCTGCAAGGCCCCAGCTGGCATCGAAGCGAACACTTTGCACATTTGCTGAATTGATCTTTCACCAAGTGCAACAAACAGTTGTTGCTCAAATATTGAAGGTCAATCCCAGGAAGAAACGAGAGGAAACACATTGTTCTTCTCAATGTGAGCAGCCAGCTCATCAGCATCTCATGCCCACATTTTCAGCCGACAGCCAGCAGGCTAAGCTAAGCTATCAATTGCGGCCACGGCACGGAATGCCTCCTCCACGGGTACATCGTCAGTCTTTGACATGCTCATTGCAGCCACCTGCTCTTTGCCCACATCTGGGGTACACAGAAAATGATGTTTGCATATTATGCTTCATGTTTAGTCAACCTCAAAAAGTAATATGGACTTGGACACCCCGGTCCTCAACAGGCTTGGTCTCAACCTTCCTCGCCATGCAAACTTCAGCTGCCTCATAGATCGGCATGCGCTCCACCGTTTCCATGCATGCGGCGCCAAGTCGTGCGTCGTAGATCGGGTCATCTGTAGGTCGTGTCTCAGCACCCTCATACAGCCAACCAAACCTAGGCGTCGATTGCTCAAGGCTTGGGCCCAAAGAAGCCAAGATTTGCATTTGCAACATGCGTCCACCTCAGGGTTCATTTTTTGGCTAGCAGATAGACTTAAGCCCATGGGCGGTAGATTTCTATAAAGGGGAAATCCTGGGTTCCAGTCTACCTTGGGTGAGTCAAACAATGGAAGCCTGCCTCAATCTACGAAAGCCGATGTCATAATAGGAACAAATCGGGGACCAGCTTTCGGTAAAATTTCGCCTTCCAAACAGGTGGGCACAAAGAGAAGGCCCCAACTCTGCATCAGGGCTGCAGAGGGGCCGCATTACATGACTTCGTCTAAGCTCCTCCGCCCGGACATGTAAGCCGCTTCCTGACGGTTTAAATGGTTGGATCTAATCCAGGTAGCTGAGCACAGGTCTGTGTTCAGGCAGCATAGGTGTGCTTGCGACTTTGGTTGAATTCAATCCTCGCATGTCAACTCAAAACAGGCAGTACACAGTTTGGTTTGTCATATCATTGAAGCATGCATTCGCTCAAATGATGTTCACGGTTCGCCAGTGTGTGGCCCAGAAAACAGTTGGGTTGATGACAATACATGCTATGACGCCACACTGCGATGCGCGGAAGACCGTGGAGGGCCTTGCTAGCACGTCAGCATCATGCCATGCCTAAATGTGGCTGTACCCTGGCCAGATCGCCTGAGAAAAAAATGGACGCAGGGTGTGTGTGTGTGTGTGTGCACGCACATAATATGTATATACTTATATATATATATATATATATGTATTGTAGAATTGGTGCGACACATATGCAATCTACACATAGTTCAGACCATTCAGTAGCCATATTCTACGCATACGAATCCAGCTCTGCAGTGTTTAGCTGTTCGTCTCCAATTCTGGGCCCCCGGCAAGGGGGGTTGTTTGAGGGTAGTTACTTGTTTCTTCTCTTTGAGGTGAACGGAAACCAACAGAACCTCTTAAAAAGCGTGGCCAAGAATTCCCCTGTGGTGGCCATGGAAAAACAGCAACCCAAGGTTTGCTCGAGCTTGAAGGCTTCCCTTACGAAAACGTGGAACAACACCCGTCCAGTGACATAGATTCCCTCAGCCAGGGGAATATAAACATTCAGGGTGCATCCATAAAAAGCCTCTGGCAATCAAAGCTCCCCTTGGGATCCGAGTGGCAGCTTGTCAGTATGAATAGTGCCATCGGGCTCGAGCACCCTTTTGCACACCTCGATCGCCTCAGGACATCTCGCACATCGCTTCAATTTGTCCCAGATTCCAGTCACCACTATAGGTATCCAGCCATTTGGGAATGTCTTTTCTCGGACCCCCTCTCTCCCAAAACAACAAGAAATTGTGGGTTTCCTGTGGGTGTTCCTTTAAAACCAACACAACAGGTACCCTGAAAAAAGGAACCACACTTCCCTGGTCACCTCAAGGCCAACACTAGGCAACCTGCTACCACCATTGAAACAATTGCCTTTTGCTTTCCAGGCGACCAGAGCCACTCATACTGGACAGGTAATCAGGTCCAAAGAGCTTTGACTCAGCTTATGCTCGTACAAGATTCCTGACTTGTCGCGTGGAAGGAATCGCCTGTAAACCCGGCCCAGCTTATGCTATGACGCACATCGGAACACTGGGTTCTCCAGAGTAGCCTTTCGGAACATGAATGAGGCGATGATCATGGTGCCCATTCCCAAACCTACATTGCAACATCAAAAGAGAACATCCGTGTGCCAAACTACCATGTTCAGGACTCCTGGTAGCTGCTCAGCTACCTCTTTAAAGAACATTAGCTCCGACCCTTCGAGCCACAGCTGGCAAATTGGCTGACCATGCATGAAGGTTACAATAATTACCGTTCCGCGCCAGCAGCTAAAATGAATCGCCACCTTGGCGACACGCATGGCACAATCGGCGACAAAAGCAGCAACACGATCAGGCTGAGCATTCGAAACCCACCACAAGGTGACAGCCTTATCATCCACACATTTAGAACCTTTACCTTGGCGCCTGCGTTGGCCTGTTTACTGTTTCCAAGCAGGCCAAGTGTGGAAACTATTTATAGACCTGCAGAAGATACTTATAAACACGCAGAAGCTATTCATAAACATGCAGAAGCTACTTGTAAACACGCAGACGCGATTTTTGCGCATGTGAAAGCTACTTATACCTTGGAAACGGCTTGCAAACACGCAAGCAATGTTTGCAACACTACTTAAGCAGGGCTTCAACCAGCAGTCAGCAGCAATGAAACCTCAACAAACTATGCGCAAAACCGCTGACCCACCCAACAGCCTAAGCTCGGCGGTTGATAGATTACAGTATGTGGCTTGGTGAGTGTGACTATGTCCCATTGCTTCACCTGCGCTCAGATGCTCAAACCTGATTACCCTTCAGAACCTTGGGCTTCGCAAATAAATAAGGTGACCAGGCAGTGACCGCAACTTAATGTTGACCACCGGCGTCAAGAGCACGATTCCACGCATGGTATGTAGGCATTGACATTGCGCAAGCAGTCCCTCGGACATTTTGGCACGGGTCATAAATATGTCACATGTGTTGCGTTTTATGCTATGATCTGGCGCTTGCTGCTTGCCGGCTCACCTTAGGGCATCGGCAAAGCGCGCGACAGGTTGTGCTCTTGTATTCCGTTTGGCGCGTCTTTGGAGTACTGCAGCTACGCTATGTTGAGGTTTGGTACGTCTCCGCGAACTCCGCCGTGTTATACCAGCTTTAAACCATCCCACGCCACGTGCTTTGCCTGTGTGTTCTAGGTGTTCAATGGGTTCACTTGCGCCGCGAAGACGGGGGGTCAAATCACATCATGGAGCTGCCCAGATACAATAATCAACTTATTGCAAGCCAACGTGTTGGCTGCCCACGCATAGCTTTGCGACACTATGTTTTAGCTTTGTGCTGCATCCTTAAAATCGAAAGAATCGGTTGGGCCCGCTTTCAACTGATTGACTCTCACGCTAGCCTGTGATAACTTCAGAGCGGTAAACATTTTTTCTGAGCAAGCCTCCAAAGATCGCAACGGTTCCGCGTTATAAATAGTTCACGACGGTTCAGAACGGTTACGAACTATTTGGGCTCAATGGTTTGATAATAGTTCGTAACGGTTCGGAGCGGTTGCGAACTATTTATGCATCCAGAAGTGTCCGGAACTGTTTGGAACTGTTTGGAACTATTTGGAACTATTTGGAACTATATGGGCTGGGTCGCACAAATAGTTCGCAACGGTTTCGAACGGTTGCGAACTATATGTAAAGCATGGCCACAAATAGTTCACGACGGTTCCAAACGGTTACGAACTGTCTGTAACGCATGGCTACTAATAGTTCACGACGGTTCCGAACGGTTACGGACTATATTTGAAGCATGGCCATGAAACAGTTCGCGACGGTTCCGAACGGTTACGAACTATGTTTGAAGCACGGCCATGAAATAGTTCACGACGGTTCCGAACGGTTACGAACTATGTTTGAAGCACGGCCGCAACTGGTTTACGACAGCTCCGAACGGTCACTGTCCAGCCGAAAAGGTTGAATAATAAGTGCGAGACATTCTGAACACTCGCAGCAGGTCTCGGCAATAATCTCAAGACTGCTTGGCGCGCTCGTCGACGCTACTTCTCTATTTCGACGCCAGCTCGTCGCGGAACTGTTTTCTTGGGCACCTTGGCCAACTGTCCATGATAACGCGGAGCCACGGGCCTTTCAACTTCTAAGACGATTCGAGCTTGAATGATTGAAGCAGCTAGGGGTGGCGTTGCGTCAGTGATGTGATTCTTCGCCGCGCGGCCTTTTTTTCCCAGGCTTCAACACGGATTGCTAAGCCGGGTGTGCGCACTCTGCGAATAACAGGGTTGGCGAAGGCGTGGTGATCATTGCTCGGGTGGCAGCTACATTTGGGCATTATCCCTTCCAACGTGACCCATTCCACGCTTGACTAGTTCACGTTTTCGGGCAGGGGTGGCGTTAGTCGCTTGGGCTCCAGCTGGGTAGGCTGGGAGCCAAGGCCTGTGTTTCCAGCCTAGCCCCCTTTCAGACCCTTTCATAAATAGTTTCCAGCCTTTTATAAATAGTTTCCAGTCATTTATAAATGGCTTCCAAGCATTTAGAAATAGTTTCTTCATTGTTTTGAGAAGGGGGCTTGAAAACAAACGGCTCGCGTAAAACCCCGTCTGGATACGTGATGGCCGGAGCCAGCTGATGGGCGGCGCAGTCCTCCTGCTAGTCCTGCCAGCGCTGCCAGTCCTTGGCAAGTTCTCCAGCTGTGTCGGCCAGTCCTTTTGTCCTGGCCAGACCTGTATATATTTTGCGTGGCGCAGGTGGAAGAGCAATCATCACGCCCTCACCCCCTCCCACGGATGATCAATGAAAGCCACAGCCATGCCCTCGCAGCGCTTGTAAGGCGAGTCCCAAAACCAAAGTCTTAGCGCTGTTGGCGAAGGACTCAGGAACGTTTGGCAACGCGATGATAGTGAGGATGATGGCTGTTGCTGGAACGTCGAAAGTTAAGACGAACCTAGGCGTGAGGCGATGCACTCTGCGGCACAGAGGACTTGGCCGGACAGCGAGCTTACTTCAGTAACTTATTGCAATAAAGGGAGGGGGAAGAGCAGTCAGCAAACAGGAGTAGGTTGGCACCTACAATGCAAAATGGGTGAACATGTCATACAAGTAGTATATAATTCCCAGGCATCGTCCTCAACATTCATTTCTCCTTGAGTTGTGGTGATTTTGGTGGCCCTGCTTATCCAGGCTAAGTATTCAACAGCGGTTGGGCGCTTATGCGGGCCTCTCACAACATCCATCCACACTGCGCTGAGTGAGCATTTGCTTGTTGCTAGCTTTTCAAAGCAATTGAAGAAAAGTCGCGGCGCAGTCATGAAAGACCAGGCCCTCAGTAACAGGGCCGGAATCACTTCCAGCCTATTCTAGCTAAGATGGTCTTGAGAAGGAAACTTGTGGGGCCTGCAGCCTGCAGGCTAGCCGTGCCAAGAGAATAGGGGAAGATGACCGCCAGCAAGTGTCGTGGATGCGTTGCACGAATGATGCATACTCAGACTCCAAGGATTTGTGCAGAAGTTGCTTGTGTGATTGTTACAGAAAGGCTTAGCAAGGGAGTCGTTCCCTCCTTTTTCTTCACGATCCTTACTTAACCACCAATCATGAGTTTCGACGGAAGGCCTTTAACCCGTACATCAGAAGTCCCGAAGCATGTCACACAGAGCAAGTAGATCAGGCCTCCGCAGCAAAACGACTGGAGCCTTCTCGCCCAAGCAAGCGGCTGTTGCTGGGCATTACATAGGTCCATCAGCGCGCTGAGTGGCAGTGTTAGTTATGTTTGTCACGAGTTTCGCCATTTGTATCATCACGCATGGTTGCGCGGTGTGTAAGTTTCGCCGCACTGGTCCCTGTGGTTTGGGTACAACCCCACTGGATACAATGTCACCTGAGCTCAATAGAGCTGGGCCTTTGGGAGCTGGAGGCGCTAACAGGCCAGATCTGTCAGCGAGGTAATTGACGCAAAGCGCAGTGATAACAATGATGACAGCGGCGGTGCTGAAGTTGGTGGTAACTTGGTGCAGTGTGGCAGTGACAGTTGCGGTGGAAGGCTTTTTGCAGGGGTGTTGTCCGCAGTGGGGCGTTGATGGTAGTGAAAGGTAGCAGTCATTGAGGTTCAAAATGTTTTCTGCGCGGCTGGCGGTGGCGACAGTGGTACTCGCGGGCATGTGTTGGCTAGCCAGGGAGTAGTGAAGGTACTGGACGTGGCGCTGGTGTTGAGCCAGTTCTCCATGTTTACATCGAACGACCTTTCTTACATCCGGCCCTAGTCGCCCTGTCCTGTTTTAGTTTTGTGTGAACCTGCTGTTCCCTGAGCGCAAACATGTGCTGCAGTTGCACGCGTACAACACGCCATCCAAACTACAGCTTGCAAGCAGCTGTTGTCCAAACCAGCCTGAGAGTGGAACTAGCTCTAAATAGTTCCAAATGATTCCAAAGACACCTCCAAATAATTCCAAATGGCTCCAAATAGTTCCGGGGGGGTGGTTTCAAATAGTTCCGTGCATGTTATAAATAGTTCCCAGCCATATATAAATAGTTCCCAGAGATTCATAAATAGCTCCCAGAGATTTCTAAATAGTTCCGGCCATGGTGGGTTCCCAAAACAGAAAATGGGTTTAAACAGGCCAACGCAGCCGCAAACCTTTACCAATCAGCAACAACAAAAGAAGGACAAACACACATCACAACTTTGATCTTGAGAACAATAACACACGCTTGACTCACGACACGGGATATTCAGTCAACATTGAGCAACAAGCACGGGAACCCGGTAAAACTCCACAAGCCACACCAACACCGTCACCATAACCAGCACTACCACGACCAACACCGCCGCCACCACCACCTTTCTACGAAAACAGAAACAGCAACAGCAACAATGATCACAATGGCAACAATCGGAACAACGCAATTACCGCCATGAAGTGTTTTGGTCAATACCGACTAATTTGACGAGCACAAACATGTAACATGACAACACAGAACTGGACATGGAAGAAGCACAAATACTCGTCTGAATATGACTTCAATAGCGGACCAACCTATTCGGAGCGGTTCCAAGGAGCCTGTTCTTCGTCCTTGTGTCTCAAAATATGTGAACCCTCAAACTATAAAATGAGTTATTCTCCGGGTTTGCTTTTCCTTCGAACCCAAAGCGACTGCCCCAAAAAGGGGCCACGCGTGGCCGCCGACCCGCCTTTGGCTCCACCTCCAACTTCAGGAGGAAGTCCCTCAAGGTGCCTCCGGGCAAACCCGGACGGGTTCCAACCATATGTGGGGGTTCCTTGTTTGGAGTCGGTACCGACTTTTTGGCGTGTTTGCTTCTTGGGAAAAACGGAAAACAAGCTTTTCAGGAGGCACTGTTCTGATTTCTAGGTGCCGTAACACTGGCTCATCTTGAGGGCTTCTCAAAATTGCAGTTGGGGGTAAAACTCCCCGTTCGACCACCATTCAAAAATTGAGGATGTCACTTTGATGGACCCAGCATTTCCGGGGCATGTAACCGCCTATGATTATTTGGGGGACATAGTGGAGAGGGTTCCCCGTAAGTGCAAAACCAGGGTTCCCTGAAAACAACAACTCCCTTTGCTCAGTGAGAAGTTCGGGAACCCCCCCCCCCCTCCCCCCCTCAAGGGAAGCACGAAAGACACTTCAATCCAAAAAAGGACCTAAGCTTTGGGCTTGACTAAAAATGGACCACGCGAAAACCAGAATGTCCTTTACGCAACGGTTCTTTGGAGTCACAGCTTGATACTAGCTATGGCATGCCCAAAAAGCTTTGGGACTTGTCCACAAGCAGCTAAAGCAGCTAAAGAATAAAACGTCAAACCACATGGTGGAAACGTAGACTTTCCCGCAAGCTCAAGGCCAATGCCAAACATCTGCCAACAGGCCAGAACAAACGCCGCATCTGTTTTTGAACACCCCGTTTGTTCCTAGACAAGGAACGGGCTCACACCAGGTGCATGTTCACTGACGTTGCACCAACTCTCTTGGTAAGGTTATCAGAAGATGGGCGTGCCACGATTTTTGTTTCTGGAGGGCACCCTTTTCAGGCTGTTTGTCCAAGGAAAACCAAAAGGAAACCACTCATTTGGAGGGTTCCTTTTTTGTTGGTTCCAAGCTCATATGGTAATGATGCAGGAAGATACAAGAATTACGTCCACTAACGCTTTTTGGGAACAAAAATCAGCCGGGCAAGGACCAAGACAACACACAACGTGCGTCTCGTTTGCCAGAAACACTCTGAGCACTTGGAAGGATTGAAAGACACACAGAAAACATAGGGGCTATTTGATTTAATGATGAATGGACAGCGAAAGTAGTTTCTATGGACCTATCTTTGTTGAGCGGTTTTGGAGACCCATCTCTCCTTTTTTGTTGGGAGGGGGGTCCCCGAAAAAGGGGGGTCTCCGACAAAAACAACAACAACAAATACACCCATGACTTGCGTGCAGATCGCTTTGAGATGCAAACGGGTCCCCGTTTGCTTGATATCACCCAGGTGGGATCGGCTAGGCGCTCCAAGGTAGCACGCCATCGCCCTTTGGCGAGAGCCTGGGCCGATGGGAATAACGTTCTCAAAGCCTCCGTTTGCGTTTTTGGTCCGCTGGAAAAAATGAGATGATATGTTCAGTGGTAGAGAACCCTTTAACACCAACAGCCTGGAAAACAAACAAAACTACATATCCTTTATAAAAAAAGTGGTGCCCAAGAAACGGATTTCGGTTTTTTGTTGGACCTGAACAAACCCACAGGGCACCCACAAAAAAGATGGCCCCATCTCGCGAAGGTACACCCTTTTATTTGGGGTTCTATGCCAATTTGGGGAGGGGGGGAACCTGCCAACTTGGCCCATTCTTCCTGCCATGAAATCTCAGTACTTGTAAAACTGGCTGGAGCTCAGGATGGGGAATGACCAAGTTTGGGTTGGGAATGAATCGGAAGGGGATTTCTTAAAGGCCATTCCCTGCCTGTCGAACCAGCATGAATTCTTGTGCTTGGTCGCGCAAGCTCGCTTCAGAAATCTATCTAATTTATGCCAAGGGGATTGTCCCTTACCAGGCCAACTTTTTGGAAGCTCGGAATCCGATTCCTTTGGATTACCAGAGGCTCCAGAGGCCAATTGGGGGAGCTTCCGGTTGTATTAATAGACCTTCCCGTAACAACAAGCCCCCCCCAGCCGACCCTCAAAAATGCCTATACTTATTTCAAGATACCAAATGCGAAAACCATACTCAATTCTCCCGAACCCAAATCCACACAGCGAAACTCTGCAAATAGATTTATTAGGGGTCACCCTGGTCTGACTCAAAAGTTGTGATTATTCTGAGCACTTTTTCCCTCAAACCCAAAGGGTTGCCTTGCGTGACAACTTTTCTATTATTAGGGTCTCCATTGGGTTCCCTGTCTTAGCTACCCAAAATTGAGTTCTCAGCGCTTTTTCCCCCCAACCAAAACCAAATGGTTGCACTGCGTGACAAGGATCTTATCATTGGGGTCTCCACTAGGTTCCCTTCAGAAGGTCTAGGTTGGGTAACAAACCAGGCTTTTAATTTGTGATGAGGTTTATTTTCGTGAAAAATATCATTCTCTTTTAACGTTCATTGCATTTTGACTTGTTTTCTTTCTTCTGTACATCAAAAGGGGTTCCCCTTTGCCGGTTGATGCCAGTACTAAACAACGCAGTCTGAAACAGTTCTGGCCCAAACCCAGGACCCTAATAATTAAAACTTCCAGGGGTTATTAGAGGGAAAGGCTTAACCAAGGATATCAATGGCTTTCTAGCATATTATAGAGGCCACATATACAAGTCACCAATACTTGCTGGCTCTACCGAGGGAATGACCCCTATAAACCAGCCCTTGTGGTTGCCTTTTGAGGGACTTCTGGGTTCATGCCCAAAACCCTAGGTCATTCCGTACTGAGAACCAGCAAGAAGATTGATCCATGGGACTGTCTTGAGTAAAAGGAAACAAACTGCCTTTTGCAGGGGCCCTAGTTTTGATGATCTGTTCAACAGGCAGCCTTGCAATTTCAATCCGGCGGCGATTCTACATTCGAAGTGCCAAACTACTAAGTGTAATAAAACTGTTCCTACCAACCCCCCAAATGCTCCACCCCAACCAAACCTCCACTTTAGGCCCATGGGCCTAAGCAATTGGCATTACCTGGAGTACTTGAAAACAAAAAGTCCTGATAAGATCATTGTTTAGCTCATGCAGAGTGTGGATCTCAGGCAATCTAACATTATCCTGTGAGTTGTAGGGTGGCTTCGTGAATTTCCGACTAAAATAGAAACACTTGGCTTAGCGGCTGGCTTTGCTAAAAGATCCTAGGGGCCGTACGGTTCCGCCAAAGATTTGAAGAACATGCTCCCAAGACTGAAGCTGATCTACTACGTCAAAGTATGCCAGTGCAGGAAGCCCCCCGTTTGTATGGTGGGGCTTCCACAAATGGCAAACCCAGCTGGTGGGGTGGGGTCAACCTGGGATTCCAGTAGCAAGCAATCTGCTGTTGCCAGACGACTCGACCAGCATTCGAGCAGGGTTGAAGCACCCCGACAGAGCTGTTGCAAAAACTAGTTGTGCATCGCAGAGCACTTGGTCCAACGTCTGCAACGCATAAGCCACACGGCAACTTGGCCAACCCACAGAGGCAAGCAAGCACGCATGTGTAAAAAGCAATTCCCTAGCAAACACACAAGCAAACAAACAAGCAGACAGAAAGACAGACAACAGACAGACAGACAGACAGACAGACAGACAGACAGACAGACAGACAGACAGACAGACAGACAGACAGACAGACAGACAGACAGACAGACAGACAGACAGACAGACAGACAAACAAACAAACAAACAAACAAACAAACAAACAGACTGGCACACTGGCACACTGTCACGCAGGGAGGCAGGCAGGCAGGCAGGCAGGCAGGCAGGCAGGCAAGCAGCAAAAAGCAAACTAATCTAGAAAGTTAGTAAGTAAACAAGCAAGCAAACAATCAAACTGACTAATTCACCAGCCATCCAATCAATTGAGTAACAGAGTAACAAAGCAACAAGCTACCAAACAAACACACTGGGGAATAGTTTGGGGGTTGGTTCAGTCTTGCTTGGGAAACCTCTTGACTCAAAGTGTTCATGGTTGAGGAGATCGCCCGTTTTTGTCCCAACCGCAAACACGTTTGTGTCACCATATTTGATATCTTGACTTTTTGGCTTGTGGGCCCCCAAACCGGCAGCGGGGGTTGAAAAAGACCATGAAAGAACGAAGAGGTCCCCGGTACTTGTTGCTCGACGAAGATAATTGTAAGTAAGCACACATTGATCTCATAATATTGACAAGCAAATGATATTATCCAAAAGGCCCAACATATATCAAAATATATCATGCTGGTAAATGCACGGCACTCTTCCTGCACCTCAAAGAGTAGGAATTATCTTAAGAGGTCAGGTGCTATGAGGGTAGAATGATTCTGGGAAACTGCCCAAAACCTATGGACTTTTGGATCTACCAACCATGGATCTTGATCAAAGCTTGCACAAGCATAGCGCAACCAGGCAGAGTACCACCTGCTCAAACGGCCCAAGCAAAACTCGGGATTTTCTGCGCTCGTTTTGTCCCCCCACGCTATGCGGAGCAGGGAACTGCTCGAAAGCCGCTGCCACCTTCGCAGCAGCCATCGGCACGAGCCATTGGCTGCGGCGGCGCGTAAAGCGGATCGTGGCGAGAGGACTTGGGACTGGACCTTTTGACCCTGGAAACTGGAAGTCCACTTTTTGCGTGCCTCCAGCTCCCCATGATACCCTAATCTCGCTTACACAGGGAAGGAGTTGGAGTGACTCCAAATTGACCATCCCCTGGTTTGCTTTAAGGGGATCCTTACCTTCATTTTTACCCAAAACCCGCTCAGCAAGTTGACTGTTTGTTGGTTGAAGGGGGACATTAAAGCACACCAAAAAGGCAACGAGGCGAAACAAGCGCATGCGTACCGCCTTTAGCACTGGGGCGGCGGTCAATCAACTCCCAACCCACCCTTCTTTGGGACAAGAGGAAACGTCTGTGGTCTGGGTGCTGACGGAGTAGACCTAGACGGCACACCTGTAATTTTATCCGTAGGTACTGTTTAATGACACAAATGGGTGCTCGACTTGATCTCACAGTACGAACCCTTCAAGGAGTTCCATATTTCCGGAGAATCCGAAATTGAGGGAAAGTAGGGGAACGAACCCAGCTGCATACCAAGCCACCCTATCACATCGGTTGCGGCTAAAAGCAAACCTCAGCGCTCGTCAGCTCGGGCTGTAGGGGACAACAACACGCTAGAGCTCTTGTTCACGAGCCCCAAAAACACATCATCCTTTCAGGAATCTCCCTTTGCCGGAATGCTTCGATGCCCTGTTGGTTTGCAGAGTAGAGTCCTGGGAAAATGGTCAGAAATCTCTCAAGGTCGAAGCCAAACGTTTTGGTCACATCAAACAAAGCTCCTTGTATGCATTCAAATATCACCCCGCTTCAAAGGATATGGTTTAGGACACACCTGCAGCCTTGCCGGCTAGGACGCTGGCCAGGGCGAGATCGCGCCTTCAAGCAAATGCTCCATTGGCCATGATTTTGGTGGAAGGGCTGTCGTTTTGGCACCGGCCATGGATGGAGCCCCCCTCGTCATTTGCCGGGCCCCCTTGGCTCCAACAACATGGCTATAAAGGGTCGCTCCATGAAAAAGGAGGACCTTAGCAACTACTAAACTTGACAAAGGAGGTGTCGGGTGCTGCTCACTTGACTTGGAGGCACCATGAAAGAACAACCACTTGGGTTGTGTTTTAATTTCCTTTTAATTATTTCTCGGGATGAAATGGCTTCATCCGTGCGCAAGGATTTCTTAGCCGGCCTTTTGTCATGTGGCTGCTGAGAAGTGCTAATTGCCGAAGCGCAAAGGGTGCATTTTGTTCGCATTGGATCGAGCCAAGTGAAAGGCTAGACGTGCGTGTGTGTGTGTAATTATATAGATATGTGTTTTTCCTCAAAGGTTCGAGGGCTTACAAGGAAGCCAAAAGGATAACAATGATGTTGGGGCCGCAAACCCAAAATGAGCGCCAACGGCTCCAAGCTTCCCCCGATCTGTGCTTCTGCCGTTGCAAGGTAACACTAGGTCGCCAGCGTTCCCAGGCTACCCCCCCTTTTTGGTCGTACAGGGAAACCAAACGGAAAACCACCATGTTGAAATCGACCAGGCCCCTCCACCACCCAACGCAAGGGTTTAACCCTAATGTCTATCGACCTAAAGGCCACGTGTTGTCATTTCACAATGATTCCAATGCTTGAAGTAAGAATTGGATCCCCAAATGAAGGACCTTCATCACGGCCTTCTCTCGCTTTACCTTGGAATCAGTGGAGTCCCTCGCCCAGAACCAATGGTTCCTAAACCGATCGCCACAAGGGTAGAAATTTGATCCATGCTATACTATTGCCCCCTGCCAAAACAAAATAACTTGTTGCTTCCCGTATGCAATTGGTCGGTAGCATGCCTGGCACAATTGTCCGCGGGCCATGGACCTGAGTTTAACTTTTCCCCAGTTGGGAAAGCACACATTTCCCAAGCTTTGTAACTCTTAGTATGGTAGCAAATTTTTATGTTTTTGCTGCCCCTCACAAAAGCTGAACAGAACAAACAACCTAAGCATGCCAGCAATAGTGATGCAAGTTAAAGATAGCTGCCAACCCTGTTTGGTCGACAAAATCCATCAGACACGTGCTTTCCACACTCCCCGCCTGCTTTAGTTCACGAAGATCTTCAGCTTGATGCCTGGTCTGAAATCAAGGGTCTGGGACATGGGTATTTTTTGTGAGGTATGCACCCTTCCTTTGGAATGCTTTGAAGGAACGCAACCATTTTGAAGCGTTCGAACATGTTCCATTAGGGAAAAGCAAATATTAGGGCTATTTAGCACCCAGCTGCGAGTTCTGAATGGTCAGGCCCTCAGACACGAAATCTGTCACAGAACCACTTACATGCTTGTTCTATAAGTACCTCGCATGTTTGCAATGGTTGATAGTCCAATCTTGAATCAGGAGCTCCCTTGCTCAAACACTATCCTTTGCAAGTTACTGATTGTCAAACCTTGCACAACTTGAGGTCAATGACGCCAGTCCCCGGTGACCATTTCAAAGCTGCTTTGTGACACCAGAGCAACATTCCGGAAGTGACGGGAACAGAACCTACAGCTTTCTTTGCTGCCCTCGCACTGATTGAAACAAGAAGTGCACATGTTGATGCTCATACAGTTGAAAGGCACGCATCCCTTGGATCAGATCCAAGATTCAATACTGGGAACCCTGCAATGACCCCCGGGTTGATTGAAAGGGGGGCTGTCCCATTTTCGGTTCATTACTGTTCGAGGAACCATGGCCCTATTAATCTACGGTGATCATTAAACACTAACATCTTTAAGCTTTGGTTGGATACTCACGGCCGTTTTGAGTGAAAATCATCATACAGCTTTCGCTCTGAGCTGGCAACCCATGCTTCAACCGCACCCCGCTATGTGCTCGAGTCCATGCTGTGCGGGAAATGGGAATGACACTGAGGTGTGCACTTCAGAACTCGCCATGTCGCAGGCACTGTACTTCTTCGTTCCACCCAAATCCTTCACCATCATTTGGGAGAGTCGCAAAATGGTGGGCGCCCTTTGGGTTGGTATTTGAAGGGAAACCAAAAGGCAACCATTAAACAAACTCCTCTATTGAAAAACATCCATAAGGGGCAACGCTACAGAAACATCCAAGTCGCCCCTTAGGCCTCAGGAACAGGAGCCCTATGCAGTGTCGACTTACATCCCCTGAATTACTCCCAGTTGATCCCAATCATAGCAGGCCAAAATCATTGTTCTTTTCGACTTTTCGTTACTTGTTTATTTCATGTTTTTTCTTTTCTCGCGGGCGAAAATACCCACGAAAGCAGGGAAGTGGATTCACTGGGACTACTAAACAGACACAGACTTTGTGAACTCCGACCTGCTCAGAATGCGCCTCGTGATCTCCTTGAGAACCCGCACCTGCGCCCCAAAAGACATAGTTGGGCTCCGAAACCGGGGTTGGTTTCCTTTTGCCATCACCTGCCACCAAAAACCTCCACCAGATGTAAAGACTCAATGTTAAGTTGCCCGGTCTCAGGTTTGGGGGGCCGAAACTCCGTCGGCCCACAGCCAGACCCTCAAAAGGAAATCCAAGTGAGCGAGGGGAACGGTAGCCAAGGGAAACCAAAGTGAAACCCGGGGAAAGCAACGGCTCCTAAGGAAGGCAGTGTTCAAACAGCCTGCGAGCTTCCATGATCGCGGAAATAACAGTTCAGTGGCGTCCTTTTCCATGGGGTGTTGCATCTGGATCCTGTACAATGCTTTGGAAGCAAGATCCTTGCAATGATCACAACAACTACGCTAACAATCTTGATTCTGCCGGTTCGCTTCCCTTTATGCAGGCACATCTGGCTGTAAACGCAGCATGTGGCTGCGTCTCAAATACAGACCTCCCTTTGGAATGGTTAGGAACCCAGTGCACATGGTCTAAACGAGCGCAAGTCAGTTTGAGATGTTGAAACTTCAAACCCTCACATCACATACTGAGCTCTGAGATGTGCCTCTTAAACCTGGTCGTTGCACTGTTGCTCAAATCTCAACCCCCGTGTCAGCAAACAGAGCAAACAGCTTTGTTCCTTGAAGCCACAACTAAAAATAAACTGAAGCAACACAGCACTGTATCAACGCCATCCGCGCATAGTAGTTGATTTGTGATTTGCTTTCAAGCACAGCAACTACATTGTAAGGGCACACATACTCCAAAAAAAATACAGTGCATCATCACAAGCAGCGTTATTAAGACCCCCAAATGAGCTCGTGTTACCCTTGCAGGCGAGCTCGGCATAAGTGCAGAAACATGCCAAGCAGGCCTTAAAATAATGGCTCCCCATTCTCTTCACGCATCGCGCTCTCTCTCTCTCTCTCTCTCTCTCTTTAGAAACTACTCATTTTGGCACTAAGCTTTGGCAAATTTGAAGAGAAAGATGCCAGAGGTACAGCCACAACCTTGGTCAACCTTCATCCCTCAGGATTCAACAATTTCTAGCATCATGAGAGGGCAACAACATTGCAAAGGCTACCCACCCTTGACCCATAGGGGCTTCCCCTTTTTTAATGCCAAGTGCAGGTTGGAACCCTTTTCCACCCCCTGTAAGACACAGTTCGTGCACTGTTCAAAGGCCTGACAAGGGGGCCTTGTGCCCAGTGCAGTTCTTGGTTATGCAGAAGTGGCAAATTGGCCCCAACCCCCCTAACCTAACGGGGTTCCCTATGTTGTGCCCTTTTTGATATCACCTTTGAAAGGTGGCACATGGCTCCAAAAAGGTCCCCCCCCTTATTGTTGCCTTTGGGTTGTCTAAAACATCACCTTCTGCGGCAAGTTCAATGTCAGCCCATCAGGGGAAGTGCCCAGTGTCAGCCAAATGGAGAAACATCTTCTGGAGCCCTGCCTAAAGCCACTCAGGTGGCCCGCCTGCTTCACCAGGCACTCCAAAGCATCCTCCAGCCTAAGCTATCGATCGACTCCCCAAATGTCGGGGTGACCTGGTGAATGGGATTTAACAAATGGGTCTGTGTCAAAATAGGGAAACATAGGGGGACCACACAAATGGACGCGTTCCTCTTGGTTTCCCTTAAAAGCACACACCACCAAATGAGGGTTCCTTTCGGATGCTACACACACGATTGTTGGTGTAAGCTGGAACCCCTCTTTGGAATCCGGTTGGAGTCACCAAATATTTGTGCTGAAAACACAGGCTTGGTACGGGCAACACAACTATGGCTCAACGTTGGTTCTCAAACAACTCTTTAGGTGTTTGCCTCTAATTCAGGAGCCCCCACAAAATGGGTGCCTCTCTTTGAAACAAACTCAAAATGGTCATCCTAGAACAAAGGCAAACCCCACTAGTATGGTTTCCCACAGAAAGGCCACATCTACAGCAAACAATGGCATATAGGTCCTTTTGGCTTCTCACTCAACATAACTTGCATCTTTGGATATCCTTGGGGACCTAGACATAGCCCAAACATGGGGGACCTTGCCATACCTGTGGGGAGGCACCTGGAAGTTTATTTTCCTCTTAGAGGGACCTCCCAAGAGGTTGAATTTAAGTGCGGCTTACACTTAAAGACCCTCGGAAAAAGGTCACCACTTTTAGGCACCGACGGCCACCACTACCAGAGAGCAAGGGGTGTTTCGAACCGCCTCCAACACGGTCCACACCAAACAAAGGTGACTGTTTGAATCCCCAGGATACGGCGGGCGAGACAGCTGAGACAAGGGGTCGCTGAGGCGAAACGGCCTTTCCAAACTCCCAACAGCTTCACTTCAACAAGTAACAATGTCGCTAGAGCCCCACAAAAGAGGCACTGCTTTATTGGTTGACCCGCCCTTCATGGCTTCCTTGATTCTGCTGCATTTGCTTCAGAAGCGTGATGACAAGGTGCTGAAAGAGGTGTGCCGGCAGGAACTCACTCGCGGAATTTTGCAATAACATGTCACGAGGACAGTGTGTCAAAAGTTATAATGAAGTAAAACCAACAAGCACACAAATATACTAGACGCAAATAAGCGCACATGCAGGCACACATGCATGCAAGCAACCTAAAAACTGACGAGCAAGCCTACAAACCGAAACGCAACACAAGCATAACGATGGGTTCACAGACGGACGGATAGACAGACAGCCAGCCAGACAAACAGACAGACAGATAGACAGAAAGCCAGATAGACAGACAGACAGACAGACAGACAGACAGACAGACAGACAGACAGACAGACAAACAGACAGACAGATAGACAGGCAGACACTCAGACAGGACAGGCACACATAAAAGCAACACGAGAAGTACAAGAAAGAAAGCAGAACAACACACACACACACACACCAGCACGATCACTCCTCACATCTCCCAGCTTTTCACCGTTACCTATGTTCCTGAAACCCTCAAACAGACAACCAACCAACCAACCAGCCAAACAAACAAACAGACAAGCAAACAAACACACCAAACCAATCCAAACCAAACCAATCCAAACCAATCCAAACCAACAATTGAACGAACAAACAAACAAACAAACAAACAAACAAACAAGCAAACGCAACGCAATTGCAACCAAACCAAACGAAACCAAACCAACCAACCAACAAACAAACAAACAAGAGACATACAGTACATCACAGCGGACCAACTCACAAACTGGTGCAAGGACTTCAATGTAAAAGCGACTTGACATCTAATCAAGATAAGCAAATTCAATCGCCATGCGCTCGTGTGGAATTGTTTGAGTGCGGACCTTTCATGACACAAACGAGCAAGAACCGGCAGCACCTTCAATTCTCTGAGCACAGCAAAGCATTGATAGGTATCAGCTCGAGTACCTCAGGGTTCATCATGGACAATGGCATGCGCCGGAATAAAACACGATGGTCTTCAGGCAATGCGTGGGATAACAGCGCATTTTGTTACGATTGCTCGCAAACCATGTTCACTGTCTTGTACCTCTACGGATCATGGCACGAGCAAGCGATCGCAGTCACTGCTCACCATGGCAAGCTACAGTTTCGACTCAAAATGTTGCAGCGCGCTTACACTTTGCCTTTCTTTTCAGCTTGTTGTCCAGCTTGCAGAAATTCGCTGTGGAGTATCCTACGTCACTGGCCCCTGTTCAACCGTCGAGCACCCACCGACTCTGCCCTCGCCCCCGGCGCTCCCAGTACTTTTTGGCAAAGCGCAGCACATCAACCAGCTGGCCGAGTAAGCAAACTCTTTGCCAATCTAATCCGCTCAGTGCACAGCTTCAGTTGAGGCGCTGTGGAAAGTCCCTTCAAGTGTCTAATGCTGGGTAGCTACTCCTGGTATCCCGGTGTACACACCCTACATGTATTCATGACCTCTAAAGATGGAAGTGTTCCTGTTGGTTATTTCTATTAAGCAGAAAAGTGAAAATGACACCGAGCCTCCATAAAACACACTCTCCCATGTGTTTGGGCCCCTCTGTGGCAAATTGCAGGCCTCACGGTGGCCAATGCTTACAGCTTGTACTGCTCGACTGCTTCGACATCCTTCGTGGCAAGCAATTTTCTCCACGGTCACTGGCTTGGTTTTGCTGGTACGTGGTTGAAGCGGACACAAAGGGACCCCCAAAAGGCAAACATGCGAAAGGGCAAGCCAAATCTGGTGTCTCAGAGCCCCATATGAGGTTCGGAGAAAAGCAACCACTTTTTTACTCATATTTAACGGGCAAAAGAGTCGACCCAAGGCGTAGAAACATCTCACGTGCGAATCTGAGCGCCTTGAGAAAATGCTTTCGACTTCTGGGGCTAACCCTTTGCAGTGGTCGAAGCCAAAAGGAAGACCAACATCCATTTTTGGGATACTACCGACTAACATGGGAGCTCCCGATTGGATCCTTTGGAAGACTTGGTTCCATTTAAGGAGGCCAATTGAGAGAGCTTCCATGATAGTCTGAGAGAGTGTACCCACGACTTTTGAGCCTCACTTGAATCCTCGCTGGAGCGCGTCACACTTCCGGCGCCAGGTTTTCTGGCTTCATCAGGAGTCGACGCGCCTGGGTCCGTCCGGAAATCAAACAACATGAATTGCAATCGCTTTGGAATAATATCAAAATCAGAAATCTGAAGTAAAGGGGAATTTGTAGAAAGGAACATTCATGAGTGCACTTGGAGGTCCTGCACAAGAACCTCCCCAGTACAAGTGTATTGGGGCTGGTCTCTAGTCAACCCTTAAGCTTTAGATATGTTGTGCGGCCGGACAACTATCCCTTCTGCTTTGTTTTGGGGGTATATCTTTCATTGTAGGGGGCTTAAAAGACCTTGCTTCAGAATCACAACACCGGTCCCAAAGGAGCATTAATGATTCCGAGGGCAACCGTATGATTCGTACACTGTAAAGGCCTAAGAATGGGGTTATGCGGTACTTAAAACCACATGCAGCCATGGTTCTAGGAGTAACCTATGAGTAATTGTTTCGCCCCTTGTATTAGTCATCCGGCCAATTCGAAGTTGCAGAAGTCAGTTGAAGCCTATCGCAAGTTGCAAGCCACAGCTCTATGGGCTAGTGGAGGTGTGCATAGTAGCTTGTCCTGTGGGGCTAGTTTGCACATACTACTCCCATGCTTCGGACTCAATTCGGTACTACACAACCCCATTGTAAGTTTGGCCAATATCGTAGTCATCTTGTTATTTCAAAGGACGTCAGAACTGAGAGGCACCTGCCATGTTCCTTGTACCATGGTCAATTGGCTCTTTGCTATGTGTATGCGCCCAGTTTCGTAGGAGCTACGTCCTCCAAAACTCATCTGAACCCCGGTTCCTCGACAAGCAAGGCAAGCTCCTAGCCTTTTGGGTGGAGTCCTGTGAAAGAAACGGCCCAAAGTGAGTGGCAAAAACCGCATGGGTTACATCCCATGGGATTTGGTTTCCACTGGTCAACAAAAACCGCCATGTGTTTTTCTGTCAATCCTATATAGTAGTAATAGTAGGTATATTTATATAACCTTCGCCATTTTCCTTTTGGTTTTTGAAGCCTGGCAAGCCCTTTATCTACAAAGCCAAGGACACGGTTGAGCACTGGGTCAGGATACTTACCATTTCCCGGGTTGCAAGGTCGGGCCGACTCGAGTTGTTCGTCGAATCTGAGGCCCCTCGCAGGTCCGGCGCCTCGGAGATTGAAGGGGGGCCCAAACCCAAAATACCAAACTCACGTCCCATCGAGTGGACTGGCCAAAAGAAACCGTTCACTTTGTTTTCACCAAAATGGAGTTTAAATCGGTATAAAAAGATAAAAAAAACAATGATTGAATTGTCCGTCGGGAAGTGAGCAAAAGGGGACATCCGGCGACAGCCGGCGTGGAAACAAGAAAGTGCAATAAATGTGTGTCCTTATTTGAGGGCAAAGTACTCGCATTGGTTGCTTGAAGTTGTCCAGAGGCCTAAGTCGAGAAACTTAGGGGGGATGATCTTGCCATGTTTCATGTTCGGATATGGCTTGGAATCCATTCCCGTGGTTCGTTTCGATCCGCAGGGGGGGGGAAAGAAGGAAAGCCAAAAGGGAACTAGTCGAAGATGTGAGCTGGACGGCCATGTCTCAACACCCGACAACCACTAAGAGGAGGACCCTCCAAAGGGGTGCTTTGAGAAGCAAAGGAATTCACCACCGGCATTGACCCCATTTTGTTTAAATGAGAAGCCCCATCTGAGCAATGAAAAAAGCCCTTGTTACCCGTAAAAGAAATTTTCTCCAGCTTCCGCAATCGCTTGCGGAAAGCTTCCGCCAATCTTTGGGTCGCTTACGCTGGCCATTTTGAAAAGATGGAGCTTACGGATAGCTTACGACGAGTTGCTCGCGCCGGATCCTCCGCGAGCAAGAGGCGCCAGCATGACAAAACAACAGCTTGCAAATGGCAAGGCGCAAAGGCTTTGCTGCGCAGGCTCAGCCGTGACATGGAGGGCAAAGTTGATAAAGGCCAGGAACCCGCAAAGTTTACCGCCAAAACGTTTAGAGGTTGCATCATTCTGTGTCTCTTTTGGTGGTCACGCATGTCGTTTCAGTGAAAGGGAACCCCAAAAATCCATTCGCAGGTCCACCATGCTGAGCCACTGCCCTTGCGCAGAACACGATGTGGCACACACAGGCGCACACCAGTTCTCGCAAGGGCGTTCTGGCGGCACGTGCGAGTGTTTGGTGAAAGTTTCAGCGTGCCCGTCCAGGAGCCTAAGGCTGTCAAGGTGCCCTTTGTCCAACTCGTTTTGAGAGGGTGCGCCTGTGTGTCTGTTTTGCCGGAGGCAAGGAGAGCGCAGAGGCAAGAGCCTGAATCATTGCGGGTCGGGAAAAAGCTTTTCGAGCCCCGAAAAGTTTCCCACCAGATCCTTTACAACGCGGTGTGGCTTTGCTTCTTCCCAGGGAACTGGCTGGCTCCCTTTTTTTCTTGCAGGTGAAAGCCTCTTGCCAAGTTTGTGTGTGGGAGTGCGGCGATTTTGTCGGACGCATTGTGTAAGCCGTTTGTAAGCTGTGCCAAAGCCTTCCCTTGCTTTGTCTGACACGGGCCCAATCACCACACTGTGTTGTAAAGGATCTGGTGGGGAACTTTTCGGGGCTCGAGTTTTTTTCCCAGCTGCAGGCTTTTTTGGGCTTCGGGCCCTGCAAAGTGCTTGCAGGTGGCAAAAGGTGCCCCACAACCAAAAAACTTTTCTGGGCTCGACAAGTTTTTTTTGTGTTTTCCAAGCCCGAGACCCAAGCGTAAAATAGTAAAGTCACAAAAAACAAGCCCGGGGCTCAAAAAAATGTTTTCCAAGTCCAAGACTTGGTTTCAAAACAAAAAAGGCGAGGTCCCCCAAGAACACTTTTTCGGGGCTCGAAAAATTCTTTTTTGAGAAAAGGGAAGTTGTTTTCCAGACGCAAGTTGCTTGGGCTACAATACACGCGCAAAGGCGCTTTCAACCACAAACGGGCGCGCAGAATCGGACCCTCACACTTTCTCGGACTGCGTGATCTTAACCACTACGCGATCCAGTCTTGGTATCCTGGGTGGCTGTCGCAAAAACTTCTTCAAAATAAATTGAAGCGGGCGTCAAAGCGCGCAGCCCCAAAAACAACTTTCGGGGCTCGAATAGTTTTTTTCCAGTCCGCGAGCTTTTTTGGGCTTCAGGGCCCTGAAAAGTGCCTGCAGGTGGCAAAAGGTGTCTCGCAACCAAACTTTTCGAGCCGACCAAATGTAAAAAAGGTGTTGTCCAAGCCCGCAAAACCAAAAACAACTTTTCGGGGCGTTCCTTGGGCTTCGTTTAACGCCTTCAACCACAAACAGGCTTGGGGAATCAAAGCCCTCGCTCCCACGGCGGGCGAGGTTGCAGGGACGTTGGCAGCCACGGCTGGAGTCGGGGCAGCAGCGAAGGCGGGTCTGGCCGTGGGGCTTGCGGGCAGCGCAGCCTACTGTCTCGCCCGGGGCACGGGATGGGTGCTCGAGAACACGGTCTTCCGGCCTCAGCAGCCGCCTCATTCGTCCGACCACTAGTTATTTTTTAATCGCTATATAGAAAAGCATTTATTCGAGCTCTCTGAACGCATCATGGGTCGCCTGTGGCTTCACGCGCACCGAGCGGTGCCCCTGATTGCGCAGCTCCGAGATTGCGCATGTGAGCAGTTTCGCAAAATCCTGAAACTCCAACTGCTCAACTCCGTTCTTGAGCAGGTTTCCGTCGCGCGTGGGAGCGGGGCGAAAGGAGCTACTCAGGATATGCTTGCTGAGGGGCACACACTTCGTCAAGCTAGGATGAGAGGCGTGATCTTAACCACTACGGGATCAAGTCTTGATATCCTGGGTGGCTGCCACAAAACTTCTTCAAAACTGGAGCGGGCGTCAAAGCATGCAGCCCCAAAAACAACTTTCGGGGCTCGAACAGTTTTTTCCAGCCCGCGCTTCGGGGGCCTCGCAACCCAAAAAAATCGAGCTCAGAAAAGTTGTTTTGCGCTTTCCAAGCTCGAGGCCCAAACGTGAAAAGGTGTAGCCGCAACAAAACAAGCCCGGGGCTCAACATGTTGTCGTCCAAGCCCGCAAAGCCAAAAAGGTGAGGTGCCAAAACAAAACTTTCGGGGCTCGAAAAGTTGTTTTCCGAACGCGAGCCTTGTTGTTCAAAGCTGGCCAACGCGCTGTGGGTGGAAAATTGTAAAAGGTTTGCACAAGCAACTCAACCGTCAAACAGCAGTTGTCTGAGCCTGAAAAAGTTGTTCGCTGAAAGAATCCCTTTCCTTGTTGCTCGAAAGAACCCATTCCAGCAATCTGATCCCATTTTCACGCCTAAAACACTGCGCGGACCAAAAGCAACTTCTACCAAACAATCTGAACGAAAAACGGGTCTGACAAACAGAGCTTACGCAAAGCTTACAACGAGTGACATGCATGCAGCTTACGCAGGACCTTCCGATTGCTTACGAATCTCGCAAAGACGCTTACGACTGCAAGAGTAATTTCCAGTTTCATCTAGAATCTAAATTGATCTACGGAGGTTTTTTTCGCCGCTCATCTGGCTGTGGCTCCTGTTTTAGGGTTCAACCACCCAAAATGGTGCTGGCGATCCTTTAAAATATGTTAAAAGCAATCAAAAAGGGATACCCTGAAAAAAGACAGAGCCATACGTCTGGTCAAAACGACTTGCCATGGATCCCCTTTTTTGGATTTACACAATCCGAGCGCAACAGAAATCGGAATGCCGCCGAGCGTCTGAGCAGGTCCAGTTCCCACCTTCCATCCTCCGCCTCGCCCACGACCCGGGCCCATTCCGCGTTCAGGTCCGCACGGTTCTTCAGGCCATGCCTCAAATAAGCTGGGCGAAAACGGGCCGCTTAAACCAACAAAAGGGTGCCCAGAAAATAATACAAACCTATACGGTGGATGGATGAAATCCATTCCTCACAACTTGGAAACCGAGGGAAAACACTGTTTCCGAGTAACTATTTACAGGGCATCATCTTTCCTGGGATTCTTATATAGGTTGTGCAGGATTTCGTCCATCCACAGTATCATCTACTGTAAGGGGGATGGCATTGAGTACACTCATCTTAAAATGCTGCTAGGTTTTGGGGTTACTCACCAAATCCTTTTGTGGTCCCACTATGGGGAATGACTCCATAGACACAATACTCAGATTCGATAAGAAATTCTTCGAGTGGTTTTGGGAATGAACCGTTTCAGGGCTCCCTTAAAGGAAGCCACAAGTGATGGCTATGTGTCATTCCCTCATTCTCTGAGAACCAGCATTGCAGTAAGTTGAACAAGCAGGGTTGGGCCCAATTAGCAATTGACAGCAGTGTCAAGTAGGTCCATTCAAATTCTCAACATGCCCCTGCAAACCAAACGGTAACTTTGTCCCAAGAACTAACTTTGAGAACCCCTTATAATTTGACCATCCACTTTAAGACATCCAGAAAATACGGGCCTCCAGCCTCCAGCTCAACATTCGTTCTCTTCCAACCGTAAAAGAGAACATTGAGGTTGATCACAAGGTCCTTTACCTGGGATTGCCATAGGAAAAACCACCAAAAGATCAACTTCCCGAGAAATGGGAGCAGCATGTGGGGGCCGGGAATATTGATCAAGCCGGCATGAAGCCACGCAAGTGCACCTGGTCCTTGTTTGGGTTACCAAACTGTTTTTGTTTTCTTGTTCACAAATTGCCGATGACTGTACAGCATTGCGTGAACCAGGCAAGCATGTATAAACACCCAGTGCAGATTTAAACCACTTTTCATGTTGGGTCGGCACGGAACTTCTGTCAGAAGCTTCTGATTCAATCATACAGCAAAATAACAACTTCTGTCAAATGAGTGCCGAGAGCAAATCCAATACAGTCAAGAACTACAAAAGAAATGCTTGAAGCCTCCAAATCCAGTTACCTATATAGTAGGTTGTTGAAGGCTGGTTCCTTAACCTACCAAACCTACCTACAAAACCTACCTACAAAACAAGGGAACTTGAATCACTGTGAAAAGAAAGTCCGAATCCCATTTTGAGAAAGTTTCTTTGCTCATTAAAGGGTGCAGTTCCAACGTTCTCTCAAAGGGTTGTGTTCGGTTTGCCACTAAATTGGTCTTCCCCAAGCGTGTAAAGTACTGCCGGACAACTGCGAGTGTCTAACCATGTTTGGTTTTGCTTGGCAAATGGGAAGCTTTTCGCTTGATTGATTCCATCCTTGGGCCCAAAGGGACAAATCCTACCGCTGAGCCCTAGGAACTGGAACCACTTTCGGGGGTTGCAAACAAAAAGAAATAACCAACTTGATGGTCGCCAAACATGGAACACAAATGTCCATGGGTGATTTTTTTCATCTACCAAATTTCGCCCAACTGGCCAAGCTGCAGCATCACCACCTGGGACGCGCAGGCTAATGGATATCTATCTAGAAAGAGCACCCTTTGGGTAGCCTCCATGCCACTGGAGACCGACTCAGTACCGGAAAACCCTGCAGGCCTACGAAAAAACTTCCCTGTTGGAGAGAGTTGAGCTTAAAGCGGAAAGCGCAACACCAGAGGTGTGGCCCTGGCTTGTGCAAAAGGTCGATTTTCTTGGTTGGCCAAGACTCAGTAGTCTGCACGTGTGTGTGTGTGTTGCGCATGGGTTCACAGCGTGAGGGCATGTTCAGCGAAACATCCGAAAACACCTCACGATGAGCACAAGAGCTCCGACCCCACCTGTCTGAGAAAGAAAATGTTCATAGCACTGACTCCCGTCCAGGAAAATTAATGGATGTGTCAAATAGGGCCCCCCTCAAACTCTTGTTTGTTTGTTTGTTTGCTTGTTTGTTTGCTTACTTATTCCCCAAACTGTTTACTGTTGGGGTTCTTAATTCTTACTAAGAATTGACGCTGTCACCAGATGGTCTGGCCTTGTCTCCCGGCTTGTTTCCTCTTTGTCTCCCCGCTTGTTTCCATTTGTCTCCCCACTTGTTTCCTCACGCGCTTGCTGGGCTGCATGCTGTCACGAGATGGTCTGGCTCGGTCAGCCCTTTGTCTCCCCACTTCTTCCCATTTGTCTCCCCACTTGGTTCCTCACGCGCTTGCTGGGCTGGATGCTGTCACGAGATGGTCTGGCTCGGTCAGCCCTTTGTCTCCCCACTTGCTTCCATTTCTCTCCCCACTTGGTTCCGCACGCGCTTGCTGGGCTGGATGCTGTCACGAGATGGTCTGGCTCGGTCAGCTCTTTGTCTCCTCACTTGTTTCCATTTTTTCTTTACGCGCTTGCTGGGCTGGATGCTGTCACGAGATGGTCTGGCTCGGTCAGCCCTTTGTCTCCCTACTTATTTCCTCAAGCGCTTGCTGGGCTGGATGCTGTCACGAGATGGTCTGGCTCGGTCAGCTCTTTGTCTCCCCATGTTTCCATTTGTCTCTTTCCACACGTGCTTGCTGGGCTGGATGCTGTCACGAGATGGTCTGGCTCGGTCAGCTCTTTGTCTCCCCACTTGTTCCATTTGTTTCCTCACGCGCTTCCTGGGCTGGATGCTGTCACGAGATGGTCTCGGTTAGCTCTGTGTGTCCCCACTTGTTTGCATTTGTCTCTCCACTTGTTTCCTCACGCACTTGCTGGGCCGAATGCTGTCACGAGATGGTCTGGCTCGGTGAGCCCCAGCGGGGATATGGAGGAGCGGGTCCCGATATGGGGGGATTCCAACTTGGCGCCATTTTTTCCATGTCAAGCTTCGTCCTCGTTTTGCATCAAACGGGTTGGTTCCTCCGGTGTCAACAATTGGTTTTCTCTGTATCCCTACTTGGTTTCGCTGAGAGGAAACCTTCCAAACAGCTCGCGGCGGGTGGATCCATCTTCACGGCGCCGAAGGCGGCATCTGCCGTTTGTCTTCTCACTTGTTTTCTCACGCGCTTGCTGGGCCGGATGCTGTCACGAGATGGTCTGGCTCGGTCAGCTCTTTGTTTCCCCACTTGTTTCCTCACGCGCTTGCTGGGCTGGATGCTGTCACAAGACGGTTTGGCTCGGTGGTCATCTCGGTTAGCCCTTTGTCTCCCCACTTGTTTCAGTTTGTTTCCCCACTTGTTTTCTCACGCGCTTGCTGGGCCCTGCAAACTTGCTGGGAAGCTTTGACCAGCTGTTCGCCGCAAAGGCTGCGCAAACTGTTGCAAGTTGCAGTGAAGCTCGGGAACGACTCCGCTGGCCCCGGCGTGATTAAGCTGGCGCGCAGAGAAGAGGGACCATGGTGATGGCCCAATTGAAAAGAAGCCACATGGTCGTCAACGATTTTTACGGAAATGTCGGTGACCGTTTCTGCTGAGCAGGGCACAACTAAGATCAGGTTTGCTGCTGGTTGAGTTAGGTGCTAAGAACAGCTCCTGACGCAATTGAGCCAGATTCTCACTGTTTGGGGTTGACGATGGTGTAATTTTTAGCGGTACCCTTTCTGGGTTGGTGTCAAGGGGGCACGAAGAGGAAAGCCACCAGAAGCGGGAGTCTCCCTATTTTGACACCCACACCCCATGTTTGGCCTTGTGGACAGTCGACCCCTATGAAGCCAGTGTTGCTCAGACAAGCTGCATGACTGCGTGACAAGCTTTTTTTCGTCAAAGGCCATACGACCAAACTAAACGGTCATAAGGAATGCCAGGATGCTTAGACCCGGCTTCCTTGCAGTGAAAGACTGAAGAGGCTAAACAGGGTTCCATTTGAAGCACCCTTTACAGGGGCGCTTTGATGTCACTCCACCACTGACACCGCCATCCAAACAAAATTCTGTGGGGCCTCTTTCAGGGTCTTCAAATGACCCTTCCCAGTTTTGGGACACCAAAAAGGAAGCCAGCCAGTTGGAGACACACCCATGGCGCAGAAATGGCTCATTCGGGTGTGTTTGCGTCTCTTGTCGAGGGACAAAAACACACGCAAACACACAAACAACTAACACAACACAAACACAAACACGGCCACAAACACCAACAATCATAAACACAAGCACCGGCACAAGCACACACACACCCACACACACACACAAACGCCAGCGCATGCGCAAACACAAACAAAAACACACAACATACACACAACCACAACATACACACAACCACAACATACACACAACATACACAAACTGACATGATATGATTGCCGTTTTGGGGCTTTTGTCATCGCCTTCGGAAAATTGGGCGTGGCTAAAAATGAAGCAGCTTGGGGGTACAGGTTTCACTCTTTGTTTCCATATACAAAGGTGAGCTGCAATCAACATCTGGGCAAGCTAAGGCTATTGTCCCAACCAAAAATAGGTGCGGCGGTGCGCCGCCCTTGCAATTCTTTACATGCTTTTGGGTAGGCTATTCTAATACCGATCGGTTTTGATTATTACTCAGGTGCTGTTTTCGGGGATTCCATTTTTCGAGCCGCCCATTTCTCCCTCCCTAACAAAAATCCAAGCTGCGAGGCCAGGCTTGAGACTGTGAACCACCGACCCTGCGTCCACCTGCCGGGATGACAGGTGCAACTGGTGAGCGCCCCTGGGAGCGAGGATGATGCAACTGTAGACAGGTTGATGCGGGGAGACTCCCATTTCTGGATCCGGATCACTCTTGAGGGCAATCCACCAGGACAAGAGGAAAGGTTCGGACGGAAGCTTCCTGCGCGGTCTTTACCTAAATTCAGACCCTGGTTTGTTCAGAGGACGGGGGGACAACAATGGTATATAGAGGTACATAGACCTTTATGAAATGGTTCCATGCATGGTGGTTTAAGACTCCATTACTAGCTGGGGGTAGCGGTTAGGGGGCCCCGAACAACACAACTTGGACTTGCTTCGGCAAGAGGTCATGGACAAATTGGGTAGCATTCTGGGGTGTGACATATCGGGTGGCCCAATGCTTTTAATACTCGTCTCGAACAAAAAATCAGTTACTCATGTCATCACCACCGCACCCTACGGCACGTCCCCTTCTCACATTTTTTTGGGAGAGACCTCCCGGGGTACGAAGCTAGGGCATCCGACTTTGTCTTGAACCAAGACGGAAGTCAAGACTAAACCACTTGCTTCAGGAGGACCGTAGCAGGTGCGAGACCCGGGAGAAGGGGGAATAGGGGAATACGGTTGTTTTTGGGGGGTGGCCCCTCGCCCACCGGCACCATATAAATAAATAAATATGATAAACCACAACTCTGACTCCCATCAATCATTTTCACGAAGCTCCCGCCTCCGCCTGACAGCTAAACGCAATGCTTTAAAGTCAACTCGCCACCCATAATATTAGCCCCTCCCCCACTCCCCCTCCCCCTATGCGTGTTGGAGCGGGGGGGGGTGGTTAAGAATATGTGGGTGTGGATTCAAAAGGCGAGGTTCGGCTAGCCCCATCTGAGCTGTGAAAGGACAACCATCTCCGAGCCTCCAAGCCCTTCTTGCCGGGCCTCACCTGCACTGGTCCTGGCAACTCGCGGACGTTGTCGAGTTGAGCGCCCCAAAGCCCATTGACTTTGGTTCTATTCCGGTGAAAGTTCTGAAGATAGGCTTTGTTGGTATCCCTGAGATGGTAGACCCCCCTTCTAAAATGGTTTTGGGGAGTAGCGAACGATATTATTGCTATGGGCTTAGGATTGGCCCGCTATTGGTTTCGCATCTTGTGCAGGTTCGGTATCGGTTTTGGGAACCCCCCTGTGGGGTTCGAATGTCTTCGTGAATTACCGGAGACCCTTCGGCTGAAGCCCGAACTAAATTGAAAGGATTCGCGAAGACATTCTGGGTTTGTCTGAAACTAGGGGAACCACCACACTGTGTGGCTTCCTTTTGGTGTTCATTTAAGACTAACTAAACTTAAAAGCCGGTGTCCTTAAAAACACACACACACACACACACCCGTATGATGAATGCCGACCAAGTCTTCTTGGGAGGGTCCGACGAACAGGAAGCTAAAAGCCACAATGCCTACGGGTCCCCTATAGTTCCCCTGACATCGCCCCAAACCTTAACTCCAACTGTACGCAAAGATGATGCTACCACCCTAAAGGTATAATAGGGACCCTACAAATAATTTGATTTTTTGCGGTCGTAAATGGAACAATGCAAACCATTTTTCTTTTTTTTTGAGGGGGGGAGGGGGCCCTTAAAACAAGACACCCCCGAATGGTCATCACAGTCCTTGTCGAGGGGGTGTGGAACAACCTCCCATCAGAGAATCCCAACGGCTTTCCTTTGGGGCGGAATCTCTGACCGTAAAGACCCCTCCGCAAAAAATGACTTGCCGGTTGAACAGCAAACCAAGGCAGACCAGGGCAACCATTGAACAGGTTGGTGTGCTTGCATTTTTGTGGGTAACCTTTTCAGGTTGGTTTAAAGGGAAACCAATTAAAACACCATTATTTGTTGGGCCAACGGAAGTCGAAAGCCAAGTACCCAACCGGCGATCGGCTCGCTGAACCTTGCTGCATGAGGAAGCACTTGGAAAACTCCACGGACCAGCCTTGGGATTGTCTCAAAAAGGGGGAACCCGCACAGCTGTTGTGGTTGCCCTTACCTCATTTCCTGAATGGATTGGCCAAAAAGAGTCCAAACTTGCTATTTACCACACAAATAATATTCCAAAAAAGTTTAAAGACCAGGCACACAGGAGGTGAGTTAGTTTCCCTTTCAACCACGCCCACAAGTTTTACCTTCAAATACCACACCCACAGATCAAGCTTTAGACAGCCCAATCCGGTGGTTTGAATCCCAAATAACTAAAGCAACCCATTTGATGGGCCTGCAGTCATGTACCAAACAACTAAGGAGTCAGGACATCGAAGGTCAGGAGAGTTCCACAACAGCTCAGAGCAACCCGACCAAGGCCATTTATTTCAGCCAATCAAAGAACAACCAAGCCCCCTTGTCATAATCACCCTTTTACAGGGTTCACTGCATTTTACCCCGAAAACAACACCTCAAACATCAAGGCTTGCTGAGACCCAAAATCCAGCTTATGCGAACAACATCTCCATGTGCACACCGTCTCCCGGTAAATCCATGGACTATAGCAGGACGAAGAGAAACCAGCTATGCGATGCTAAACACATCATGTATGATTCCCTACAAAATAGTGGTAGCTGGGATCGGCTGGACCTTGTATTTCCCTCATTGAGGCATTCAGTAACTCGAAGCTGGCACCAGGTGTCCTACTGTGGATGGACGAAATCCTGCACCACTTTGAAACCATGGGACACCAGTTTGGTGGCATTTACAGGGGAATGATGAGGGTTTCTCAGCTGGTGCAGGTTTTCCTCCGCCCACAGTAGCACTCCCATTGCGACCGGGATCGGCTTATCACCCTGCCCCGGCCATGCAAGAAATAGCACTCAAGTTGCATCGCTGGCCCTCAGAACCCAACGTGAAGGTGCCCAGGGCAAACAGCGAAACAAGCCAGGACTCAACCCCAGCATGGGGTTGTGTCCTTTTATTGAGGGCACCGCTTTTAGGGATGAGGTGTTCAGGGAGACAAACAGTTGAAAACCAGCAAATTGTTCGAGGGTCTAAATCCTATTTTGAGACAAACCCGAATGAACACTCTTAGATGATCATACTCTTCAGTTCTAGACGCCTAAGGGACCTTCGGGTCGCTTTGTGCGAGGTGGACTTGTTTCAGGCTTGGGCCAACTCTCTTCAAAAAAAACATGCTACTTATTTAGACCCTTTTGTTCTGGTTTTCAATCAACCTCCTATTTGATTCCCTTTTTAAGGGGGCCAGGCTTGGAATTCTGCCCAACTTACGAGTGCAACGAAGCTGCAGCCAGAGGAGTCAGGGCCTGCCGGCTGAGCAGTGCTCAAACAACGGGCAACAATGGAAAAAGCCGACATGGCTGTGCCTCCAAATTCGGGATGCAAAACATGAGAAAATGCAAGTGGCTTCCCTTGGGCCCCGGTCCCTCTCTGTCTTGTAGCAAAACCAACAGAGAAACCTCCATGTTGAGACGAACTCACTACAGCTCTCATACTTGCAGATTCACGTGGATCCCCGAAAGGTCCTTTAGCCGTTTCCTGCAAGACAAGGTGCGTCCATCTGGAAACTTTGCTATGATTCCAATGCTGAACAAACGGATCCCCACGTAAAGGACCTTCAGCATGGTGAGCTCCCTATACCCCCCGGTGAGCGCGCTGATACTGTGATCCTCAGAACTGGAAAAGGAAGAGACGGAACGGCAACGGCCGGGCTCGTGTCGTAAGAAGCACGCGCAGCGTTTGAGCCAAAGGGGGTTCTTTGAGGCAGTCCTCGTTGCAGCCACGCTGGTTTAGGCCTTGTCTAAGTCACTGAATGAGAGGGATGTTGCCTTACCAGCACTGAACATGGTCTGGTGGCCCTTTTGGAAGACTGCTGCAATGGCCTCGTTTTCCTATGGTTGTCAAGGAGTCGCCAACAAGGGAATCTTCCCAGCAAGGGGCCACGATGGACTCCAATAGACCTTATTAGGCGCTATAAGCCGAGTGAGCCTTCATTGGGATTTTGCTTTGGAGGGGGGTGGGGGAGTGGACAACCATAATTACTGTGGATGGACGGAATCCACTTCGCACCACCCAAGAATCCCTGGAATGATTCGATTCCCCTGTCAATACAATACCAACCAACGTTGTGGTTTCAACCATGGTTTCCTTGCGTGGTGCGAGAAGCCGCATTTCGCAAGCATCCACAGGACGCTTGCGATGGCCTCTTTGCACGGTGCCATGCAGGCCGTGGCAAGGAGAGGACCTCGCGCATTCGAGCTGATGGGGGCATCGAGGGCCTAGTTGTACTTCGACCCCAAACCATTTATCCCCAAGGGAAATGTGTATACTGGGGTCACAGGTTTTCCCTTTTGAAAATGGTAATTTGCTGGTGGCATCCATTGAAACTGCTACTTTTGGAGGATGCAACAGGGGAAATGGAGGAAACCCTGGTATGCCCATTGTATATGTAGTGTTGTATATCCCGTTTTCCCTTGGACCAGTGGTTTTGTGGCAGCGGCACCCCGCTGGGCTGGGTGTACCTAAAAGGGTTGGCTCCGATGCGAGATATACCAGAAACTGAGGATACAGTTTTGCTCATGACAACGCGCGCTATGTGAGCGTGCATCACCAAAAAAAAAACACGGACCCCAATACCCAAGCTTGCTTTGCATTCAACATATCCCTGCAGGGCAGGACAAAAAACACTGACCCATCAAAACACGGCCGTGGGGAAGGTTTTAGTCGCTGACAGGCCCTGTGTCCCACGACAACCCCCCGCATGTTGCCAGCCATGCTGAAATAATCCTCATGGCAATGGATATAGCTCTCCTTGGAAAAGTTTAATCCCGACAATTTCCACGGGGTGCATAGTGCATGACCAGCCTCACCAACCTGCAGGACAAGGTGTGTGTGTGTGTGTGTGTTGATCATGGCACGTATGGAGGAGGTGTCTGTTTGTCTCACGTCCTGAGTGGATTGGCCAGAAAAAGGAACCAAACTTGTTGTTTATCACCAAAATTGTCTTTCCAAAAAGTGTTAAGTCCATGAAGTCGGGGAGTGAGTTGCAAGGATTCCATGTGTTGCTGTTGTTTTCAAGGTAAAGCAAAAAGACCACCTGCCCATGTTGACAAGTTGAGGCTTTCCGATTCAGAGAGAATTCACATATGAATCTTGGCCCTGCATGGTCAAATAACAAGCCTGTATGCCGAAACGAGGGGCTAATGGCTGACCAGATTTCCCCTACGGGGAGGAGTTTGAATTGACTGGACTCTGTGGACACTATTTAAACTAGAGATGTGGGCCAAGCATTCAGGATTCAACTCAGCTAACTTACCGCAGGCTGACTTTCCTCGCGCAGGTCGCAGGCAATTTGCGGTGACTGGCATTTCTTTGTCGCCGCCCAAAAGATCTCAGGGCCCCGGTAACCGACTCACCGTCAAAAAACACGTGTTCCGTCGCAAACGTGTTCCGTCGCAATGCCAAGGCTCCGGGGAGGGCATCGAGAAAGCTGAGATGCACATGGGCCCTGGGCGTCTCAGTTTCCTGGGCTCCTTGTCTCAAAACAACCCTAAGGTACCAACTACAAAAAAAAGGACACACCCAAGAATTGGGGGTTGTTTCAAAGGGACAGGGACAATCTCCCCATTTGGGGGGAGGGGAGGGGGTCATCTTTGACTCAAGCCCAAAATGGGAACGGTGTTTTTCCGGTTGTCCCTTTCCAGCAACATAGGCCGAGGCGCTTGTCCGACACCCTGACCTCTGCTCCCTGGCACAAAGAGCCCTCCAGCTCGTTGGCGTGCAGCAACCTTAGATGGAAGCAACAGGAAGCAGCGGGGTTCGTGCGTAGTGCAGCCGTTTGTTGCTTGTGCGATAAGTAGGGAATGTGATGGAATGTGATGTGGGAATGAACCCAGGCTTTGGTCCCCTTAAAGAAAACCACCAGTTGGATGGTTTGTCAGGTTTAAGAAATTCCTCGCTCCGTGCTAAGCACCAGCAAGTGTTCAAGGACCATTTTGAGACTTGTCTCGTTCTTTGCACTCAGGCCGTTTCTCTTTGCTTGCGTTGATCAGCAGCTGATGTTCGTTTCGTCTGGGCTTCGGCTCGAGTGGACTCCATGTGCCCTCAAGCCTCGCTGTGACCCCGGAGCAAGGGAACCATCGCAAGCAAGCCGTACACAGCACTTGGGTGGCTCGTCAGTTTTTCGGGGGGGGACCCACGATGAAGAGGAAAACCAAAAGGAACCACCCATTTTTTGGAGGCTGCCGTAATTTGGAGGCCTTTCTTGGAAACCAGTTGCAAACAGGTGCATCATTCAACTGCGGTGTCTCCCTTCATAGCTATTCCTGAGAAACGCAACGCCTCCTTGCCCCTTCACCCTTTGGCCCCTCCCCCGTGTTATAGTCACATGCTACTTTGCAGCACAGAACCCTAAACTCAAGCTTGGTCAAGTGCTCATTTGACTTGCACTAACTTGGTGCTGCTGAAGGAGAAACAAAGCACGTGTCAAACATCAGTTCCATTTCTGCAATTGAGCGGGCCCTTGCTAGCATCCAGTACCTTGAACACGTGTGCAATACAACTGCAACCACTCCAACTCCACCAGCACTCCCCGCCAGAAACGCAGCTGAACAACATGTAACAGCTCGCCATGATTGGGTCTGTGGCAAAATTGGGAAACCTTTGATTTCCCTTCGCGCAAGCAAAAAACCCGATAAAGGTACAACCTTCAGAAAAGGCCGCACCCATGTTTGGGATAGGGCAAATCAGAGGGTGTTCCGCTTGCAGAGTCAGACCCTGACTAAGCGAGCTCGCCACAAAGTATGAATCAGTCCGTGGAAGCCCTATGTTGGGTGCTTTCTTTTGGTCTCTCTTTAAATACCAACCAAATCGGGGCCCGCCATTTTGAGAAACACTCATAATCTTGACCCCGGACTTAAACACCCCTGCTTGCTAATATGGGCGTGTTCCCCCGAAGTGATGTTCACCCCCACTACCAAGGACGCCTCCAAGAATAATACGGAGGGTTTTATTCATCCTGGGTACCCATAGTAGGTTACAACCATGGCTGTAAGCGCACAGTCACCCCTGCCCCGGTTGTAACTATGGTTAACCTCCTTATTTGCTTGAACACCCAAGGTGTTTTGCCTGCCTCGAACCGCCATTGCCGAATCGACTTGCTAGCGCGATAGGTCGGGAATGAGGAAATAAAATCGAACAAAGCTGGGGATTCCCTTGAAGGAAACCACCAATTGGACAGATTTTCTTGCTCATTCCATGTCTCATTCATTTGCGTCTCTCGCAGCAGCAAGTCGATTCGGGGCGTTGAGCCCCGTTTTTTGGCCGATTTGCAGCGTTTGGCTAAACTCCACGCCGTCCTTCGGCCGCTCCGAAGCCACCAGCGCCGTCAAACCCCCGAAGGACCTCGAGTTACTCGACGTCGAGGTGGCTTTGGCGTGGCCGGTTTTTTGGCGCTGACTTTCGTGGTTTGAGGAACCCTCAGTCGCCCAAAGAACCTCGACATAAAAGATGAGCTTTTGACTAAACATGGACCAAAAAATAGGAAAGTGGTCTTTACAAAGTGACTACAGTCCAGCAACTCAGGAAGTGAGACGATGGTTTTCTAAAACCCCTAGCAGGTTGATGACCATCTCTAGCAAAAGGGGATCATAAATGAGCAACCAAAACTGATGGACTTTTGGTTCTACTAGCGTGGCAACAAAGGATCCATGCCTTACTACAACCAATAATACCAAACAAAGTAGAACCACCTACTAAAATGGCGTACAGGTGCAAATTTGAGATTGTGTTCTTCGAGGGTAGGTTTTGGGCTTGTGGGTTATTTGGGTGTGTGCGTCTTTTCTTTGGAAAACCGAAGCCGATTTGCCGATCCCCCGATTTTGACACATAGCCGTTTGAAGGCAAGACTAGAGGCAACCCATTGCGATCACAGGTAAAGAAACCGAAGAACAAGCGCACAATTACATGGCACTCGGAAGAATGTGGGTGTGTCCTTTTTAGGGAACCCTCAACATGGCTTCGGGTTTCCTTGTGGTTTCCGTTTAAAGTAACCAAAAGAGGGTTTTCCCCCAAAAGAATGACACGCACGCCTGCGCGCACACACACACACATGTATGCCCACTGCCATCCTCCAATTTGGTGCTTCCCAAAGGCCACATAACTGGCACCCACCTGCGAACATCTGAAACCCTAGCACTGGCCATAGGGGGAAACATGGCTCTCTGTTTTTAGGTTGTGTTTAACAGAAGCAAACCCTCAAACAGAGGAAGTTCTTTGCCCAACTTTCCGATTGGGGCGCTTGTTGCACTACAGCTTATTACATGACATGAGCCGACTTGCTGAATTGACTGGACAAAGAACTTTTTTCCTTGGCCTTGACTGAAATAAGTATGGGTCAAAATTAAACCACCATGGGACCGCAGGTTTTAGTCCATGTGTCCATTTACCAGGGTTCCATTTTGGGTACCTATTTTTGACCCACTGCTAAATGAGGATACACCATTATTGCCGTCAAAGGTTTGCGATCAAACAGACATTACTTCTGCAATGACTAGCTCAGAGTGGAATCAGCGGATTCACCTGAGGCCCGAAATAATATCATTTGCAAAGGAGCCTACTATTTTGGAGCCAATTCGGAAACCCTTGGGAATCTTCAGGGGAGTAAGGATTCAGCAAGCTGAAACAAGCTTGGTACAGGTTTCCCGAGAAAGAAACCTGGTGAGGTCGCAAACCAAATCTTTTCAAGGTCACCAAGATTCGCGCAAGATTGTGGATGAAAGGCAACCTGCGTCTTAAGTAGCGGCAAACATCAGCTTCCCTCTAATTGGCGGTTTGGTGGTTGAGGAGGGGTTAGAGGTTTCCCATTTACCCTCTACAAAAGCCCGGGATTCAAATCACCAAATCACGAATTAAGGGTTACCTGAACAAAGGATGCGGCCCAGGAAACCTCGCGATTGCCATGGGCAACCAGAGGCAACCATGACGCAAAACCTAGAGGTAAGACAGGGGTCGCAGGATTTCCCCATATCAACAATTGATCAAGTTACTGGTGGTTTCCATTGAAACAATCGCTACTTTTGGAGCTTCCAAAAAGGGACACGGAGGAAACCCTGTAAGAAACCTTCTGGTTACTCCAATACTCTGCAGGGTTGGCCTCTGAACATTTGAGCCGACCCTCCACTCCAATACATATCCCTACTACCTACGAGCTTCTTCGGTAGCTCGTTTTTGTATTGGTTCCCCAAAGGTTTGCTTCAAAGCTCGCCTGATCAAACCATGGTGTTGTTTACTGGCAATCCACAGACGCGCAAGACCTCAAAAAACCCGGAGCCGCTGGAAGCCATGGACCAGTGGATATGGGAGTGTTTCCACATACTCTTTCAAGTACTGAGGCCTGATGTTCAAATCCCTTTCCCCCTTCCAGGGGAATAGATCTCGTCACGCGCCAAGTGACCCGTGTGAGCAGCTGGTATGCTGCCACACCCAGTTGTTTAGTGACCCTGCTACAAAAAGAATTGAGTTGTCTTTCTTGCCTGGACTATCTTTCACGAGTTGTAGTGAAGCAAACCAGCAAATCGGGCAAACCATGGCGCAACGCGACCGAGCACCTGCCAAGCTGCGCTTTTGAACCAAATGCCGCCTGCGCGTGGCTGTTGAAACAACTTACCCAGACCCCCGTGAGATTTCACACCTCAAAATCAATGACTTACCTTTTGAGACCTCCGAAGGGGATTGATCAAAAGGTCCTTTACACGGACCATCGACCTTCTGGAACCAAATCTACGGAATCCTCCCTAAAAGCTGGCCAGAACGACCTCAGAGCCCATCTGGGGGAGACCAAATCCATAGCTTTCAGTTGTTGGGGAAACAAAAGAGCAAGTTACCCGGGATCATGTTGGGGCCAGGAAAATTGATCAACCCCCAAATTTTGAAAATTGGAAATGTTGAAAACACGGTGCCCACTTGGCTTTGGACAACTAAGTAGACCCAGGGACAGGCGTGTTTACTGCTCTCCTGCGGGTAAATCCCTTTGCGCAGACTCACAGTATGAGTCATCTATGAGTCATCGGCATGAGTTATCCGCAGAATCACAAACTTGAAGCAGGGAATCCCTTCAGGATCTTCATGGGCAAGCTCGTTTTAATCGAGCGTACGACCTTTGGTACAGCTTGGCTTCTGCTGGGGTGCGTTGCTTCCAGCTTGTGAATCGCCGTGATTCCATTTGCCTCTATAGTAGGGAACCAAGGGAACCAGCAACCAAGGGGAACATGGATCTGGTTCTGTACTATATGGGTAACTGGGATCCATTGGGAAGGAGAATATTGGATGGTCTCTGAGCAAACATGCATCCCAAAAAGAAGATCCATTTCTTAGGACCCGTAAGAAAGGATAAATGTTCAGAGGCAATCCAAACTGGTGGGGGTCATTTGAGCAACGCCCGACACCCATGTCTAAAAGGTTACACAGATTTCTATAGGCTTTCTATAACCCAATATTTCACCTGGTAGTAGAACCCCACCTACTAAAATGCCCTTAAAGGGGTGGGGGGGGGGGGTTGGGCGCCGCTCATTTTGGACATAAGGGATTTTATGTCCACCAATTTGGGAGGGTATTCCTGATTTTGTCAATCCAGGAATAACCCCCGCCCCCGCACGTTTTTGTTTTTGTTTCTTGTGGGGATTCCTGTTTCCCACCCCCCCTGATTTTCTAACTGGGGGGTAGTAGGCATATTAATCAGAGGGTCAACATTGCAAAAAAGGGTCCTCACATGTCAAACATCACTTTACCATATCATGTTCCCCGCTGCCTAACTCACTTCCTGAGTGGGCGGCCCAGACAAAGTCCAAAAAAAACAATCCCCACAAACATGGGTCTTCCCAAAAAGCGACTAAAGTCCACGAAATCAGGAAGTTAGCCAGTGGTTTTATTTTCTAAACCCCCCAACAGGCTGATGACCATCCCTACGCAAAAGGGGGATTTGATCTGGCATACATGAGCAAGCGAAACTCATTGACTTTGGGTTCTACTAACGTGGCAATAACGGATCCATGCCTTATCGATAAAATCAAACAAGGTAGAACCACCTGAACCGCCTAAAATGGCGTCCACAGGTGCTCATGTTGGATTGTCTTTGGGGTAACCGCTGCCTGCCACTCGCGGGCCCCGGGCCTTCACGAAGCCCAGGTTGCTGGGCTTCAGGGCGAGGCGCCGGGTCTCCTCGGACGGCGACTTGCGGCTCTGGAGCCGCGGCTAGGAGCCCCGGGCTCGCTCGTGGCGATGGCATAAGACTGGAACACATTGGGACAGGTCTGTGGGAGTTGTTGCCATGTTGATTGCTTGGAAGGAAAAAAAGAAAGATGAAGAAGAAAGGAGAGAATCAGAAATGAAAGAGCGATAAAGAGAAAGTGGAAGACAAAGACGAATGAGAAATACAAAGAGAAAGACAAACTGAGAGATAAAAGGGGAACAGAAGCGTGCTCCCACCCATTGTTTTAATATTTTGTGCACCTTCCGCGCAGCTCTGCGGGACTTTGCTGTAAAGACACCAAATCGCTTTTGGTTCTCCCAGTCTTTGACTCATGGCGATGAATTTGAATAGGGGAACTCGAACTCCCTCAAAATTGGTGGTGAACAAGTCCCTGCCAAAATCATGTCCAAAGGGTCAGCCATAAGAATTCATACCCACATGCCTTTGAACCCGCTGGCGCACGGCTTGTTTACGAGGCTGATGCCCAGCGGCGTCGCCACGCTTCACTTCCACCTCCCAGCGGCCCTTGTCATTGAGCTCGCACAGGGTTCCTCGGTTCACCCGGTAAAGGGTCATTGAAGCTAGCGTTGACATAGGGTGTCTAGGAAAAAGGGGCGCTGGCATGGTGGGCTCCCTTTTTAACCTGATGCCAATCTAGGCTGTGGTTCCGATTCTCAGCTGTGCCAATCCTCTTTCGATAAGGTTTTCGGTTAGTTCCCTTTTGAAGCTGCTTAGCTATGCCCAAACGGTGTTTCTCAGAGTTGGGCATGGCTGGATGGCTGCCTTGCAGACTCAGTGCTAGCACTGTTGTAGCTAACCAAAAAGTTCCATCATGAGAGGCGTCAAGAGACTTCATGCACCGAAACCACCTTCAAATTTAGGGCAGTCCCAAGCAGAAGTATGTCCGTGTAAATCAATATGGAGCCCCTAGACTCAACCAGGGGTTTAGTCAATTGGGTTCATACTTGTCTGCACATCCGGCAGTTCAAAACCTGAGCAAAGGACCGACATCATGGTGACCTCGTTTAATCCCCGAATCGGTGGAATCGCTCCCCGTACACATTTGCAGAGTCGTCGCCTGGAGTTTGGCACTGGCATTGCGCCAGGGTGCTAATGTACCCATCACCTTTTCAGAAGTTTCTTTGGTGAAAATCGCAAATGATGGTTGCTATGTTGCACATGGTGGTTTAAGCCAATTTAGCGGCCTCCAAGTCTCCTTTTGGAATTGGGAATCATAGCTTTGTATGTATATATATATATAATATGTTCTAGGTATGTTCATGCTAAACAACATCTGGTTGCCATGCGCACCCAGCTCCCTTTGCGTCCCAACTTTGTGAAAAGCGGCCAGTCTTCCCATTGAGCTCCGGGGCGCCTTGCAAGCCCTGGATCTCCACCTTTCCCCGAGCGATTTGGAGCCCGTTTGATGGCGAGGGGTGGGAAGCCCCATTTACCCTCTAGGGCTCAAATCCCAACTAAGGACCTAGGTATCTTCATGTACCTTCCATTTTTGGACACGTCCCCTGGTGAAAGTAAAACACTGTGGTCAGTGATAGATTCCCTTTCAAACCTGGAAAAATACACACAGATTAAGCAAACAGATGTTAACCAAGGGGTTTCCCACCATCAAACCGAAAGGAACATGGGAAAGGGTTAAATGTACGAGTAACTGGGATCCAATGGGATACATTCTTGCCAAATAGAAGAACCGGGACCTCGAGAAGCCCCTGGGTTCTTCAAGTAAATCAGACATAAATAGGTACACTGAGATTTCAACCAGGAAGTAGCTGGGCCACAATTCGGGGTCGTGATTGTTTGCTGACCATCAAGCCTGAATAAGGTCGTACATTAGGGCCTTATTTAGGGGAGAGGGGGGGGGGGAGGTGGTGGGGTGGATCTCATGAAAAGGACAACCTTCAAACTGCTCAAACCCATGTTCATGGCTGAACAAGTTTGATCTGCTGACCTGAAATAAATATTTGATGGTGGTTTGCTTGCAAACACATGTTTTTGTGTGATGGCGATTGTCTTGACTTGCCCAAGTTGCACAAAATAGAATCCAAACAGCCTTCATCGTACCTTTGAGCATACCCTGGCACAAACCCTTCTGATCATTTTCAGTGGGGATGCCACCCACAAATGGAACAGAGTCGAATCCACTGAACATGGGAACATGGACGAGTCTTCCGAGAGCGATTAACCAAAGGATCTGGCTGTTGGAGGTGCTTGGAAGGGAGCCACAACGAGTTCATCCATGGGGCAGGATCGAAAAAGGTTGACCTCGGGCCCAGCAGAATGACGACCAACAATTAGTTCACCTTTTGGCATTTTTGCAAATTTTGGCCACGTGACCAAAACAAATCGCCAAGGAAAATGTCCAAAGGTCTCAGGATCAATTCGCCCACCGTGCCTTTAGGCCTGGGACCAGCGCACGGGCCCAGGCTTCCTGCAGGACCTCCTCCTTCGCGGTGATCGCAGGCTCTCCTCGGAGTTCGGAGGGTTTCGGGCGCCGCCGGGTGGCTTCGGGTACTCTGACCGTTCGATCCGCGAAGCATAGCATATCGAAGCATCCTAAAAGGATAAGTCCAACTGCGGAAAGCAATCGACTCATGGTAGCACATGCCAGGGAGTTACAACCGCAGCAACTAAACCTCCGAGCCCTGAAGTGGATGTCAGAAGTCTAGGCTCCGTGGCTTCTCAAGTTCAAAGCGCAGGGGAAAGGGGCTAAAGCAAAATACATCAGATCCGAGTCACCGTCAATGATCGCGTCCTGGGCCGCATGGACAGAGCGCTCTAGCATGGTTGTGGAAAAGACACCTTGTGACGAAGTGGGCCACCCCTGTGACTACTTGGTCACGTTAGCCAATTCCCTTGGCATCACAGTGGCCCCAAAACCCTTTTTCCCGCAAGCATGAAGTGTAGTGAGGATGGCAGCAGGCCAACGGGATTCGTAGGCTTCAACCATTCCTTGTGTTAGGATGTCTTCGGTAGGGATCTTAAGCTTGATTCCCCATTGTGTTTGGCTGATTTTCATGTTTTCCATCGGTGTTGGGTGGTTTTCTGGAAAGAGGAGCCCTGGATTCGGGTAAGGGAAGTTAGGAAGTTGCCTGAGGGTGGAATTAACTGGACCGGCAGCCAAAGCTGCGGTTCGCATGCCATCCTGGGCTCTCCCAACATCGGCGACCAAAAAGTCAAGTTCAACCGCCGAGGTGATCTGCAACGAAAAGCAACGCACAGTTTTCTGATTTGTTCAGGAACCTTCTACTCCAAAGAACAATCAGGGACCCACCTGCTCCAAGAAAAACATCAGGGACCCACCCACTCCAGGAAAAAGGAGGGAAAAAGCAAGCAACCCACTGGTCTGAATTTCCGCCGTTTCCTTCAGACCTCCCGCCTTGGTGAAAAAACATAAAGCTTCGCCCCTTTCCATCCGTTCGAAGCTTTATCGCAGGGCCTGGAAAAACCAAACAAAGAATGCGTGCATGCCAAATTTACCCGCATTTCCCCTTCAAATGGGTTAAAAGTTGGTACTATATACATGTGTATACATATGTATATATATATATATGTATATATATATATATATTTGCTAACCCCCCCCCCCCGGCAGCGTAGATATGACACTTTCCAACCAACATAGTGACAGGTAGGCTGGGGGGACAATATATATATATATACATACATAAATACATAATGTTACGTAGATGGGTTGGGATTGAAATTCGCACCCGTCCAACAGCAAAAGCAAAACCAATCCCACGTCCAGCTACCGCGATTATTTCCAAAGCGCCACGGATGAATAAGCGAATCTCCAGGGCCCGCATATGGGCCCTGTTTTTGAGGGTTTTTGGATGGGTTTAAGCGGAAATCAACACAAAAACCACCATTTTGAGGGGTCCCCTTTAAAAAAAAATGGCTTCCCTGCCGCGAAAGAAGACTCACTTAAGAACCTTCCCGTCGAAATAAAGTTAGCTAGTTTGGGGTGAAGTCTGAGCCCGCATTGCAAAGTTACCAACGGAACTTGACCCAACTGGGGGAGCAACTCCTTGATGGCTTCCTTTTGGGTTGTTGACAGCTGGCTGTTCAGTAATCCATTTGGGATCGCGGTCTCTTGCTTTCACTTCAAAGCAATCCCAACATTGGGACCAGCAAAAGAAAACAAGAGGGAACCAACCACTGGGAGGCGTCCCTAAATTTCAGACACACTCATCTTTCGCCCAAGTCAACTTCCCACAGTCGAGCACTTCCGGAGCTTCCACGTCAAGAGCTGATAACTTGCTTGCGGAGCGGCTGTCTCACGGCAGTGCTGAAAGAAGGCCTTCCAATTCGAGTCCGTCGACAGCCTCACTCCGAGCAATTCCATTGGAGTCCCGGAGAAATCGGAAGCTGTTGATGTTAAGACTCGGGTAACGAGGAAGTAAAGGAAAAGGGGAACAACGGTTTGAAAGGGAAACAAAGGACCCAAATGAAACCAACTTGTTTTCTAGCACCGAGAGCATTTCGTACACCACAAACCCGACTCTGCAGACTACCTAAACGGTTGTTCAAACAAAGAAGGACCTTTTCCAGGTTATGGGTCCTCATTTAGTTAATTTTGACCGGTAACATGATGCCAAAAGAAGTCATAGTAATCCTTAGTGAAGCAACACAAACGGACGTGAAGGCGACTTCAATTTTCTGGATGACCCATGTGAACTGTCTGCAAAACCCCTGAGCATCATGTTTGTGCCCCTGACCAATAAGCCCCTTCAGCTTGTCCCCTGACCTAGAAACCATACTTGACAACAGTTTTCTCCCAATGCGAAACACCCATCTCCCCGATCAGGTAGATCTGAGAACGTTGACGGTGCCCAGTCGATTCTCTTCTAAGACCATGTTTAAAGATCAACTCTCGACAACACAAGGCCCGGAAAAGAAAAGCAACCACTCTTTGGGTTGCCCTGAAACTAAAATGGGACACCAGCATAGGGCCCTTAGACATGACCAAACTGGGCATGGCACAAGTCGACAAGAGTTGGAAAAACACATAGAGAATCGTTCGTCTCCCAATGTTCGGTACGCAGTGCCCAAGTGTTGTTTCTTTTTCCAGGAAACCTGCTGCCCATGATTGCTTGACTTGCAAGGGAGACCATCCCCTGTTGAACGATGGAATCCATGTGTGTGTGTGTGTGTGTCTGTGTCTGTGTCTGTGTCTGTGTCTGTGTCTGTGTCTGTGTCTGTGTCTGTGTCTGTGTCTGTGTCTGTGTCTGTGTCTGTGTCTGTGTCTGTGTCTGTGTCTGTGTGTCTGTGTCTGTGTCTGTGTCTGTGTCTGTGTCTCTGTGTGTGTCTGTGTGTGTGTGTGTCTGTGTGTGTGTCTGTGTGTGTGTGTCTGTGTGTGTGTGTCTGTGTGTGTGTGTGTCTGTGTGTGTGTGTGTGCTTCTTTTCGGGAAAGTTGCTCTAAAGGGAAACCAAAGGACGACAGTATCGGACAACTATCATTTTGGGAAATCCTTAAAAAAGACAGACCCATTGGTGGCAACTGGGCGTCACTTTGCCGACCCCCTGTCAGATAAAAGGGACTGACCATTTGAATCTGAATCCAATGGAACATATGCAGCTGGATAAACATGCCCTCAAAAACAATTCCAGTGCTGTACAAAGGCAGGCAATCAGGGGAACAACCCCTGCAACACTAAAAAGAAAATGGTGATGGGTTGCCCACACAGGGGCTTGTTTGAGTTCATCACCACCCAACATCATGGTGAGCTCGTTTCACCCCTGAGCTCGAAAGCCATAAAGAAGGCAGAACGATGCTTGCACCTCCCTCCAAACAAAAAGGTGTTAAAACAGAGGCATTTACTTTCTTTTTGTTCCCCATTAACCTAAGCTACACCCCCCCAAAAGAAAAAAGAAAGAAAGAAGAAACAACACATGCCGGAACGCTCCCGTCAGTTCACGTCCCAGGCACGTCGCTTCGTGGCCCAGAACTATGAGGCCGCGCCGCGCCCGAGTGAGCGCCACATCCAGGATGTGGGGATCCGCCACGATGCCTGCGACTTTTTTCTTCAAACGCGCCAATGGATGGCGTAGATCCCAATATGGTTGTTTTGCTTTAGCTGCCTCGTAAACCATCCAAAAGGTAGGGTGTCTCAAAAGATAGGCGGAACATGCGGAACCAAAAGAAGGATGTGTGCTTGCTTGAACGCATAGCGTGTTCAAAGAGACGTGGCCCATGTCACATTTGGCGAGAACTCCTCGACATGTCTAAGTGCCTTTGCCGAGGCCTCCGCGAGCCGATTTGGCTTGCAAAGACGAGCACGAGTCCGGACGCCGGACGTCCAGTTCAACGCGTACACTTTGGCTTGAGAGATTTGTCGCTGTTCAGAAGTGCCGCAGGCAAAGCGCACTTTGGCAGGATATGGTAGAAGTCCGCAAATACCTAAAGATCTGACAGCTAGGGTGTGGAAAATCCCTGGAAAGGCTGCGCGAATTGCTATATGCAAAGCCCACACGAAAATGCAAAGAAGGAAGGCCAGACAAGCGAAGAGCCATGGAACTCGGCACACAGCGTTGAACCACATTTTCAAGAAATGCCTGCCTCCGCGACAAGCCGTCTACGCGAGGGCTTTGCAACAATACGGCGGATGTTCGCCTTTCTGGCCTATGCCCCAACCAGCATTGCCTCCGCAAACTGCACGCAGTCGCCGTTCTATATCAACCGTTCTTGATGAAACAACCCGCTCCTCAAATGGACCGCCTTCGGTGCAGGGTGGAGTCTTTTTTGGGTGGCGCAAAACAGGACTCCGACTCAGGTTCTTTGGCCAAAAATGTAGGAAGCGATTCCCTGAAGCTGAACGCCGTGGTTAAAGTCACAAGGGAAAAAGGCCTGGAGGTAAGGCTTCAAGGCAACATTCGGCTGATGGGAAAAAGGTGTTGTTCTGGGGAATGGCTCTAAGGATTCCAAAGCGCATTCCCGTCGCTGTGACTACGGTTGCGGGGCCTTGAAGACCATAAGATAAAACAAGTTTTCCTCGAGCATGCCACCAGTTGTGGGGAGTCCTTCTCACATCGGTGTTTTTTTGGGATGCCAACTTATATATTACAAATAATTATCGGGATGCTTCCTGCAAATTGTCGTCTTTAAGCTCAAAGTGCCCTTACACTCAGCTTCAGGTTTTCTATAAGTAACCCCAAAAACCTGATGACTTGTTGGTAGAGTCCCACGTTCTGCCGTAGTTATGAGGTTTTGCATTCCTGCAAATAATCGATGGACCCACCAAAGGCTCAGTGCCGGCCGCCGGCAACGGGAACAAAAAGGGCACTGTGCGTTTGTCGAGCTGAAAGAAACCCTCCTGACTGGCTGCGCTAACTGCATGACTTAAAGCCCGTGTTGCTTCCTTCAGGCGTATGTTTGTTGTTTTCTAGGGCACAGATTGCTAAATTGCGTGAGGCCCCCCTGTGTATACCCCAAATCCATGAGATTAGCCAAAATTCATTAAACAGCCTGACTCCTCCTAGGTTTTGGTTGCTCCCTTACTTTTCCAACTCAATCCCCCTCAACAACTGCCAATCAATCAAGTATCAAGCCTGAAATGCATCCCCAAACCCAAAAGCCAACGTTGATTTGAAGCCTAATTTTGAACGCTGGAGCTGAAGTGCAAAGGAACACATGTTGAGCTGGGCCCTTGCGTTGCAAAGGCCTCCAGTATGTGCATTGCCCCAGCCTCCAAAATGCAACCATAAATCCAAATTGGAGGTAGTGGGAAATATTGCAATATATGTAATATATGAAAAATGGCTGCAACATGATATGGGCCATAATGATTTTCTTAGCAGTGATGAACATTGAACGGTGTGCTTTCTTTTTAAGGGACCGGTCACCTAACAATGGTGGTGTTCCTCGTAATTTCCTTTTACAAGCGAGCCCAAAATAGGTTCCCCTCTAAAAACTGCCCATGAATACCCATAGTGTCCCCGTTGGTCCGTTGGGGGGATGATGTTGGGAGTTGGGATGGTGTCACACCACAGGATGTGAGTCTGGCTCAAGCAACAAGATTTGAATATGAATTCGATATGAAATCACAGTTAGTACCAGGAGCGCCGGCCGCCACATCGATGTTTTCCCCCTCATGGCTTCGTCCACTGCATCGCAGTGCTGGAAAGCGCAAATCCCTCGGCAAATTGCCAGGCCAACACAAGTTCGGTTGCTCCACATGTCCACGCAAACTCAAACAAAGGCACACTATTCTTTGAGGGTGCCGGAAACTCCAACCTCGAGCCTCAGAGCCTCAGAGCAACCGCAACCGACCTACCCTGTCTGATCAGCTGATCAGCCTACGAAATCTTCCGGCGTTTGCCGCCGGAGAAAAGTGACTCTAAAGCCGCCGACGGCTTCTCAGCCGACGGCTTCCCGGCAGCCTTTGCCTTCGCGGCGCTCTTGCTCTTGGCCTTGGCCTTTGGCCCACTGGCGGCCTTGGCGGATTTGGCCAGAAGCAATCCTAGACGACTCGTAATCCAAATGCAACCAGGTTAACCTAACTACCAGCCCGCTAGCCGCTAGCCTCAGCTAAAAAGCGTTCCCTGTCAAGTTAGTAACAGTTGGTCATTTATACAATTCGGCTTCAACAACGAATTCACGAAATAATATATACCTGGAAAGCCCGGCGGTGCTGAATTTCTGCCGCTGATTGAAATTGCACTATTGTTCGCCGTTGCTGCCAAAAAAACGCTTTTTGTCCCCCAAAACGCCGTTGGAGCAATTCGTCAATATTCAATGGACTGTCCCCAAAATCAAAGAGTTTGGAGTTGGCCCTGAACAAGTAGGTTCCTTATTACTTATTAGAGGGAATTTGGATAAATTGGGTTGATTCATGCAAGGCACTGGCGTCTTTGAAGTCGACGCTGCGGCTGCGGCCGGGGCTGCCTCCTAGCAGCCAGCCAAGCAAATGTGAAGTGACTGCGGACTGCCATCCATTGCCGACGGTGTGGTGTTCAAGTTCAAAGCCCATACTATCACTGCTCACCACTAATACTGTCCAACGCCAACATCAAAACACAATTAGAGTTTAGAATCTGTTCTGTGCCATGCTGCTGGGCCCAAAAAGCCCGTCCTTGGCCTTGGCCCCCTTCGCCTTGGACTTGGTCTTGGCCTTGTCCACGTCCACGTCACGCGTCTCCAGCGTTGGCGCCACCTGCGGACAGTAATGGGACAGGCCAGCCAGCCAGTAGCGACATATTGATTCAATTGATTCATTGACAAATTGACTGGCTTGACTGATCGACGATCGACTGACAGGTTTGCATGTTGACGATGTGCTCATTTACGACATCCACCGACCTGCCAACTACCAGCCTTCGCGCCGCAGTCTGTGGCTGCTTCGGCTTCCATGAGCGCACCCAGGGCCATGTCGAGATCCTCACTATCCTGAGCAGTCAGCAGTTGGCCATGACAAGCACTGGCACAAGAATCCCCGCGGGGGACCTCAAAATTGCAATTTATTTCTTTTTTTGGGGGGGGGGTAGCCGGGCAGCCCGCTAGCCCTTGAAATATAATCATATATAGCCCGCAGAAAAACACAACCCTTTTCTGGGACCAGCGTTCGGTTTAGTGGCCGCTCAAGCGGCAGCCGCCTCCGTGTTTCCCAACCACCCCGCCCCCTCAAAAGTGCAACAAACATTTACGTATCACTGAGTACTCAGTACCCCCCCCCTCAAATTACAATTGTTAGGGGGAGGCAAATGTGACTAACTCAGAACTCACTAGACTCACTGGCCAACATGTTTCTGGAATCTCAATAATCTCAATTCAAAATTTCAAAATTCCAAAAAAAGAAAATATATCACAATCTCTCGCGGGCGCAGCAAATCTTTTATCACAAAAAAATGGAAGGCCGGCCAACCAAGGCCGAGTGACGGACCAACCCCAAACAAAAAACACAAAAGGCGAGAAGCGGCCATCGCGGAAGCAGCCTCTGGGTTTGCAGCAGGCTTGGTCTCGGCAGCCTCCGGCGGCGGCGTGGCCATTGCCTTCTCTGACTCTGGGGCACTTGGGGCCGGGGCAAACTCCTCTGCAGCCTCCGGTGTGGGCATCGCCGCGGATGCTGTCTTCTCTGACTCCGGGGCAGACTTGGTCTTGGCAGCCTCCGACTCCGGGGCAGCCTCCTCTGCAAACTGGGCAGCCTCCGGCTCCGGTGCGGGCATTGCCGCGGAAGCAGTCTTCTCGGACTCCGGGGCAACCTCCTCAGCAGCCTCTGGCGGTGTGGGCATCGCCGCGGAAGCAGTCTTCTCGGACTCCGGGGCGACCTCCTCTGCAGACTTGGTCTCAGCATTTTCTGGCTGTGTGGGCATCGCCGCGGAATCAGTCTTCTCGGACTCCGGGGCGGGGGCGACCTCCTCTGCAGACTTGGTCTCAGCCGCCGCGCAAGCAGTCTTCTCGGACTCCGGGGCAGACTTGGTCTCGGCAGCCTCCTCCACAAACTGGGCAGGTTCCGGCGTGGGCAGCGCCGCGGAAGCAGTCTTCTCTGACTCCAGGGCAACATCCTCTGCAGACTTGGTCTCAGCAGCCTCTGTCGCCATGGGCATTGGCGCGGAAGCAGTCCTTTCTGAGGCCTCTGGGGCCTCTGGGGCAGGCTTGGTCTCGGCAGCCTCCAGTATAAGCATCGCGGCGTCAGCCTCGCCAGGAGCCTGATCAGGCTGGCTAGGCTGCTCCTGATTGGCGGCAGCGGCAGCAGCAGGCTTTGGAGCTGGCTCTGGCGTGGGCTGTGTGGACTCCGGCTTGGTCTGCTCGGTCGCTTCCTTTGGGGCCACCTCCTCAGCAGCCTCCACATCAGCATCAGCAGGAGGCCCGGGCACGTTGCTGTCATCGTTGGCTGCATGCGCGGCCGCAGACTCCGTCTTGACCTTGTTCAGTGGCCCAGATCCGACATCATCAGCAGACCAAGGCTTCTGCAGCTTCAGCAACTCCGCCAAAAAGGAAACCCTGTCTGGCTGCATGAGTTTCTGCCAGAAGTCAAATGCCACATTTGCAGGGCACAAAGCATTGAACATTTGC